AACACAAGAACTGTTCGTTGAGAGCTTTATGAAATCTGTTTCCATGGCTGAGCAGCCACACACAAGCCTAAGATCACCATGCGCAATGCCAAGTGTCGGCTGGAGTGGTGTAAAGCTCGCCGCCATTGGACTCTGGAGCAGTGGAAACTGATGAATCACGCTTCACCATCTGGCAGTCTGACGAACAAATTTGGATTTGGCGGATGCCAGGAGAATGCTACCTGTCCGAATGCATTGGAGGAATAATGGTCTGCCGGTGTTTTTCATGGTTCGGGTTGGCCCCTTAGTTCCACTGAAGGGAAATCTTAATGCTACAGCATACAATGACATTCTAGACAATTCTGTGCTTCCAACTTTGTGGCAACAGTTTGGGGAAGGCCCTTTCATGTTTCAGCATGACAATGCCCCCGTGCACGGTCCATATAGAATTGGTTTGTCGAGATCGGTGTGGAAGAACTTGACTGGCCTGCACAGAGCCCTGACCTCAACCCCATCGAACACCTTCAGGATGAATTGGAACGCTGACTAAGAGCCAGGCCTAATCGCCCAACATCAGTGCCCGACCTCACTAATGCTCTTGTGGCTAAATGGAAGTCCCCACAGCAATGTTTCAACATCTAGTGGAAAGCCTTCCCAGAAGAGTGGAGGCTGTTATAGCGGCGAAATGGGGACCAACTCCATATGGGTACCACTCCGACAAGCTGGTGTCCACATACTTTTTGACATGTAGTGTATGTAAACACCACGGGAGTCCTCTAACATTTTGAAACTTGACAGTCCTATTGATCAAACAACCATGAAAAGGTAGGCTCTCTCTCCCTCAGTTATGCACATCAACAACAAGATCAACAACTAATGCTAGCCAGAGCAAGATGAGATAAAAATCTAACGAAGGAACATAAACCCTCTCAAACTTTTTCAGCTAGTTGGCCATCAAAATTGCACTGATAACCGAATTGTAGCATCCTCATCCTTCTGCAGCTTGCCTGCCAATGGATGCTTGTCCCAACCAAGCACCCAAGCTAACTGGCTAAAGTTGACTAGCTTGCTAGCTAGCTAGCTAGCTAGTTCCAGACACAAATGAGAGAACACTTCACTCTGACCATTTTACTCGCCGTAGCAGCGCTGGTTAGGCGGTTTACATGTTATCTAGAGCGTTCTTGACTAACTTACCTTTTTTGCCTTCGTTTACTGACACCGGTCAAATTCAGCGGTTGTTGCAAGTTCGTAAATTCATCAGTTCTGCGCTCTGGCACACTCAGATGAGTGCTCTGAAATCGAAGTAGATAGCCAGAGTGAATTTGCGAACGCAAGAGATATGTTAACTGGATAACAGTCGTTCAAGTTCTTGCTAGCTAACCAAATGACACCTGCATCTCTGTGTATAGCCACCGAAAAACCATATGAGGGGAAAAAGTCAGTCACTCACCCACTCCTCCAATGGCATGACGCGACATCCTCCTAGTAGCTATCTAGCTAACGTTAGGCTCCATGTTTTTAGCTTGCTACATAAATAGATACGCTAGCCTATTAGGTATGTTGTGACTGACTTGTGATCATTGCCCTTGGTAGTTTGATTGTATTGACATTCCCAGCCTTAGTTACCTTTGTCCGTTTTTGTTCAGAATATTGAGTGATTTAAACAGTGCACCCCAAATGGAGGCAGCAAACAATGTACCAGGCCAGCTGTTATTTTAAAACCTGATAGCAATATACCAAAACATTTATTCGTGAATTATATTAATCATGCATTGAACTGCGTCCATCTATTCTGCCAACAATGCCTTAGTGTACGTCATGGAAAGTTGAGTCAAATAGAACCTATTTTTAAAACCTCTTAAAGTTGGTTTTTTAGCTTAAACGGGGAATTTGATATTTTTTACTGAAATTGTTTCATATCGGCAAAGTAGTTAAACTGTCAGTTCCACTTAATTTTAGGTCACCGGTTACTTTGTGTGCTAAACGTGAAATATTTTTTGCAATGGGAAGTAATAGTTGTACATTTCGATTGGGAAGTACTTAATGGTTGTGTTTTTCTATTCTTATGATTGGGACCTACTGGCTTATTATGTCAGAGTTTATGGACTGCTTATCCTTTAACATCATGCTGTGTGTGACAGCTGTCTTTCCATCGGCCCTATGCAGTGGTGTAGTGGTTCCTGGAGAAGTGGGTATACTCTAATTTTGCCAAAAGGCCATCCCAGCGAAGATTGACACCTCACACCCTGCCATAAATTAGGGAGGAGGGGAATCTCCCTCTTGTTCTTCAGTATTGGTAAAGGAATGTCCCTTTGTCTACAGAATACTTTTGCCGCCAAAACCTTTACGTCCAAAAAGTGAATACTGGAACAATGTTTAACATCCGAATGTGTGGAATGATGACAGTTGGTCTATGGAAAACAAATGTGTATTTAGTGATGTCATTAACAATGGTATGGAAATGTTAATGAAAATACTGTAATTTGGAAAGTATACATACTCTATCTGTCAAGTTTACATCCAAATGTATAAGATATATGATTCATAATGCGTATTTTTGTTAAGATAGGAATGTGATTTTAGTTTTCTAACGAGATCATAGTTTTCTCATAAGCTTTGCACCAGTCAGTAGCCAAACCCAAGTGAGCTCAGAGATCGTGTCAGCAAGTAGTAACGCCCCTTTTACCAAGAGTGCATAAATGCTTGAAAGACAAATTCACATCAGAAAGATGTGAGATGGTGGTCTACACGTCTGAAAATGGTTGGAACGTTGAACCCCAACACGAGGTGAAGAAGATCAACTCCCAGACTAGACCCGAACATTGCCAGGCTGCAGCTGTGCATGTAAAGTGGCTCAAACTCTGACTAACCCCACGAGGTGGGAAGAAGAAAGCTCCCCTCAATCACTGGTACATCTAAGTGTCTGTTCTGAGAAAACATTCCAATACAAGCCAGGACAACTAAGAATAAATAATAATAATATGCCATTTAGCAGACGCTTTTATCCAAAGCGACTTACAGTCATGCGTGCATACATTTTTGTGTATGGGTGGTCCTGGGGATCGAACCCACTACCCTGTCGTTACAAGCGCCGTGCTCTACCAGCTGAGCTACAGAGGACCAAATACATTGTGGCCTCTTGTGGACAATCAGAGCCTTACACCCACAGGACAATTAAAGCCTTACAAGTGAGCTGAGCGAAGACCCAGCCAAAACCTCCTTTCCAAGAGGGCTTGGGTCAACAGAGATAGACGACGAACAAAGACATCCACACGTAAATACATTCATGATTTCTTACTCCAAACGGGCGGTGGTTCGTGAGCAAAGTATTATGATTACTTTGAGGGTAGTTTCCAAATGTATCAACGATAAGTGTCTCTGTCTCTCTCTACCCCTCCCTCTTTTGGTAACCAAGCAGTCATGTAATTGTTAGTCCGCTAGGGACTTTTTCTCATGTATTAAGTGTGTATGTTATTCTGAGTTATTATTTAGTTAGCTAGTAAATAAATTATTAAGCCAATTTGTGTAGTGCTGAATCTTAAGTAAAGCTGGGGTTCGTGCAGATCCAAGAAGTCTACGACCGTTCAGAATGAGACTGATAAGATGTAATGATTATTACCTTGACTGTTTTATACATATTGATAGGTAAAGGAGAATTAATTAATTTTGGAGATGGTAACTCTACAAACTTCTTCCGTGGTGCCCCAAATCCTAATGAGTTAATTGTTACATGATTCATTTAATAGAGTAACAATTAAACATAGTTAGTTGATTCGATAAATAACAGTCATCATATTAATGAAAGTCACGTCATGACACTGCCCTTTCAGAATCACGAACCTGTCACACACTGAAGGCCTATAGGTTTGCCACTGCGCAAACATGTCTAATAGATATAAAGTCTGTTAAGATATTGTTTCAAGAAAGGAGTGTATATATTTGGCCTGGCGAAGTGGTTTTATACTCTAACTGAATGGAAGCTGATAATTCTTTGTTTTTTACTCGGCTGGTCTCGGGAAGAAATTACGAGTCCTCACTGTCAAGACCGAGTACAAATGTATCTGACAAAGACCGAGACACTGAATATGTGGTCTCGAGACCTAGACCGGTCTCGAGTACTACAACACTGGTATGAACGTCCTATCAATCTGTTTCACCTGCGCTACACGAAATGCAATAATATTTCATGTAAGTAGATTAAGTAGACAATAAAGGGTATGTTTTTAGTGATTGTATATTTCTAGATAGGCTTTATGTAGTGTATTTTAATTCAGTTTACCAACATTGCAGGAGGTGCAGAACAGGTGGATTTGGCGCATGCACACTTGCTCAAAAACAATACTTTGATTATTTCCAGACGTCGTTTTTTCGGTTGCATGTCACTTTATATTTCGACCTTTTTTTGGAAGTACATACCGACCGGGACGGCAGTAATGACGGTAGTTGCTCAGTGAAACTCCATTCTTTGGTAAGTACCAGATGTATTTTGACATTATTAAGCTTGAAAAGCTGGTGAATGGCTGCTTCCTGGTCTTAAAAGAGCGTCTCCTGTATCCAGATTCTGGTTAACCTGCCATTCAGACCTCATCTGTATTATCAATGTTTTTTTTCACTGAAATTGTTTCATGTTTCTGCAGATCAAGGAACAGAAAATTGTGTTTGATGAGCTCTCCAATCTGAAGAAAAATAGGGTGAGAAGTGGTTAATACAATTAAAACCTAGATGTTTAATTTCTGTGAAGGTAATGCTAATCTTGATGCATATTTCTTTCAGAGGGTCTATGTTCAACAGCCCAACAGTAACATATTCTTCTTGGCAGACAGAGGGCAGACTCTTGGTTCATGCAAAAGTAAGAATACAATTTTTGTGTACAAGTTTTGTTTTCTCTTAACCATCTTTTTGAGAGATACACTACATGTGAACTTCTCTTCCCTCAGAGGAACTGGACAACATGAAGAAGGATATGTAGAATCTACTCAATCTGGGACGGAACTACAAATAAGGCCTTACTTGCTATAAATATGTGTGGTATTTGTTGTGTGCTGAGCTTGTCCCCCTCCCAGCTTGTGCTGGAGAAGAGTGTGCATGAAAACCTAAGGAAAAGAGGGCCTAACTCCAGTTGCAACATCACCAAAACTGCTTCAAATCCCCACTACCAGTGTCTGTTCTCTGCTCATGTACTTCACATGAGAGGTTGCCTTGCCCCTCAGCCAGCACAAGACAGTAACAGGAATGTATTGATGTGGAATGGAGAGGTTTTTGGAGGACTGTTATTGAGACCAGAAGAGAATGACACTGATGTTCTTTCCCACCACCTCTCAGCCTGCAACAGCCCTACAGAGATCCTGTCTGTCCTGGCCAATGTCAGAGGACCCTGGGCTTTTACATATTACCAACAGAGTGGACACTATCTTTGGTTTGGGAGAGACTTCTTTGGCCGGCGAAGCCTGCTTTGGCAATATGATGCTGAGGAGAAGTCTTTGACTCTGACGTCTGTGGCTGCCTGTCTCCCTGGCTCTGACGGACCACCACAGTGGCAAGAGGTTCCAGCAGTTGGTGTTTACAGGATTGATCTGAGGGCGTTTGCAGAGTCTGGCTGTTTGACCTTTGAGGTTTATCCATGGGTTCACGCAGGCGAGAATCTATCGTCTGTTAGTCATGAATCTAAGTGGGAGGGTATCCCTAGTTACACCTCAGCAATGATGAACAATTCAGGTCTCTCCCTCACCTCTCCAGTTTGCCCACTGAACATGTCAATCCCTCAGTTGTTGAAGGAGGTAGAACCATGATCCAAGCTCACAGTTCTCAGTTGAAGATCTGGAGGTGATGCTAAAGTCTGGCGAGAGAGAGCCTGTGGTAAATTGTCTCATTGATGTACTCAGTGAGGCAGTACGGAGGCGTGTGCAATGTCTTCCCTTTGATACACAGGTGACATCACCACTGACCAATGACGAGGCAGCAATCGCAATCCTTTTCTCAGGAGGGATTGATTCCATGGTTCTGGCAGCCCTGGCCGACCGCCACATCCCAACCCACCAACCAATCGACCTTCTGAATGTGGCATTCAAACTGCAGGAACCAAAAATTCAGAAGGAGTCTACCAAAAAAAGCAAAAAGCACAAAACAAAGCCAATGGCTTCTAAAACTGTCGTGGCTGATTCCAATGTGTATAACCCCTTCGGCGTTCCAGACAGGATCACTGGCAGAGCAGGCCTGCAAGAGCTTCAGGACTTGAACCCAGAGAGAAGATGGAATTTTGTTGAAATCAACGTTTCTCAGGAGGAGCTGCAGAAAATGCGCCATGAGCGCATCTGTCACCTGGTGCACCCATTGGATACCGTCCTTGATGACAGCATTGGATGTGCTGTGTGGTTTGCGGCGAGAGGAACCGGCTTCCTCACAGAAGGCAACGAAGAGAGGGGGTTCACTTCATCTGCCAAGGTACAGTAGATTATCAAATGGGTAAAATAATAAGGAACATGCTATTTACAAGTTGTGAATAAAGTTTCATATTCTAACTCCTTTTTTGAGAAAATTGTGTTAGCTTTGCAGTGGTATAAATCTGACCCAACAGTATGTAAATTAACAACCTTGGAAATTAAGTATTTTCAAGTAAATTGTCTTTTCAACTGCTCTGTGACTGCAGGTGATTTTGACCGGTATTGGAGCTGATGAGCAGCTGGCAGGGTACTCCAGACACCGAGTCCGCTTCAAGACCTCTGGGCAAGAGGGTCTGGTCCAAGAGCTGGCCATGGAGCTGGGCAGAATCTCCACAAGGAATCTGGGTCGAGATGACAGAATCATAGCAGACCATGGGAAGGAGGCTAGGCAAGTCTCGGTCATCACTGTTAGCCCATTTTTGGCCCTTGTTTAGAAGCAAGCAGATTTTCCAGTACCAAAAACACACTACATGACAAAGTATGTGGACACCTGCTCGTCGAACATCTCATTCCAAAATCATGGGCATAAATATGGAGTTGGTCCCCTCTTTGCTGCTATAACAGCCACCACTATTCTGGGAAGGCTTTCCACTAGATGTTGGAACATTACTGCAGGGACTTGCTTCCATTCAGCCACAAGAACATTAGTAAGGTCGGGCACTGATGTTGAGCGATAGGCCTGGCTCGCAGTCGGCATTCCAATTCATCCCAAAGGTGTTCGAGGGGGTTGAGGTCAGGGCTCTTTGCAGGCCAGTCAAGTTGTTCCACACCGATCTCGACAAACCATTTCTTTATGGACCTCGCTTTGTGCACTTTTGTTTCATGCTGAAACAGGGAAGGGCCTTCCCCAAACTGTTGCCACAAAGTTGGAAGCACAGAATCGTCTAGAATGTCATTGTATGCTGTAGCATTAAGATTTCCCTTCACTGGAACTAAGGGGCCTAGCCCGAACCATGAAAAAGCCCCAGACCATTATTCCTTCTCCAACAAACTTTACAGTTGGCACTATGCATTTGGGCAGGTAGCGTGCTCCTGGCATCCGCCAAACCCAGATTCGTCCGTCGGACTGCCAGATGGTGAAGCGTGATTCATCACAACAGAGAACACGTTTCCACTGCTCCAGAGTCCAATGGCGGCAAGCTTTACACCATTCCAGCCGACGCTTGACATTGCGCATGGTGATCTTAGGCTTGTGTTCGGCTGCTCGGCCATGGAAACCCATTTCATGAAGCTCCCGACAAACAGTTATTGTGCTGACGTTGCTTCCAGAGGCAGCTTGGAACATGGTAGTGAGTGTTGCAACAGAGGACAGACGATTTGTACGCGCTTCAGCACTCGACGGTCCCGTTCTGTGAGCTTGTGTGGCCTACCACTTCGCGGCTGAGCCGTTGTTGCTCCTAGACACTTCCACTTCACAACAACAGTTGACCGGGGCAGCTCTAGCAGGGCAGAAATTTGACTGACTTGTTGGAAAGGTGGCATCCTATGATGGTGCCACATTGAAAGTCACTGAGCTCCTCAGTAAGGCCATTCTACTGCCAATGTTTGTCTATGGAGATTGCATGGCGGTGTGCTCGATTTTATACACCTGTCAGCAACCGGTATGGCAGAAATAGCCGAATCCACTAATTTGAAGGGGTGTCCACATACTTCTGTGTGTATATATAGTGTATTTGAAGAAATTGTGATATGCTGGATGTTTTTGTTGTCTTTGTATAGGTTTCCCTATTTGGACGAGGATGTGGTGTGTTTCCTGAATGCCCTGCCAGTGTCTGAGAAGGCAGATCTGTCCCTGCCTCGAGGTGTAGGGGAGAAACTGCTACTGAGGCTGGCTGCCAAGAAACTGGGTCTGGGGGCCTCTGCTCTACTGCCTAAGAGAGCCATGCAGTTTGGTTCCCGCATTGCAAAGATGGAAAACAGCCACGAGAAGGCCTCAGACAAGTGCAAGAGACTCCTCACACCTTAGGTCAGCATAGCATTTAATCAGGAATGTTCTCTTTTTTTACACTGTATTGACATAAAGAAACTAAGTCATCCTCTTAATTAGTGTCACAGTGAGCCAAAATATGAACAGACATGTTTTAATTTCAGACAAATATACAAATACACATTTTGATTGTAATATATTTTGAATATGTTCATTTTCAAAATGTTTTCTAATCTTCAAGGCACAAATAAAGTTACCATTTTCTTCACAATGCCAATCTCAAACATGCATCTGTGCACACTACATCATGTAAGACTTCACATCTTGAAGATTTTCTCTGAAGTACCGGTCACATTCAACATAGGAGGGCAGGTTTCCCACATCAAAACGGCCAGAAATCTGATGAATATACACAGGCTTTCTGTGGTGGGAAAATGAAATGTGTGCTTGGAGAATGCATTGTTTTTGCAGCCATGAATGTTGATCATCAATCTGAAATAGTACCTTGAAATTAGCCATGACAAAAAGTTTCCAGGTGCGTCCTTTTCTTCGATTGGCGCTTCCTTTGAAAAAAGCCAGTTGCTTTAGTTTAGATCAACATCAAGTGATGGATTACCAGCACAAATTAAGGAAATTACTAACTGTTTACCTTATTTTCATCAAGAAAGGCATCCAATAGATGAAGGGTTTTCTTGGAAAACAAGTAGAAACATGGACACTGCAAAAAAGGAATACATTATCAAGTGGCGAATATGTAGACACTGTGGGAAACTGGGAGGTTTAGTAGCAAGTCAAATGCTTCTTGCGCTTATCAGCAAATAGATTACTCGCTCTTAGTTTGAGCACTTATAACATAAACCAAAGGTTTATCTACTGTGACTTAGTCTTTAATGTTGCAATTATAAACGTTCCAAAGCAAGAAAAGTCTGAGGTTGGATATATTGTAGGGAGGGACAGAAAAGTGTTAGTATGCACTTACTGCTCTCCTTGATTTTGTCTCCGAGGGAAGAGGTTTCTCCTTCATACAGAGCACCCGAAGGTCTTCATCGACTTCCAAAATACCATACTTCTGTGTCTCTATGGGAGCAAATACAGAAATACAACTCAATATTAGGAAGGTGTTTGGTATACTCAGTGTATGTATGTAATATTATTACAAATAATGTAATGACAATCGCTCACAAATGTTATCCAGCTAGAGATATACTTCAAACAAGTAATGTGTGATTAGTGCAACATTTGAAAGGTTTTAGTGTACAAAATAGACGTTCTTGTTCTTTGGGGCTACAGCTGACATGACAAAAAAACTTCAAAAGCACGCAATCTGACATTTCACTCACCCTCATCTTTACATTGGTAGGAAAGAACCAGACTGCTGTCTTCACACTTTGCTTGCAGGTCAGAAAACCTCTCTTTAACTTTAATGAGACTGAATTCTTCCTTGAACAAAGTGTCTCTGTGTGGAGAAGAAGAGCCTTTCAGCATGTGTCAGTAAATGTTTTCTACCTCGAATCAGTGAAGGCTTTTTCAAACATACCCTCCGATAACTATTACATGGTCTTTGATCTTGAAGTGCTTGACTGTTAGCTGAAGACAGGCGACGGCACCAAGACGGTCCTAGTGGAATAAAAATGGTAAAATGTACAAATGTTTAATTCATATTTGACTGGGACAATGCACATTGATCAACATGAGACAACACTATCTCAGGGAAAGGTACTATAAATCATGTGAGCTGATGAACCTCATTGCTCTTTGTTCCATCACTTAGGACTTTGACATTAGGGAATTCCAGGGCCCACTCCTCAAATGCTTTGTGGTGAAGGGCATTGGTCTGTTAAGGTAAAAAGATAAGTCATCATTGACATTATCACCACACAACAATCTCAGTCCTTTAAATATGAATTTAGGTATTTTGAAATTATTTTCAAAGATTTATTGGGTTTTACTTTCCAATGAACTGATGAGAATGTTCAAAATGTTGGCCAGGCACAGTTACATGTGGAGTAAAATAATTCATATAAAATACTCTTAATGTACTTTGATACTTACAATGACAAAGACTGTGTCCACGCATCCAGTGGTACTCAATGCTTGGACCCAGTGAGATATCAAGGCACAGTGCCCCACAGGAAGCAGTGGCTTGGCAATTCCAGCCAGATGTTTGAATCTCCCGCTCGTGTCATTATCAATATCTCTCTGCAACCTTGTTCCATATCCCGCAGCGAGAATAACAGCTTTCATTTAAATAACTGTGCCAGAGTAGGCTACTTAGCGTCAGTCACTTATTTATTTAGCTAGCTAGGTGGCTAAATAAGACGCTAGCTCAAATGTTGCTGTAAACAGTTCCCTAAAAGCAGTGGGTTATAGGTTAAGTGAACGTGTCAAAGCAGCAATTATAACATCCGACTTCACATCTGTGTGCAATAGTGAATACACGAACCTGTATCAATCAGAATGTCATTCTTCCACAACGTAACAGCATTTTTTGTAAACCGCGCATGCGCTGTAGGTAACAGTACAAAGTATCAACAAAGCAACGTCTTCAAAAGTAAATGAACAGCGCCCCCGTATGTAATAAATTGTAACACTATTTGTATGTGGAGATGAAGTCTCTCTAGACATCGCGCGCCGGTAACCAAGGCTTAGCGTCTTGGTTGCCAAGAGCAAAGAGCTCGGAATCATCCACATAATTTTGGACTTTTTGGAGGCAACAATGTTGTGCTGTGCTAGTACCAACAGGTTTCACTCGTTATTCTAAAACGGTCTATGCAAGTCATTTAGAGTGTAAGCAAAGGTTACAATAGCCTGCTAGCTAACGTTAGCTATGGAAATGATGGCGCGCTCACTGACATCAAATTCTTCATCCAGATTACAAAATTATTCTGTTGAAGAGAAGGATGATACGGCCTACCTTGCTTCATTGACAGCTCAAAGAAACGCCAACGCTTTCTTTGAGAAGTACGAAAAGGGTGAAGTTCAGGAGTTGCTGAGCCTGACCTCTTGTAACTGGTTTCTGTATGGTGATGACTTCACTCAGCCAGCTGAAATGCCGCCAGGCATAATCAAACAAATGAGGAACTTCACGGAATCAAACTTCATCATTCTCGCACCTGTGGATGCGCGAGTCCTTCTTGATTACAAAGTGGTCCATCAAATCGTCAGAGAGCTCACAGTTGCCATCTATTGTTTCAACCAAGTGCCATTTATCAGTCTTGAGCCAAACTTTGACCAGAGCACCTCATGCCAACTGTCTCCAGCATATTATGATACGAAAGTAGGCCAAATTCTGGTTAATATTGACTACACTATAAAGGCTCTTTGGCATGGAGCCAACATCCCTAGAGAAAAGCGCATTCGCTTCTCTGAACTCTGGAGAAGCAGCATGGGTGTCGACTCAAATGGAATACCCCAGACGAAGAAAGATGTGTTTGCAGAGTTTCTCACTGCAGGTATTTGGGTGACAGACAGAGAAATGTCATGTTATGCAAGATAAATACAGACAGATAAATGCATGCCCTAACTTTGGGGCAAAATTGTGTCCGTTTTCAAATAATGATGTTGATTAGATTCAATTGAACATGCCTACTTTAGAAATAGGATTCCCCTCAACTGGTGGTGCTTGTTGTGTCCTCCAGGTCTTCAGGACATCTCAGAGGAGCCCTGTTACCATGGCATATACAACGGGGAGGTCAATGTGGATCCGACCTACGACCCCAACAGTGCTGAGGAGGAGAGGCTTTTTTCCCAACACCAGGAGAGCATCCTGCTCAAGCTGACGTCCTACCTGTCCTCGGCCCGACAGCACGGCAACCTGTTTGTGTTCGAGAGTGCCCACAGTCTGGCCAGTGTGGTGAGGCTGACAGAGGAGAGGCTGGAGCTGGCCACCTACCAGAGGCTGCAGCAGAGGCTGGGTCTACAGGCGGGCCTGGTGAGGGGCTGCTTGGAGAGGAAGGCAGAGGTGTGCCGAGACCTGGCTTACCTGCGCCTCCTCACCTTCCTGGTGCCCTTCCTGGTAGGGCTGAAGAAGAGGATGAAGATCCCCGACCTGGCGCAGATGCTACCAGCTTACTCAGGTCAGTTGCTACAGCGCAACAATGAAATTTACAGGATCTCCATGAGCAACAGTACATCTCTGTGCTACTTACTTACTGCGTTCATACCGGTATTTGAATTCTAGACTGAGGCCAATTTTCTGTCACTTAAACAACTAGGTTCCATATTGCCTAATAAATCAGACTTTTATACCAATACTTAATATACAGTCTGAAACAGCAATGCAAAATCAAAGTTTTCCTTACAAGCCAGAATGTTGACTACAATTACATTTGAACTTACTCTACCGGTTGTCTGCTCGGTTTACAGCTGCTCTAAATTTTAGACAAAATATCTACAGGAAAGCATTGTTTACACAACTTTTTACAGTGCCAGTACTGTTGTTGAAATGTATATCACCTGACACGTGCAAAACCATGTAAACACCTGCAGACTTCGGTTACGTGCATGCGTCACGTGCATGTACTTCCGTCTTATGGACGTGGCTTTGGTCACAAGCAAACAAATCTTGATTGCCACACACAGAGACCTCTGTTTTGAAGTCAGGTTAATAACACTTTCCTTTGGATATTGCCTCACATTTCAACCAACTGAAGGATCAACACCACGGACAATCGGCAGAGTAAGTTCAAATGAAGTTTATTCAACATTCTGACTTGTAGGGACTGTTTGGAATGTTTTAACATAAATGTGCGTGGCGTTGCCTACATAATTTGAAGGGCTTTGCCACGTTTCATGCCTAGGTTCCCTATGGCTATCATACCATTGACTTTGGGGTTGCAACAGATGTGTTTATCGTTGTTTTTGTAGAGGATAAACTGAAGACAGAGAGGGAATTACCACCATTGCTCCTTGGACCTGCATTCGCCTGTAAACATTTTCCGTACAAGTCAGATGAGTATTTTCACCTACACGGTGGGATTGAAGTTGACATCGGAACCCCTCAGCTAGAGGAAGTCTCTGAGGAAACAAAGGTGAGAGTTGGATTCACTTACTAGTTAGTAGTGAGCCGTCACAAGCCACTTAAGAGCCATCTACTTCCACAGTGAGGGCCCTAGTTTAATAATGAAATCAGGTTGTCTTGTGGTTCCCTCCAGGAGGCCTTTGCTGCACTGCAGAGTCTTGCAGTAGATCACCTGAGAGACCTGCTAAGTCAGGACACCACCTACAAAGAGCACTTCCCCATACCAGTCCACGAGGTCAACGGCAAGAAGTATGTTAAGTTCACTTGCAGAGAAGCTGTCTTAACATGCACGCATAAACACACACACCTCACTTACATTGTGCTCGGAGGCCTTATACTCCACACTCTCGCACACAGATGCACTTGTAAGAGAAGTGAGGCTCTTACACGCTGCTTGGTGTCTTTGACAGCTATCATGTCATCTCTATTGAGGTGGGCTCATTCTACCATCAGCCCAATGTGGTTCCATGGTGGGAGGCCCTCAACACTGCCATCAAAACCCTGAGAGGGAAGAGACTGCCTCTCACTGACATCCAGCTGCACGAGCAGTTCAAGAAGACATTTGGCTACAAAAAGGCCATCAAATGCAAGGTGATGATGGAAAAGAAGATATAGCAATATACGAAACTGTTCTTTTTTTTATAGAGTGTTAGGTAAATGTAAAAGGCTTGTAAGATCGTGTGTGTTATTTCTCACTGGGGTCAGAGTGTGCCATTCGGCCTCCATGCTGCGGCAGAGCGCGGCCTATCTGCCGTGTTCTACTCGCTGTGCCGCCGGAACTCTCCATCTCACCTGGGGGTCCTGGATGAGCAGGGCTACTCCCTGCTGCACCACGCCGCCAAACACAACCACACGCACATCATCTGCCAGCTGGCCACCAACGGGGTCAATCTCAACCAGACACGCAGCGGCAGGTTCAGCCGCACAGGTCAGAGACACAAGCCTCTCTCTCCCTTACTCTCGTTTACACACTTTCCTAAAAACTGTTTACAAACACCTTTATTTTGCAGTGAAATCTGGAGGGGGCGGCGGGCCCCCAAAAGAAGGAGCTGGTAAGCACATACCAGTGTGAGTATGTCAGCCTCACTCTACTGTAACGAAATAGGGCTTTTAGACACAGCTTTCCACTGTTTGTTTGTACATGTTCCAGGCTCCACTCCCATGCACCTGGCTGCTCAGTGTGGTTCCCTGGAGGCCATCAGCTGTCTGCTGGCTCTGCAGGCCGACCACCGGCTAGTGGACCGCAGGGGCTGGATGGCTGTACACTTTGCTGCCTACTACGGCCAGGTGGCCTGCATACAGGCCCTTTGCAGAAAAGACCCAGAGCTGGTGGAGATGCAAACCACTGCCGAGTGAGTGAGGAGACACTTTTAGGTTTAGAATAGATGACATGTCTAACAGGGATCAATAGGATGCAACAGCAGGCCACTGGCACTGTTACACAGATGCTTTCAGTATCATTTAATGTAACACTAGCATGACATTGCTCTGTAATCAGCACATACAACAGTGGAGGCTGCTGAGGGGAGGACGGCTCATAATAATGGCTGGAATAGGGTCATTGGAATGGTATCAAACACATGGTTTCCATGTCGTTGATACCATTCCATTGACTCCATCCCAGCCATTATTTTTATTTTTTATTTTATTTCACCTTTATTTAACCAGGTAAGCCAGTTGAGAACAAGTTCTCATTTACAACTGCGACCTGGCCAAGATAAAGCAAAGCAGTGTGATAAAAATAACAACAACACAGAGTTACATATGGAATAAACAAAACGTACAGTCAAAAACACAATAGAAAATAGAACATCTATATACAGTGTGTGCAAATGTAGTAAGTTATGGAGGTAAGGCAATAAATAGGCCATAGTGCCATAGTCCTCCCCTCAGCAGCCTCCACTGACATACAAGTAACAGACACCACAAAATGCACTCGGGCAGTATGGATGCATCTGCTTCTACACGCACACAGGTTTAGTTTTTTGTCTCCTCAGGTACCGCAGCTGCCCGTTGCTCCTGACGGCCACTTCGGGCTCCGTGGAGGCCCTGGACTACCTGCTGTCCGCGGGAGCCGACTGGCGGAGGAAGGACAGCAAGGGCAACGACATCGTGCAGCTGGCCGCCCTCTACTTCCACCCCAAAGTCCTCAGGCACCTCATCTCCCTGGGCCTGCCGGACCTGCCCGTCTGGAAGATCCTCGTGGGTACGCTGCCTGGTGGAAAAGATGGAGATGGGAATTAGCTAGCTAGCGAGGGTTACGCTAGGCCAATGTTTGGTTCGCAGGTTGTATCCGTACGATGAGTCTGCACTGATACTGAGGCCTGTGTGTGTGTGTGTGTGTGATGGAGCAGAGATGCTGCACAGCGAGGACCACCGCAGGCTGGAGATGGCCATCCGCTGCCTGGAAGCTCTGTGTGTCACGGCCAATTCCTTCTGGAGGGATATCATGGATGCAGGTGAGTGAGTTTTTGGAGCGTTTGGGCCTATATCAGACAGGAAGGCTTTGTTTTATACTATAACCATGAATACTAGCTTTATATTGCCAATTTACATGTTTGCCTTGCAAAACCATCCTTGGAATTATACTCCATATCACAGTAACATTACAGCATTAAACATGTTGGTACTAGGGAACACAAAGCTAGGCCAATTGCAATAGAATCAAAATACTTACGGACCCTAAAGCAGCTTACCTATTCTGTAGGAGGGATCCCGGCCCTGTTGGAGCTAATGCGCAGCACGAGACCAGTGCTGCAATGTATGGCTGCCGCCGTGGTGTGTCACATCTCGGAGAGGACGCCCGTGTGTGAGGCCCTGGTGCGCTACGGTGCCGTGCCGGTGCTGGTCAATCTGCTGGGCAGCCGGCAGGCCGAGCTCCACTCCCGCTGTGCCCTCATACTGGCAGACCTGGCAGGGCACAGTGACCAGTACCAGTCCCTCATAGTCCAGCAGGTTAGTACTACTGATATAATCAGTCTTTCCCATAGCCCATCTGGTTAGTATTGTTATAACTAATAGGTTGGTTCAGTTATAACCAGTCTTGTGTGTGTGCACGCGCATGTGTGTGCCTGTCTGTCTGTATTTGTGTATGTTTGACCATTCGTATGTGTCCAGGGTGGAGTGGCCCCGTTGGTGAAGCTCCTGGGCTCGGACCTACAGGATGTGCTGGTGAACACTGTGCGGTGCATCAAGGCGCTGTGTGTCCGTAGCCCCGGCAACCAGACGGCCGTGGCTCTGGCTGGGGGGATTCCACAACTTGTGGAGCTCTTGACTGTCAGATCAGGTATACTGTTAAATCATGAGTAAGACGATGATGATGATCTAGAACATGATGATGAATCGTCTCTTTGGTCGTGTATCTCCAGAAGTGCTGCAGGAGGAGGCGTGCACGGCTCTGGCTGAGCTGGCTAAGGGACACCGGGAGAACCAGGACACCATCTGTGGAGCGGGCGCCGTGGCCCCACTGGTGTTCATACTGCGGGGGAGGAAGATGGCCGCGCAGCTGACTGCGGCCAGAGCCCTGGAGGCCATTGCCGATCACAACCCTGCCATACAGGCCTGCTTTCTGAAAAAGTTGGCCGCCAAGCACCTCCTACGACTCTTAAAGGTAGGACCTGAGCAAGTCAAATCATTGTTTCCCTCATTTTTAAATACGCTCATGGAATTCTTGAACATGTATATTCATGTACTTTAAGTTGTGTCCCCTGGGCCATGTTCAGGGTTGAGTTCAGTAGGACACGCGTTATCAAACTGTTTTGCCACAGAAAATGAACATCTGTGTTCTTATGGGACAAATTCAGGTAGTACCGCCCCGTTTCAATCTTTCAAAACCTTTTCTCCCTATTGAACGTGACCCAGGTGTTCCAGGTCGAGGCGAGGGAGCAGGGGGCCGTCTCTCTATGGGCCTTGGCAGGACACACTCTGAAGCAACAGAGACTCATGGCAGAGCACATCGGCTACCACTTCATCCTCGAGCTCATCCTTTCCTCCTCCGACAGGATGCAATACGTCGGTAGGTTCCTTTAACTCTCATTTAAATGCTACCTCTCTGTACTTGCTAGGTCTCTTACGCAAAAGAGGTCACTTACACCAAATTCATCTCTCTCACAAGAGGACTCTCCAGCAAAGCAAAGGTTAAATGGCAATCATCGGTTCATGGACAGAGTTGGCTCACTAACAAGCTAACATTGAGCTTTTCCAGACATTTTATTCGGTCAGGGGGATGCCCTCTCCAGGGATCGTTGAAACTAAACACTGAGTGTTGTAAAACAATGATACTTCCATGCGGCGTTGACAGGCGATGCAGATGAATGATTGACTGTACCATAAACAGGCACCCTGAGGTTTGTGCTGGAGCGAGGCCCGCCTCTGTCACCGCAAGCCCAGCCACCTCCTACCCCCAGACGGCTTTCCTCTGCTAGACTCATCACCCGCAGCCAGAGCACAGGAAGGCATGCAGTCAGGAATGCCTGTCTGTCTATCCCTCCATTGGGAATCCCAACTCCTTTTATAATCTCCAACCGGCATAGCCAGAAGGGGACTGGCCACCCCTCAGAGCCTGGTTCCTCTCTAGGCTTCTTCCTAGGTTTCTGCCTTTCTAGGGAGTTTCTGTATAGCACTTTGTGACATCTGCTGATGTAAAAAGGGCTTTATAAATAAATTTGATTGATTGATTGAAAAGAAGTGGAACACAATCTCAAACAAAATTGAATGTGACAAACATTTCAATATCCCAAAGTTGATTTGGAAGAACTGGGGTATCAATTGAAATGGGATGGGTCACTCCCCATACCTCTGTCACTCCTTGAACACGTGTGTTCCCAGGTTGTTCTTTGCTGTAACATGTGAAGAGCCTCTACTCTTCCCTCAGGTCCTCTGTCTGTCACACATCTCTACAGAGCATCTGTACAGCAGCTTCTGAAATAGTTTCTGTCCAGACAAGACAACAGCTGTTTCTTTCATTCCAGCCTTCTTTTTCACAAAAAAATGCCTGTCCTCTTAAAAGGGAGACGAACTGAGGTTAATGATGTGGAAATGGTAGGCCTGCGCCTGACCACAATAACACCACGACAATGGTTTACAAAGTTAATGTACAGATTGAATTCTAGGTAACACTTTACCTGAACCGTCTGTCACAAAGTCTACATAATGCCATCATAGTAATGGCATAACAGTCATGACCGCTGATGTCAGCTTATAGGCCTAGCGACTAACTTTACATTATGCTAACCCAAAATCGTTATTAGGGCCAGCTAATGGGCAGGTCATAACTCTAGCCAACTAGCTGTTTCATGAGCTGACAGCTGGCATCAACTTATGCCTTTGTCCTGTCATCTTCACACTGATGGTCACCACTGCTGGCCAATACTCCATAAAGGCGTCACTCACTCACATCCCAGCGCTGCCACCAATTGTAAAATGTGGTGTGGAGGTTTCAGATCTGGTCAGGCCAGAGAGGGCCCTTATGAAATAAGTCAAGTCAAGGTTTACATACAATTCAGCTTGGTAAATTGTAATAAAATAGTATTGTGTTTCAGGCTGCCAGGCAGTTATAGCACTGAGCAGGGACAGTCGGAGCCACCAGGACGGGCTGTGTAAAGAAAACGGGGTGCCCCCACTGGTTCGCCTACTACGAGGGTCCCGGACCACAGAGAGAACCCTCCTCAGTGTTATACGATCCCTGGGCATCCTGTGTATTGGTTTGTACATTCTCACTGTGGCCTTAATCTTATCTTGAGAAACACAGTACATGCACTCAAAGGTTTGCATAAACCATGCATTGGTATCAATGGGAGATTTTAGTAAACCTTTGTCATGATACTACTTGACTATTTTGCCCATTGATGTTTTAACAGTGCTACAGTAGTAACATGGCTTTCAGACTTGACAACAGGTCACAGTATACAAGCTAATAATATACCATGACTTCTAGTGCATGCATGTTTCATACTAATTTTAGGAGTGGCACACACCAATAACCCAAACAGCCAGAGGGTCATAGCTGAGGAGCAAGCCATTCCAACTCTGTTAGAACTTGTGACGCACCATGAATCACTGCAGGTCAAGGTAAATACATTGGAAATCGATCACCCCAAAAAATCTTTCTCTCTCCTCTTAAATTTCCTTGGTAGTGCCACAAAAGTCCCACAAACAAGGGCAGCCAATACTATAATTTTCCATTGAAAGCAATTTAGGCTTGGGTGACATGTTGACTCTCCTGCAGGTCCAAGTGGCTCAAACGCTGGCCTGTGTGCTGCTGGGAAACCAGGACCTACAAACGGCCTTTTGGGAAAAAAAGGAGTTTACCTATGAAACAGTTCTAGAGTTGCTGCGAGTGCCAGATCAGGTAAACCATTTGAAAGGCTATTTGTGGGCTACTTCATATCCTCAAACCAACTTTAGCCCAGTATGTAATTGAACCTTTCAGTATGTCAGCAGTCAGCACAGTCACTAACAATATGTTGTGGAACAAGAGATGGGTCTAGTACAGATTAGAAAGAAAAGCTTACAAGATCCAATACAGGTATCTCAATGTGCAATGAACTACTGGCACCTAATGGACAAGGACTGCTCAAGCACTAAGGGGTGTTGACAATCCGTAAAGTGGATTCCCCATGGCAATTGCGGAAGTGATTTGTCATGTTTGCCTTTTCCCAATAGGACATCTGCCTGGAGGCTGGTTATGCCCTGTCTCTGTTTGCCTACAACAACACCACCCAGCAGGCAGCCATCCTGCAGAATGGTGGCCTTCCCATAGCCATGTACGAGGCCTTCTTGAACTCCAGGAACGAGATGGAGAGGGCCAAAGCTGCTTTTCAGGTAGCCATGAAGCAGATCATTGAAAAAATTAACATGAGGGCCACAGTAATATCAATGGGTCATTAACAGCTGCTGATTTGTATGTGCTTTCTGTCTTGACACGGAATTAGTGTTAGGTAATGCCTTTTATCGCTACCTTTTAGTTTCGTGGTAACTGGTCACTACTCTCTCCAGATAGTCGTGTTGGCCAAAGTGATCACAGACACGGACCAGGTGACTCTGTCTGCCAGAGGGGTGACTGGCCTTGTAGACCTTCTGCAGTCCACTAATCCCAACACTGTGGTCCTGACAGGTAACTTCAGCCCAGTACTATGTATGGGAAGAACATTATATACAGTGGGGAGAACAAGTATTTGATACACTGCCGATTTTGCAGGTTTTCCTACTTACAAAGCATGTAGAGGTCTGTAATTTGTATCATATGTACACTTCAACTGTGAGAGACGGAAAAAAAAATCCAGAAAATCACATTGTATGATTTTTAAGTAATTAATTTGCATTTTATTGCATGACATAAGTATTTGATCACCTACCAACCAGTAAGAATTCCGGCTCTCACAGACCTGTTAGTTTTTCTTTAAGAAGCCCTCCTGTTCTCCACTCATTACCTGTATTAACTGCACCTGTTTGAACTCGTTACCTGTATAAAAGACCTGTCCACACACTCAATCAAACAGACTCCAACCTCTCCACAATGGCCAAGACCAGAGAGCTGTGTAAGGACATCTGGGATAAAATGGTAGACCTGCACAAGGGTGGGATGGGCTACAGGACAATAGGCAAGCAGCTTGGTGAGAAGGCAACAACTGTTGGCGCAATTATTAGAAAATGGAAGAAGTTCAAGATGACGGTCAATCACCCTCCGTCTGGGGCTCCATGCAAGATCTCACCTCGTGGGGCACCAATGATCATGAGGAAGGTGAGGGATCAGCCCAGAACTACACGGCAGGACCTGGTCAATGACCTGAAGAGAGCTGGGACCACAGTCTCAAAGAAAACCATTAGTAACACACTACGCCATACTACGCCGTCATGGATTAAAATACTGCAGCGCACGCAAGGTCCCCCTGCTCAAGCCAGCGCATGTCCAGGCCCGTCTGAAGTTTGCCAATGACCATCTGGATGATCCAGAGGAGGAATGGGAGAAGGTCATGTGGTCTGATGAGACAAAAATAGAGCTTTTTGGTCTAAACTCCACTCTCCGTGTTTGGAGGAAGAAGAAGGATGAGTACAACCCCAAGAACACCATCCCAACCATAAAGCATGGAGGTGGAAACATCATTCTTTGGGGATGATTTTCTGCAAAGGGGACAGGACGACTGCACCGTATTGAGGGGAGGATGGATGGGGCCATGTATTGCGAGATCTTGGCCAACAACCTCCTTCCCTCAGTAAGAGCATTGAAGATGGGTCGTGGCTGGGTCTTCCAGCATGACAACGACCCGAAACACACAGCCAGGGCAACTAAGGAATGGCTCCGTAAGAAGCATCTCAAGGTCCTGGAGTGGCCTAGCCAGTCTCCAGACCTGAACCCAATAGAAAATCTTTGGAGGGAGCTGAAAGTCCGTATTGCCCAGCGACAGCCCCGAAACCTGAAGGATCTGAAGAAGGTCTGTATGGAGGAGTGGGCCAAAATCCCTGCTGCAGTGTGTGCAAACCTGGTCAGGTCCTACAGGAAACGTATGATCTCTGTAATTGCAAACAAAGGTTTCTGTACCAAATATTAAGTTCTGCTTTTCTGATGTATCAAATACTTATGTCATGCAATAAAATGCAAATTAATTACTTAAAAATCATAATGTGATTTTCTGGATTTTTGTTTTAGATTCCGTCTCTCACAGTTGAAGTGTACCTATGATCAAAATTACAGACCTCTACATGCTTTGTAAGTAGGAAAACCTGCAAAATCGGCAGTGTATCAAATACTTGTTCTCCCCACTGTACACTAAACAAAAATATAAACGCAACATGTAAACTGTTGGTCCCATGTTTCATTAGCTGTAATAAAAGATCCCAGAAATGTTCCATATGCACAAAAAGCTTATTTCTCTCACATTTTGTGCACAAATTTGTTTACATCCCTGTTAGTGAGCATTTCTCCTTTGCCAAGATAATCCATCCACCTGACAGGTGTGGCATATCATGAAGCTGATTAAGCAGCATGGTCATTACACGGGTGCACCTTGTGCTGGGGACAATAAAAACCCACTCTAAAATGTGCAGTTTTGAATGCACAGAAATACTGTGACGAGATCCTGACGCGCATTTTCTTTAAAGGTATCTGTGACCAACAGATACATAATTAATTAATTTCAATTGACTGACTTCCTTATATGAACTGTAACTCAGTAAAATCTTTGAAATTGTTGCATGTTACGTTTATATTTTTGTTCAGTATAGAATAACACTTGTCTGACCTTGCTGCATACATTTCTGCCATAGCTCAGTTGCTAGCCAGTCTGGCTCACACCCGGGCAGGTATTCCTGATGCTATTGTCACCATGGGAGCTGTTGGTCACCTATGCGCTCACCTGTATTCTGAGGAGGAAGAGGTAAGGATGGGACTGGTGGTATGGGGGAGCATTCCTGTCTATGACTATTGCCTGAAAATTACCAAGATAATTCATTCTACAACCATCAAATGCTATCCAACTTTACATATTTCAGGTTATGATGTGCAGATTTTTGATACAAGCATGGTGGTGAAATCCTTAATATTTTCAGGTGCGAACGGCATCTTCAAGTGCCCTCGGCTACCTCACCTTTAATCGTCACGCACATCGCCTCTTGTTGGTGGAATGTCGAAACACTCCATCTATGTACGACCTTATGACCCAGCATCTCATCGAGGACGCCAAGATCTCACACGTTTTTACTGCTGAGTTCGAAAGGCAGAAAATAGTGGGGCTGCCATCACTAAGGTATGTTAGTTTTTTTGCCCTAAAAAGCAATGCTTTCATATATTTCTAGCTGGGATAACATCAATAATTTCTGTCCTTTTTAACAGTTTGGAGATAAATGGTGGCCCACCTGTTCCTCAACGCAACAAAAAAGGTACATTTTGTTATGCTGTAAATAATGATTTGAATCTATTTATATAATAAAAAGTCATAATGGTCTATGTCATCGTCTTTGTCGCCTCTACCTATGTCAGGTTTGTCCAAAAAGACAAGCCGCACTCCTGGCCTGTCAGTGTCTGCAGGCCACTTTGGGCGGACCAGCTCGGCTCCAGTTCTTCAGCTTCAACCCCAGAGGAGCAGGACAGCCAACCCCAAGGTTAGGCTGCAGGGAGAGTGGCCAACCCATAGCTCCCAGCCCACCCTGGAGTCACTGGGGCTGGATAAGGACAGCCAGAGACCCCAGCAAAGGCAGTGACCCTGGAGGTCAGCCTAGGATCTAGCCTGACTGGACTAGCTTAAAGTAGTAGTGAATTTATGACTCAGGGAACCATTCTATTTATGTTCAAGATGAATATATTACATTTATATTATTAATGGGAAAGACTGACTTAATGGAATAATATATTGGAAGTCGGTTGAATAAAAAAACAAAATGAAACACCTAGTCCTTTCTGTCCTTTCTGCCAGGATGTACAGTACCAGTCAAAAGTTTGGACACCTACTCACACCTACTCATTCCAGGGTTTTTCTTCTATTTTTTACATTGTAGAATAATAGTGAAGACATCAAAACTATGAATTAACACATATGGAATCATGTAGTAACCAAAAAAGTGTTAAACAAATCAAAATATATTTTACATTTGAGATTCTTCAAATAGCCACCCTTTGCCTTGATGACAGCTTTGCACACTCTTGGCATTCTCTCAACCAGCTTCACCTGGAATGCTTTTCCAACAGTCTTGAAGGAGTTCCCACATATGCTGAGCACTTGTTGGCTGCTTTTCCTTCACTGCGGTCCAACTCATCCTAAATCATCTCAATTGGGTTGAGGTCGGGGGATTGTGGAGGCCAGGTCATCTGATGCAGCACTCCATCACTCTACATCTTGGTAAAATAGCCCTTCCACAGCCTGAAGGTGTGTTGGGTCATTGTCCTGTTGAAAAACAAATGATAGTCCCACTAAGCTGTCCCTAGCTGTGTGTTGCCGCTTTCCATGTCTGTTGTCTGTAACTTGTGAGGTGTGGAAACACTTTGTTGCTTTTATGAATTTTGTCTTGCTGCTTTTTGTTCTATGTTGCTCGGTCTGTATGCTACGTCTTGTTTGTCCTATGTTGCTATGTCTGTATGCTATGTCTTGTTCTATGTTGTTATTGTCTATATTGTAATTGTTTTTAAACCTGCCCAGGGACTGCGGTTGAAAATTAGCCGGCTGGCTAAAACCGGCACTTTTACTGAAACGTTGATTAATGTGCACTGTCCCTGTAAAAATAAACTCAAACTCAAACTCAAGCCCAAACCAGATGGGATGGCGTATCGCTGCAGAATGCCGTGGTAGCCATGCTGGTTAAGTGTGCCTTGAATTCTAAATAAATCACAGACAGTGTCACCAGCAAAGCACCCCCACACCAGTACCTCCTCCTCCATGCTTTACAGTGGCAAATACACATGCGGAGATCATCTGGTCACCCACACCGCGTCTCACAAAGACATGGCGGTTGGAACCAAAAATCTCCAATTTGGACTCATCAGACCAAAGGACAGATTTCCACCGGTCTAATGTCCATTGCTCATGTTTCTTGGCCCAAGCAAGTCTCTTCTTATTATTGGTGTCCTTTAGTAGTGGTTTCTTTGCAGCAATTCGACCATGAAGGCCTGATTCACGCAGTCTCCTCTGAACAGTTGATGTTGAAATGTGTCTGTTACTTGAACTCTGTGAAGCATTTATTTGGGCTGCAATTTCTGAGGCTGGTAACTCTAACTTATCTTCTGCAGCAGAGGAAACTGGGTCTTCCATTCCTGTGGCGGTCCTCATGAGAGCCAGTTTCATCATAGCGCTTGATGGTTTTTGCGACTGCACTTGAAGAAACGTTCAAAGCTCTTGAAATGTTCCAGATTGACTGACCTTCATGTCTTAATGTAATGATGGACTGTTGTTTCTCTTTGCTTATTTGAGCTGTTCTTGCCATAATATGGACTTGGGTCTTTTACCAAATAGGGCTATATTCTATATAGGTTAGACTACCTTGGCACAACACAACTGATTGGATCAAACGCATTAAGAAGGAAAGAATTTTCACAAATTAACTTTAAAGAAGTGTCACGACTTCCGCAGAGGCTGCCTCCCCTCCTTGTTCGGGCAGGTTTCGGCGTTCGGCGTCACCGGCTTACTAGCTACTGCCGATCCATTTATCATCACTCCATTTGTCTTGTCTTCAATCACACACACCTGGTCCTTATTCCCTCATTAGTCATGGTAAAAGTGTTCCCTCTGCTTCCTTGTCTGTGTGGGTGATTGTTTGTTTGTGGAGGTTAGTGAAGCTCGTGTATTGACGGGAGTATTTTTCCCATGTGCCTTGTATCTTCCAGTGCGCCTGTTTTGTGCCCTGGAGTGTATTTGACGCATTTCTGCGTAAACCTGTATTTTGCGGATTAAAGCCTGTTATTCTGTGATTTACCCTCCTGCGCCTGACTCCTTCATCACCACCTCATCACAAGAAGGCAAACCTGTTAATTGAAATGCATTCCAGGTGACTACCTCATGAAGCTGGTTGAGAGAATGCCAAGAGTGTGCAAAGCTGTCATCAAGGCAAAGGGTGGCTACTTTGAAGAATCTCAAATATAAAGTATATTTTGATTTGTTTAACACTTTTTTGGTTACTGTATGATTCCATATGTGTTATTTCATAGTTTTGATGTCTTCACTATTATTCTACAATGTTAAAATAAAGAAAAATCCTTGAATGAGTAGGTGTGTCCAAACTTTTGACTGGTAGTGTATTTCAAAAGTTTAATCGTAAATAGTAGGAAATATATGCGTCATGGATATGCACATAAGTGAACGTCAGTCCAAAATCCTCAGCTTTAATGGTGGAAGTTTGATAGCTGCCTCCTTCACTTCTGCTGTTATGTCCACACCCAGGGGAGCTCTAGAACACAAGGAGCAACAATTAAGCTATAGAACTTATCAATAGAAGTTGGCCATCTTTTTTACTTATTAACTGTAAACTCTGTTACTTTTACTTACTTGGGCTCATAGTTGACCTCCTCAGTATGGGACAGGATGCCCTTTCCTTCCCTCAGTCTCTCAACTCCATTCCTGAAATAAAGTGTAGTTGAATGCACTGGACTCCAAAGCCATATATAAGCTGTGTATAGCTTACTATCTTATTTCTCATGTTTTCTTTTATCTACAGTACCAGTCAAAAGTTTGGACACACCTACTCATACAAGGGTTTTTCTTTATTTTTACTATTTTCTACATTGTAATTTAGAATAATAGTGAAGACATCAAACCTATGAAATAACACATATGGAATCATGTAGTAACCAAAAAAGTGTTAAACAAATCAAAATATACTTTATATTTGAGATTCTTCAAATAGCCACCCTTTGCCTTGATGACAGCTTTGCACACTCTTGCCATTCCCTCAACCAGCTTCTCCAACAGTCTTGAAGGAGTTCCCACATATGCTGAGCACTTGTTGGCTGCTTTTCATTCACTATGCTGTCCGACTTATCCCAAACCATCTCAATTGGGTTGAGGTCGGGTGATTGTGGAGGCCAGTTCATCTGATGCAGCACTCCATCATGCTCCTTCTTGGTCAAATAGCCCTTACACAGCCTGGAGGTGTGTTTTGGGTCATTGTCCAGTTGAAAAACAAACGATAGTACGACTAAGCGCAAACCAGATGGGATGGCGTATCGCTGCAGAATGCTGTGGTAGCCATGCTGGTGAAGTGTGCCTTGAATTCTAAATAAATTACCAACAATGTCACCAGCAAAGCACCATCACACCTCCTCCTCCATGCTTCATGGTGGAAACCACACATGCAGAGATCATCCGTTCACCTACTCTGCGTCTCACAAAGACACGGCGGTTGGAACCAAAAATGTCAAATTTGGACTCAGATTTCCACTGGTCTAATGTACATTGCTCGTGTTTCTTGGCCCAAGCAAGTCTCTTCTTCTTATTGGTGTCCTTTAGTAGTGTTTTATTTGCAGCAATTCGACCATGAAGGCCTGATTCACACAGTCTCCTCTGAACAGTTGATGTTGAGATGTGTCTGTTACTTGAACTCTGTGAGGCATTTATTTGGGCTGCAATCTGAGGTGCAGTTAACTCTAATGAACTTATCCTCTGCAGCAGAGGTAACTCTGGGTCTCATGAGAGCCAGTTTCATCATAGAGCTTGATGGTTTTTGCGACTGCACTTGAAGAAACTTTAAAAGTTATTGAAATTTTACAGATTGACTGACCTTCATGTCTTAAAGTAAAGATGGACTGTCGTTTCTCTTTGCTTATTTGAGCTGTTCTTGCCATAATATGGACTTGGTCTTTTACCAAATAGGGCTATCTTCTGTATACCACCCCTACCTTATCACAACACAACTGATAGGCTCAAACGCATTAAGAAGGAAATAAATTCCACAAATGAACACCTGTTAATTGAAATGCATTCCAGGTGACTACCTCATGAAGCTGGTTGAGAGAATGCCAAGAGTGTGCAAAGCTGTCATCAAGGCAAAGGGTGGCAACTTTGAAGAATCTGAAATATAACATATATTTTGATTTGTTTAACACTTTTTTGGTTACTACATGATTCCATGTGTTATTTCATAGTTTTGATGTCTTCACTATTATTCTACAATGTAGAAAATAGTAAAAATAAAGAAAAACCCTGGAATGAGTAGGTGTGTCCAAACTTTTGACTGGTGCTGTATATACACTTCTGTTCAAAAGTTTGGGGTCACTTAGAAATGTCCTTGTTTTCCATGAAAACATACATGAAATTAGTTTGAATAGGAAATATAGCAAAATGAATAGGAAATGTAGTCATTGAAAAGGTTAGAAATAATGATTTTTAATTGAAATAATAATTGTGTCCTTCAAACTTTGCTTTCGTCAAAGAATCCTCCATTTGCAGTAATACAGCCTTGCAGACCTTTGGCATTCTAGTTGTCAATTTGTTGAGGTAATCTGAAGAGATTTCACCCCATGCTTCCTGATGCACCTCCCACAAGTTGGATTGGCTTGATGGGCACTTCTTACGGTCAAGCTGCTCCCACAACAGCTCAATACGGTTGAGATCCATTTTACATTTACATTTTAGTCATTTAGCAGACGCTCTTATCCAGAGCGACTTACAGTTAGCACATACATTATTTTATCGAACCCACAACCCTGGCGTTGCAAACGCCATGCTCTACCAACTGAGCTACATCCCCTGCCGGCCATTCCCTCCCCTACCCTGGACGACGCTGGGCCAATTGTGCGCCGCCCCATGGGTCTCCCGGTCGCGGCCGGCTACGACAGATCCGGTGACTGTGCTTGCCACTCCATTATAGACAGAATACCAGCTGACTGCTTCTTCCCTAAATAGTTATTGCATAGTTTGGAGCTGTGCTTTGGGTCATTGTCCTGTTGTAGGAGGAAATTGGCTCCAATCAAGCGCCGTCCACAGGGTATGGCATGGCGTTGCAAAATGGAGTGATAGCCTTCCTTCTTCAAGATCCCTTTTACCCTGTACAAATCTCCCACTTTACCACCACCAAAGCACCCCCAGACCATCACATTGCCTCCACCATGCTTGACAGATGGCATCAAGCACTCCTCCAGCATCTTTTCATTTGGTCTGCGTCTCACAAATGTTCTTCTTTGTGATCCGAACACCTCAAACTTCGATTCGTCTGTCCATAACCCTTTATTCCAATCTTCCTCTGTCCAGTGTCTGTGTTCTTTTGCCCATCTTAATCTTTTCTTTTTATTGGCCAGTCTGAGATATGGCTTTTTCTTTGCAACTCTGCCTAGAAGGTCAGCATCCCGGAGTCGCCTCTTCACTGTTGACGTTGAGACTGGTGTTTTGCGGGTACTATTTAATGACGCTGCCAGTTGAGGACCTGTGAGGCGTCTGTTTCTCAAACTAGACACTAATGTATTTGTCCTCTTGCTCAGTTGTGCACCGGGGCCTCCCACTCCTCCTTCTATTCTGGTTAGAGCCAGTTTGCGCTGTTCTGTGAAGGGAGTAGTACACAGCGTTGTACGAGATCTTCAGTTTCTTGGCAATTTTTCGCATGGAATAGCCTTAATTTCTCAGAACAAGAATAGACTGACGAGTTTCAGAAGAAAGTGAGCCTGTAATCGAACCCACAATTGCTGATGCTCCAAATACTCAACTAGTCTCAAGAAGGCCAGTTTTATTGCTTCTTTAATCAGCACAACAGTTTTCAGCTGTGCTAACATAATTGCAAAAGGGTTTTCTAATGATCAATTAGCCTTTTAAAATGATAAACTTGGATTAGCAAACACAACGTGCCATTGGAACACAGGACTGATGGTTGCTGATAATGGGCCTCTATACGCCTATGTAGATATTCCATTATAAATCAGTCGTTTTCAGCAACAATAGCCATTTACAACATTAACAATGTCTACACTGTATTTCTAATCAATTTGATGTCATTTTAATGGACAAAAAAATTGATTTTCTTTAGAAAACAAGGACATTTCTAAGTGACCCAAAACTTTTGAACGGTAGTATATACAGGTAAAAGTCAGTAAATTAGAATATTTTGAAAAACTTGATTTATTTCAGTAATTGCATTCAAAAGGTGTAACTTGTACATTATATTTATTCATTGCACACAGACTGATGCATTCAAATGTTTATTTCATTTAATTTTGATGATTTGAAGTGGCAACAAATGAAAATCCAAAATTCCGTGTGTCACAAAATTAGAATATTGTGTAAGGGTTACATTTTGAAGACACCTGGTGCCACAAAATAATCAGCTGATTAACTCAAAACACCTGCAAAGGGCTTTAAATGGTCTCTCAGTCCAGTTCTGAAGCCTACACAAACATGGGGAAGACTTCAGATTTGACAGCTGTCCAAAAGGCGACCATCGACACATTGCACAAGGAGGGAAAGACACAAAAGGTTATTGCAGAAGAGGCTGGCTGTTCTCAGAGCTCTGTGTCCAAACACATTAATAGAGAGGCAAAGGGAAGGAAAAACTGTGGTCAGAAAAAGTGTACAAGCGATAGGGATCACCGCGCCCTAGTCAAGATTGTGAAAAAAAACCCATTCAAAAATGTGGGGGAGATTCACAAGGAGTGGACAGCTGCTGGAGTCAGGGCTTCAAGATCCACCACCAAGAGACGCTTGAAAGACATGGGTTTCAACTGCCGCATACCTCGTGTCAAGCCACTGTTGACCAAGAAACAGCGCGAAAAGCGTCTCACCTGGGCTAAGGAAAAAAAGAGCTGGACTGCTGCTGATTGGTCTAAAGTCATGTTTTCTGACGAAAGCAAATTTTGCATTTCCTTTGGAAATCGAGGTCCCAGAGTCTGGAGGAAGACAGGAGAGGCACAGGATCCACGTTGCCTGAAGTCTAGTGTAAAGTTTCCACCATCAGTGATGGTTTGGGGTGCCATGTCATCTGCTGGTGTCGGTCCACTCTGTTTCCTGAGATCAAGGGTCAACGCAGCCGTCTACCAGCAAGTTTTAGAGCACTTCATGCTTCCTGCTGCTGACCTGCTCTATGGAGATGGAGATTTCAGGTTCCAACAGGACTTGGCGCCTGCACACAGCGCAAAATCTACCCGTGCCTGGTTTACGGACCATGGTATTTCTGTTCTAAATTGGCCAGCCAACTCCCCTGACCTTAGCCCCATAGAAAATCTGTGGGGTATTGTGAAAAGGAAGATGCAGAATGCCAGACCCAACAACGCAGAAGAGTTGAAGGCCACTATCAGAGCTAAGCATAATAAAAGGGGCCCCAAAAAAAAACTTTTTTAATTTTTGGAAAACTTCCCATTGCCAGGCCCCGGGGGCCCCCAAAAATTAAAGCAAAAATTGCCATACCTCGTATTTCTATGGCCACAATGGCAACTGCCTAGAAGGTCAGCATCCGGAGCGCCTCTTCATGTGACGTGAGACTGGGTTTGCGGGTACTATTTATACGCTGCAGTTGAGGACCTGTGAGGCGTCTGTTTCTCAAACTAGACACTAATGTATTTGTCCTCTTGCTCAGTTGTGCACGGGGCCTCCCACTCCTCCTTCTATTCTGTTAGAGCCAGTTTGCGCTGTCTGTGAAGGGAGTAGTACACAGCGTTGTACGAGATCTTCAGTTTCTTGGCAATTTTTCGCATGGAATAGCCTTAATTTCTCAGAACAAGAATAGACTGACGAGTTTCAGAAGAAAGTGAGCCTGTAATCGAACCACAATGCTGATGCTCCAAATACTCAACTAGTCTCACTTTCTACTTTCAGTGGCAACATTTCTAAAAGCCTTTTGTACACCTTTTGTGACACACGGATTTTGGATTTTCATTGTTGCATTAATCTCAAAAGTAAATGAATAAACATTTGAAGCATCATCTTGCAATGAAAAATATCAAGTACAAGTACATTTGAATGCAATACGAAATAAATCTTATAAATACTAATTATATTTATATATATATATATAGTGAGGGGGGAAAAGTATTGGGGTCATAGGCAGCATTCCTCCTCCTCCAAACACGGTGAGTTGAGTTGATGCTAAAGAGCTCGATTTTGGTCTCATCTGACCACAACACTTTCACCCAGTTCTCCTCTGAATCATTCAGATGTTCATTGGCAAACTTCAGACGGCCCTGTATATGTGCTTTCTTGAGCAGGGAGACCTTGCAGGATTTCAGTCCTTCACGGCGTAGTGTGTTACCAATTATTTTCTTGGTGACTATGGTCCCAGCTGCCTTGAGATCATTGACAAGATCCTCCCGTGTAGTTCTGGGCTAATTCCTCACCGTTCTCATGATCATTGCAACTCCACAAGGTGAGATCTTGCATGGAGCCCCAGGCCGAGGGAGATTGACAGTTATTTTGTGTTTCTTCCATTTGCGAATAATCGCACCAACTGTTGTCACCTTCTCACCAAGCTGCTTGGCAATGGTCTTGTAGCCCATTCCAGCCTTGTGTAGGTCTACAATCTTGTCCCTGACATCCTTGGAGAGCTCTTTGGTCTTGGCCACGGTGGAGAGTTTGGAATCTGATTGATTGATTGCTTCTGTGGACAGGTGTCTTTTATACAGGTAACAAACTGAGATTAGGAGCACTCCCTTTAAGAGTGTGCTCCTAATCTCAGCTCATTACCTGTATAAAAGACGCCTGGGAGACAGAAATCTTTCTGATTGAGAGGGGGTCAAATACTTATTTCTCTCAATAAAATGCAAATCAATTTATAACATTTTTGACATGCGTTTTTCTGTCTGAGAGACAGAATAACAACAAATAAACCTACCATTAAAATTATAGACTGATCATTTCTTTGTCAGTGGGCAAACGTACAAAATCAGCAGGGGATCAAATACTTTTTTCCCCTCACTGTATATATATATATTATTTTATTATTTATACTATTTTGATATTGATTCCTGCACTGTTGGGTAGAGCATACAAGTTAAGCATTTCACTGTACTTGTGCATGTGACCAAACAACTAACTATATATTTTCAAAACCAAAATAACTAATAGTCTTCTACATACCATGCGATCATGACTCCATTGTCAGTACAAAACTTGGACGGAGGACAAAGCAAATGTAATCCAGTGGTGTCAGTGACAATCTTCAAAGTCTTTCGAATGTACTGGTTACTGGCAACTCCTCCTGACACCACCTAACAGAGCAAAAAAACATTTAGGACACCATATGCTTGTTTGTAGAAATACAGTGTCTTCAGAAAGTATTCACACCCCTTGACTTTTTCCAAATGCTGTTGTGTTACTGCCTGAATTTAAAATGGATTAAATTGAGATTTTGTGTCACTGGCCTACAGACAATACCCAATAATAATGTCAAAGTGGAATTATGTTTTTCAAAATTGTTACAAATTAGGCAAGCCTAAATACGTTCAGAAGTAAAAATGTGCTTAACAAGTTGCATGGACTCACTCTGTGATCAATAATAGTGTTTAACATTATTTTTGAATGACTACCTCATCTCTGTACCCCACACATACAATTATCTGTAAGGTCCCTCAGTTGAGCAGTGAATTTCAAACACAGATTCAACCACAAAGACCAGGGAGGTTTTCCAATGCCTCGCAAAGAAGGGCACCTATTGGTAGATGGGTAAAAAAGAAGACATTGAATATCCCTTTGAGCATGGTGAAGTTATTGATTACACTTTGGATGGTGTATCAATACACCCAGTCACTACAAAGATACAGGTGTCCTTCCTAACTCTGTTGCCGGAGAGGAAGGAAACCGCTCAGGGATTTCACCATGAGGCCAATGGTGACTTTAAAACAGTTACAGAGTTTAATGGCTGTGATAGAAGAAAACTGAGGATAGATCAACAACATTGTAGTTACTCCACAATACTAACCTAATTGATGGAGTGAAAAGAAGGAAGCCTGTACAGAACAAAAATATTCCAAAACATGCATCCTGTTTGCAATAAGGCACTAAAGTAAAACTGCAAAAAATGTGGCAAAGAAATGAACTTTATGTCCTGAATACAAAGCTTTATGTTTGGGGCAAATCCAACACAACACATCACTGAATACCACTTTTCATATTTTCAAGCATGGTGGTGACTGCATCATGTTATGGGTGTGCTTGTCATCGGCAAGGACTAGGGAGTTTTTTTTATGATAAAAAGAAACGGAATAGAGCTAAGCACAGGCAAAATCCTTGAGGAAAACTTGGTTCAGTCTGCTTTACAACAGACACTGGGAGACAAATTCACCTTTCAGCAGGATAATAACCTAAAACACAAGACCAAATATACACTGGAGTTGCTTACCAAGACAACATTGAATGTTCTTGAGTGGCCTAGTTACAGTTCTGACTTAAATCGGCTTGAAACTCTATGGCAAGACTTCAAAATGTATGTCTAGCAATGATCAACAACCAACTTGACAGAGCTTGAAGGATTTTAAAAAGACTTATGTGCAAATATTGTACAATCCAGGTGTGGAAAGCTCTTAGAGACTTACCCAGAAAGACCAAAGCTGATTCTAACATGTATTGACTCAGGGGGTTGAATACTTATCTAATCAAGATACAGTGAGCTCTAAAAGTATTGTGACAGTGACAAATGTGTTGTTTTGGCTCTGTACTCCAGCACTTTGGATTTGATACAATGACTATGAGGTTAAAGTGCAGACAGTCAGCTTTAATTTTAGGGTATGTTCATCCATATCAGGTGAACCATTTATAAATTACAGCACTTTTTGTAAATATTCCCCCCATTTTAGGGGACCAAAAGTATTGGGACAAATTCACTTATGTGTATTAAAGTTTAGTATTTGTTCCCATATTCCTGGCATGCAATGATTATATCAAGCTTGTGATGCTACAAACCTGTTGGATGGATTTGCTGTTTATTTTGGTTGTGTTTCAGATTATTTTGTGCCCAATAGAAATGAATGGTAAATAATGTATTGTGTGATTTTGGAGTCACTTTTATTGTAAATAAGAATAGAATATGTTTCTAAACACTTCTACATGAATGTGCACGCTACCATGATTACGGATGATGAATGAATTGTGAATAATGATGAGTGAGAAACTAACCTGTCATTGTTAATCAATATTCACGATTCAATCAGGACTATCCGTAATCATGGTAGCATCCAAAGTGCTGGAGTACAGAGCCAAATCAACAAAAAATGTGTCACTGCCCCAATACTTTTGAAGCTCATTGTACACTGAGTATACCAAACAGTAGGAATACCTTCAGGACAGCCTCAATTCGTCGGGGCAAGAACTTTACAAGGTGTCAAAAGCGTTCCTCAGGGATGCTTGCCCATGTTGACTCCAATGCTTCCCACAGTTGTGTCAAGTTGGCTGGATGTCCTTTGGGTGGTGGAACATTCTTGACACACACAGGAAACTTCTTGACACAAACCGGTGCGCCTGGCACCTACTACCATACCCTGTTCAAAGTCACTTAAATATTTTTTCTTGCCCATTCACCCTCTGAATGGCACACATACACAATTTACATTTTACATTTTAGTCATTTAGCAGACGCTCTTATCCAGAGCGACTTACAGTTAGTGAGTGCATACATTTTCCTACTGGCCCCCCATGGGAATCTATGTCTCAAGGCTTAAAAATCCTTCTTTAACCTGTCTCCTCCCATGCATCTACACTGATTGAAGTGGATTTAACAAGTGACATCAATAAGGGATCATAGCTTTCACCTGGATTATATGTCATGGAAAGAGCAGGTGTTCTTAATGTTTTGTACTCTCAGTGTATATTTGTGTTTTATTTTTTATTAATTTTTAACAAATGTTAGAATTTTTTCTTCCACTTTGACAGAGTATTTTATGTAGATCGTTGACAAAAAATGACAATTAATTCCACAACAAAATGTGGAAAAAGTCAAGGGGTGTGAATACTTTCTGAAGGAGATCATTCAATGCAATATTGTGGATTAGAAAATCTTGATAGCTGTGAAAACCACTTCCAATGATGGGATTTCACTCACCAGCGTTGGATTGCAGGAAGGCAGAAGGCCTTTGGCCTTACAGAACAAAATGGCACGATGTGTGCGCTTGGCAATGTGAGAGGCCACTGTGTGCTGTGTAGCAGCAGCTATGTCATTCACACATGACAACAAAGTTCCCTGCTCCACACCTTGGATGAAAAAAACATGTAGGAGCATTTTCACACTTAAAGGAAAACTCCACCCAAAAAATTTCTTTTGGTATTTGTTTCATTAGTCCATTGTTGATATAGTCCCAAAATGTTTTGCATATCAGCAATCAAGGTTTCAAGATATAACTTTCAAAATACAGAAATATAGCCGGTGTGATGCATTTTGCATCATATGATGCAAAATGCATCATACCAGCTGTATTTTGAAAGTTATATATCTTGAAACCTTGATGACTGGCTGACATGCAAAAAAAAAATGGGACTATATCAACAATGGACTAATGAAACAAATATCAAAAGATTGCTTTTGGGTGGAATTGTCCTTTAAATTATCTGATTCAATTAGTTGATTAGGGAAAGGTTATGATATAAATGCATATTATATCTTTATGAATTATTTATTACCTTCCTCCTTCTCTTTTTTCTGTATTGACATCGTCACCTGATTTCGCAGACCAGCGAAGGAGAAGTTACAGTCATAGTGCACTCCCATTGGTGGCTTGAAGAGAAACTTCAACCTGTCTCCATCTTGAGCCAGAAGCTCTATTGCTTGACCCCCACTTATCATGGAGCACTTTGGGTGTTTGATGAGTGATAAACGTCTTGCCACCTGTGAACACACAAATGTCACAAATTCAAGGCCAAGAAAACCCACCGGCCTCTGATAAGTGTTTTCTCAAAGTTAGACTCTTTACCTTGTCCATAGTGTCCCCTGGAGCTTCATCTAGTGTTTGACCCAGGAGAAGAAAGTCGTCGACTCCTCTGGCCAGAGCCAAGAGAGAGTGACCCCCGGAGACTAGAAGGACAAGGAAGGGGAATACCACGGGCTGGAGCATCCTGACTGTCAGGGCATGGGCCTCCATGTGGTGGATGGGGATGAAGGGCTTCTGGTGTAGCTTTACAAAGTTCAGGCTGAAGTCCAGGCCTATCCCCAGACTCAGGGCCAGGCCCGGCTTCACTGTGGTGGCTACAGCAGACAGTTGACTCTGGGTGACGCCACTCCTCTCCATGGCCTCCTGGACAACGCGGCCTATGTTCTCTCTGTGGAGCCGCTGGGCAACAGTGGGAATAATCCCACCAGTCCTACAATCAAATACAAATGGAGAACATGATGTCCTGAGACATCTTTGCAAGGTTTTATCTTGATTCTTGACCAAGGGGGGCATTGCATTGATAAATCTGACAATCACTTTTGTTGAATGAACATGAAAAATTACAAGATTATACCCACTTCAAGTGCACCTCTTTTTGTGAATGAAGAGATTCTCCAAGGATTAAGCCTGTTTCATCCATTACAGCCGCACCTGTCTCGTCGCAGCTTGTCTCAATGCCGAGAACAAGCCTGGAACTCATTTTTCTTCTAAAATAACATTTGCATAAAATCTTGACTCTAAACATACGTGCGCCCTGTTGAGCCGAAGCGTTCAATGCAAACATTTTATTTCACTAAACCCGATTTTCCTGCATTTGCCAAAATACATGTTTTAAATTACTGAAATTTGGTAAGCGCCACTATCCGTAGAGAATCACAAGAGTGGGAGAAAAATAGCTCTGCTACTAGGGACCATTACGATGGTCTATTACTATTTTCTAAAGGTATGTCCTTAATTAATAACTTGATTATAAGTCTCACGACAATGCCGCTGTCAGGTGGGAATGAAATACGTTTGCATTTGTCGCAAAAGTTAAAATTGCGATGCTGACAAATTGTTAAGTGCGGAGCTCCACGACCTCACGCTTGTACTTCTGAGGAGCTTGTGTCACATATAAACGATTCCTCCATGAAACCTCACATAGTTTTCTAGCTAGGTGCAGTTACATTTGTCCAATTTGAAAATTGTGAAAGAAAATGTTTTGCAGGTATCAACGGGAATTTGTTTGAATTGAATGAGTACTTTTTTTATTAATCTAGAAAACAAAACCGTGAATGGCTCTGAATAGTGATAGCCTTTGTTTCAGGGGGAAATTATATGCAGTTGGACATCAACAAGCGTTGATGGAAATGTAGTGCCAGCTCCAAGTATCTGAATGAATGTCACCTTTTACAGTTCTAATCAAAGCTAGTCAACAAGGTAATTTGAATTCGGTAGTCAATATGCGGTAGGAGTCCATTTTTTGGATTTTATTTCATTTTTTTATGTTTTATTCTTTATATGTTAAGTTCACACTACAATCACCCCATACTTTTTTTAACACCTCTATCAAGTATTTTAGCTACTTTTCAGATGTATTTTATACCTGTTTCACTGTTTTTAGCTTCTACTATGTTTTTCTATGAGAAAACATTAATAATTACACATTTATAATGTTATCTACTAGAGAAAGAGTCAATGAAATGAAATCTATATCAATATTTATTGTGAGTATGCCCTTTATATTGTTTTTTTACACAAAATATACCTGTCTTTTGGTAGTCGTGTAATTTCCACCACTGAGGACAAATCCATAATTAATAATGTTTTCTCAAAAGACTGTTAATTTAGTTACCATGGAAACCTATTGTGACACTGAAGCACATGGCTGCAGCTGACAGTTGTTCCAGATGTGATGTCCAGAAGTTGAAGAAAAGTCTAGGTAAATATTGCTTGTGTAGAGACTATTTTTATTGTCAGTCATTTCCAAACAGGCTATAATTGTTTTAATTTGTGGTAGAATTTTGAAAAAATTTGTATATTTTATGTATTTAGTGTAAACTATATGCTAGCTGTAATACTAGCCAAAGCATGCTAAGCAGCCTGTCATTTTTCTCCAAAAACTGTGGAAATGTCATTTCCATCACAGTCATTTCCATCACAAACTTAATTAACTGTGGTGGAAATTACATAACATGGTGGAAATGACAAAAATCCATTATCTTATTAGTTATTATTAATTTTTATTTTTATTTTTTTACTTTAGGCTGATTTAATCATGTTTTAAATTAGTTTCATCTAGGAAATGCTCCAAGGTGTGCACAAGTTGAAAACTAAGTAGTATTTTTCTTTGTTTTTAGAAGATGCCACATAAAATAGCACAGAGGTCACAGACATATAGAAAAAAAAATTGAAAAAAAAGGTCCTATACATTTACATTTTTGTCATTTAGCAGACGCTCTTATCCAGAGCGACTTACAGGAGCAATTAGGGTTAAGTGCCTTGCTCAAGGGCACATCGACAGATTTTTCACCTAGTCGGCTCGGGGATTAGAACCAGCGACCTTTCGGTTACTGGCACAACGCTCTTAACCACTAAGCTACCTGCCGCCCCATACGATACCAGGAACATTTGCAAAAAGACAGGGAGAGATGCTGGAAGAAAAAAGAGAAGGGAGAAGTGAAATCTATCTCCGAGCTTACAAAGCGAGAACAAATAAGCAAGAGAAGGCAATGGAAATGCAACCAATGGACTTTAAAGAGAACAGTTGCAATGGAGACCTACCTATCAGGCAACACACCACCTCAGTCACCAGATGACTTGCAGCCAGAACATGAGGCCAACATACCTGCCCCTAACATACCTGCCCCTGATGCATGCCCTGATACCCCTTCTTCATCGTCTGCAACAGGGATGAGAAGTTGAATACTTGCTGGAAGGAAAAAGGTTGGAAGAGGTCGCTCAAAAACATACACAGATCTTTGCATGACAAATGTCAAACTTCATAATGCTTTACAGAAAGCTGAGAAGACCAAACAAAGGTATGATCAACTGATGAAGAAAATGGAGAGAAAGATTCCCCAAAGACAAAAACAAAACAGCAAATGAAGGGAACTCTGAATAACTGTTTTATTGTTTCAAAATGCCATCATTGCAGAGTTAAAGCAAAAGTATCAAAAAATGTGCAGTGCCAAGGACAAACAAGTGGCTTAAAAAATGCTCAGTGGCAACATCCTGAGAAAGTATGGCCTGGTCAAAGCCGCATACAGATAATTTGGATTTTCAGCAAAAGCAATGAGTGCAAATGAAAACAGACCAACAAGTCTTCAATACTCAAGGAAAAAGAAGTGTAACAGAATTAGCACAGCCACAGAAGAGAAAATCACTAGATTCTATGAATGTGATGACAACAGTAGAGCAACAACAGGGAAAAAGGACACACTAACCAGGAACAAGAAAAAAAAGCAGAAGTGCTTCTTGAATGGCACAATTCAGAACCTTTATCAGAAGTTTAAGAGGGAATATTCAGAGATTCAAATGTCCTTCTATGCATTCTGCAAAGCCAACAGTCCAGGATAGGGACATATGCCTCTGCAAAACCCACGCCAACCTCCAGTTCATGGCAGACAAACTACAGTATCACAAAGTGATCAGCTGCAGCAATACTGAGAACCTTATTGAGTCTTTGTGCTGTGAGAACCTGAAGAAAGAGTGCATGTATGTACACAGTGTGCTCCCTTTGCCAAGCAACGGAGCTTAAAACATCTGACTTTGATGCTGGTGAGCAGACATGGTGGTTTGAGTGGAAAAACAATGCTGAAGAGAGAGAGAAGGAAAAACAAAGACATTTGACAGTAAAAGAAAAGGTGTGTGGCACACTGCAGATTCTACTGGAGGACTTCTCCAAAGGATTGTAAGAGAAGTTGGGGAAACACGTGTACAACATTTGACACCAATACTCCAAACTGAGAGAATTAAAAGAGAATCTGGAGAAAGAGGAGATCATCATGCATATTGACTTTGCAGAGAACTACCTGTGTAAATACATCAGTGAAATCCAGGCAGTTCACTTTGGTGATTCTCACAAGCAGGTGACCCTCCACACCTGTGTTGGATATGCCACAAATTATACAGTTTCACTTTGCTCACTGAGCTCTTCGATAACCCCTCTGCTATCTGGGCCCATCTCTCAAAAACACTGGCCTACTTTCTTGAGCTCTGCCCATCGGCTACTGCTGTACACTTTGTGAGTGATGGGCCTACAACCCAGTATAGGTCTAAAAATAATGTATACTATCAAACCCTTCCCTTTGGAATGGGCTTCCAGAGAGTCACATGGAATTTCCTAGAAGCCGGACATGGAAAAGGCCCAGCTGATTGGGTAGGAGCAGCTGTGAAACGAAGAGCAGATGGAATTGTGGCACAAGGCAAGGACCTCCCAAATGGAAGAACTGTATTTGAGGAACTGTCAAAAGATCAGTCAGCTATCAAGCTCTTCTATATCTCAGAGGAGGAGATAGAGAGCATGGAGGACCTCCCACCGGATCACCTGGAGATAATCTGTGGGACAATGAAGATACACCAGGTATTAGTTGTGGGTTATTTTATGTCAAATCTCACATTTGTTATACAAACATATTATCACTACACTATATATCACTAGACTATGCTATCACAGACTGTGACTCTGGTTGAAAAAATAGAGGCAGACCGAGATGGAAAATCCAACACATCTCACAGCGCCTTCCAGCCCATTGAAGATCTAAGTGAAGCATTGATTGGAAAGTGGTGTGTGGTGGAGTATGATCAGGATGTTTACCCTGGCATCGTGCAAGACGTTCACGCAGAGAGTGGTGCTCTTTTGAAAACCATGAGTCACGTTGGCCCCAACCGTTTCTTTTGGCCGATGAGAGACATCATATGGTACAGACCACAGCATGTGCTTGACCAAAAGGCACATGGAGCTCGATGCATTGGTCTGAGAGGAACTTAGCTCTCTTTCTAAGCCTTAGATACCATTGGAAGCTCACTATACAGTACATACAATACAAAGCAGGACATCAAATCATACATTAAATAAAACTATGTGCAGCTCTCAATTAACTCTTCCCTCAATATATAGGTGCTAGAAGTTCTAGTTGTTGCATCTAAGTGTAGCCAATGACAAAACATTGTTCTCAGGTTAGAAAAGGTGCTAGTACCAGTGTTTTGGAATCTTACTTTGTCTTAGATTAATTAAATGTTTAACAATGGTGGTTGTTCAAAATGTTTGCAATAAAATATTGTTTTTTTAACATAGATGTAATTTCCACCACACCTTGTCATTTCCACCATAACCCATATTTTTGAGGTAAATTAGTATATTATGTATCATTTACATTGATTGATTTGTTTTAGATAGGGAATTCATATGGTTGTTATCATAATCTCACAAAAAGGTTGGGTGGAAATACACTGCTCAAAAAAATAAAGGGAACACTTAAACAACACATCCTAGATCTGAATGAATGAAATAATCTTATTAAATACTTTTTTCTTTACATAGTTGAATGTGCTGACAACAAAATCACACAAAAATTATCAATGGAAATCAAATGTATCAACCCATGGAGGTCTGGATTTGGAGTCACCCTCAAAATTAAAGTGGAAAACCACACTACAGGCTGATCCAACTTTGATGTAAAGTCCTTAAAACAAGTCTAAATTAGGCTCAGTAGTGTGTGTGGCCTCCACGTGCCTGTATGACCTCCCTACAATGCCTGGGCATGCTCCTGATGAGGTGGCGGATGGTCTCCTGAGGGATCTCCTCCCAGACCTGGACTAAAGCATCCGCCAACTCCTGGACAGTCTGTGGTGCAACGTGGCGTTGGTGGATGGAGCGAGACATGATGTCCCAGATGTGCTCAATTGGATTCAGGTCTGGGGAACAGGCGGGCCAGTCCATAGCATCAATGCCTTCCTCTTGCAGGAACTGCTGACACACTCCAGCCACATTGTCTTGCATTAGGAGGAACCCAGGGCCAACCGCACCAGCATATGGTCTCACAAGGGGTCTGAGGATCTCATCTCAGTACCTAATGGCAGTCAGGCTACCTCTGGCGAGCACATGGAGGGCTGTGCGGCGCCCCAAAGAAATGCCACCCCACACCATGACTGACCCACCGCCAAACCGGTCATGCTGGAGGATGTTGCAGGCAGCAGAACGTTCTCCACGGCGTCTCCAGACTCTGTCACGTCTGTCACATGTGCTCAGTGTGAACCTGCTTTCATCTGTGAAGAGCACAGGGCGCCAGTGGCGAATTTGCCAATCTTGGTGTTCTCTGGCAAATGCCAAACATCCTGCACGGTGTTGGGCTGTAAGCACAACCCCCACCTGTGGACGTCGGGCCCTCATACCACCCTCATGGAGTCTGTTTCTGACCGTTTGAGCAGACACATGCACATTTGTGGCCTGCTGGAGGTCATTTTGCAGGGCTCTGGCAGTGCTCCTCCTGCTCCTCCTTGCACAAAGGCGGAGGTAGCGGTCCTGCTGCTGGGTTGTTGCCCTCCTACGGCCTCCTCCACGTCTCCTGATGTACTGGCCTGTCTCCTGGTAGCGCCTCCATGCTCTGGACACTACGCTGACAGACACAGCAAACCTTCTTGCCACAGCTCGCATTGATGTACCATCCTGGATGAGCTGCACTACCTGAGCCACTTGTGTGGGTTGTAGACTCCGTCTCATGCTACCACTAGAGTGAAAGCACCGCCAGCATTCAAAAGTGACCAAAACATCAGCCGGGAAGCATAGGAACTGAGAAGTGGTCTGTGGTCACCACCTGCAGAACCACTTCTTTATTGGGGGTGTCTTGCTAATTGCCTATAATATCCACCTGTTGTCTATTCCATTTGCACAACAGCATGTGCAATTTATTGTCAATCAGTGTTGCTTCCTAAGTGGACAGTTTGATTTCACAGAAGTGTGATTGACTTGGAGTTACATTGTGTTGTTTAAGTGTTCCCTTTATTTTTTTGAGCAGTGTATATTTTTCATGATAAATGTTTTCAGCTGTCACCAAGGAAAGTTTATACATTCTGGCGTCGTGTTGAATTATTAATATTAGGACAACCTTAAAAATCACTTAAAATAATATTCCATACAAGTTCATGTACAAATGTATAAGAAATGTGTTATAAGTAAATTGTATGATATTTCATGTTCAACTAAAATGTATGTTTAATGACGTGATGGAAATTACATTTGTCTATGGCTGTCTGGGAAAAATGACAAAAATGTATACATTCCTGAATAGTACAATCACAGCCATTATTAGATATTGTTTCTAGACAAATCATAGACAATTAAAATACTGGTAAAATGGTGTTTGAATAAGTTTTAATTTCTGAAAGCTTGCAGGGCCAAAGTGCCCGAAGTTGCAGAATCACCCATTTATGTAAACATTGTCTGGATCTGAGTTGTTTGACCGGATTTGTGGTTGAACATCTATATTTTTAACACAGGTACTATGAAATGGAGCTACAGTCCAAACACATCAAATAATCGGAGTGTGACATTGACTCCTGGGTCGCTTATCCTGTGCTGTCCAACGTTCAGTCACAAGACACTGAGCTAATCGAGGCCTTTGCAGCTCCCATCGTCAACAAGAAACCTCTCGTTTGATAAAGGAGTTAGCCACAGTGTACTCGTTACCTGGACTTCAGCACATCAAGAGGGTATGGGCATGCAAGGATAAGGGTAGCCCTCACCCTCTGGAGGTCATTGTATGCCTTGCCAGTGATGCACCAGACATTGACTGCAGTAAGGACATGCACATATCTGATCTGTCGTCCTCAGGTAGATTAACCTGTGGAGGTCTAGGAGACCTTTTCCTGGTCAAGATACCTGCATGCCCTCCTTTGACCAGATCACAGTTTGAGCAGGCCAACAAACACTGGCCCACCTCCTTTTATGAGGACAACCAGGTGACGGTGGCACTGAAAGGCCAGCTGTTCACCTCCTCTCAGAAAGCCAAGATGCAGGACTACATGATGGCTGCTATGGCTGCAGCAAGAGCGGGGCAGGAGAGAGGCATGGAGGCTGTGGGGGCTGCAGTCCAGAGGCAGTGAGGATCATCGCTGTGGGACATGACTGCCGGGAAGGCATTCACCCACTTCATCACGCTGTCATAGTCTGCATTGAATTGTGGCACGTGGGCAGGGTGGTGGGGCCTACACCCATGATAAGTACCCTGCCTGCCAGTTTGTTTTGCCCGACTCCTCACCCTCTGAAATACATGGCGCCACCACTATGCCGTCCTGGGGGACAGGGACAGTGCAGAGGAGAGCGGTCAGCCGTACATCTGCACCGGGTACGACCTGTACGTTACTCGAGAGCCTTGTATTATTTGTGCCATGGCGCTATTCCATTCCAGGATAGGCAGTCTTCTATGGAACAGCCTCTACCGATGAGGCATTTGGGACTAAATATAAAATCCATGCTCAAAAAGATCTGAATCACCGTTTTGAGGTTTTCAAAGGAGTCTTGGGCCAACAATTCCAACAACTGTACCACAATGAATTCCTAAGTTTCACATAATTGTTACAGGAATGCTCTACCTTTATAATTGAATAGTCTCATGTGTCAGACTACTATGCACACACGGTTGATGAATGAGATCACGGTGTGACGAAATTACATGTGACATTTTGGATTACATAAATTAAATGTTTTACTTTATTGCATTTAATTTTAAACTGTAACAAAGCTTTTGCCACTGTGACATCACTTAAAAGCATTCACAGATTGTTTTTATACTTCTCTTCCACTGTAGTCAGTGCATGCCAAAATATGGTTTCCATCCATTTCCCTCAAGAGATTTAGCCAGTTAAGACATATATGCTGCTTTTAAGGGCACAAATGTTTTAATGATGTTAGATACAGGGGCTGACAAAGCTCCAAGAATATCATGGATAAGCCATGACCAAACAAAACAGGACTAGCTGCCTTAGTAATAGCGTCCAGGAGATCTCCTAAACAAGTACAGCTACATGAATATAGGTACGTAGGCATACCATAGACCGGTCTCAGTAAACACTTTCATCTGACAACACTTAACATCTTATGAAAAATTATCTGATCTTCACATAAGAATCAAGACATGAACCAACACATAAAACTATATACACTGAAAAAAATGCCTGCCCTATATGATTGAGTAACAATGACAAATGATTCATATACCAAGGAAATCATGCAACATTTGTATTTCATATTGTTCAGTTCTTTTCAGCAATGATAACCCATCTAAAAAATAAATGTGTGTCAAACAATGAACCATAGGCCCCTACTTTTATGAAGAAATCATCTTTAAAAATACATCTGATAAGGCTTTCGGTTATGATGAGAAAAATTAATTGTAACAAGGAGGAACTCAATATTTGTGTCACAGTGTGAAGTGAGGGCAAACAAAAAAAGAACAAAAAAAAGCTCCACTTTTTATACATGGGCCAGCCCAGGTCTATGCAGATAAAAAAATAAAATTAATAATAATAATATTTACTTAAGTTAGTAATGCACATGGCATTATCTTATCTCTGTAAGTCTCCCATTATAGTTTAACCTGGCGTATCTAAACAATGAGTGACAATTACACATACTGTACAAAACTGCTCAGTACACACTCCAGTGGTACAGAGTACATAGGGTTAACTATTCATCTTGCTATGAGCCAATAGCTCCTTTGAGAGTTGGTCACACACCACTGACCCTCAACACTCAGCTTAATACTTGTTGATGCCAAAGATGCGGACTCCATGTAGTTGTGGCAATTTGGGGATCAGCACACTCAAAAGGGAGGCAGTGTTTATGACAAAGTGTGTTGTGTCGTACTTCGTGTAGAAGCTTGCAAGAAAATATCTAGGAGAAAAAAACAAGACAAGTTAGCAAATGTGTCAGTTAAAAAAGCTCTGCAACATGGTCAACAGTTGTAATTTATAGGGCCAGTTTCCCAGACACAGATTAAACCAATCCTGGACTAAAACGCATTCTCAAATGGAGGATTTAAGTGCTTTTTAGTCCAGGACTAGGATTGATCTGTGTCCGGGAAACCATCCCATACAGTTTGCAATTATTTCTGCACTGGATGCTAAATGGGTATCTAAAGCCAATGGACAAAAATGTAACCTCTTGTTCTAAATGACGGGAGGCGACATACAAAATGATTGGGGAGATGGTGAAGAATTTTCTGGATGATGTGAACTGCACGCCGTAGTCCAACTGTTCCCAATGTGTCAGGAGCCGGGCTTTTCCTTGGTCTGGGGTCTCAAACGGAGTGCCTTTCACTGCATGCATGAAGACATACATCCCCTGCAAGACAGACACAGATACAGTGAATGAGTCCAAATCTTGACGGCGAGAGACAGTCCACTAAGACAAGACAAACTAATCATAACGTAGCAAATGGTGCCAGAGACTGAGGGTAGATGTTGCAGCACAACTACATGTCCTTTTGGTTCATTAAAATTATATTATACATCTTTTAATTATCATTCCATGGAAAGAGCTGGGATAGAATCAGAACTGTATTTATGATAAGAAGTGGAGTGCGTGTGAAATCTGCTTACTGGTGCAAAGCCTCTCACAATTACCTCAACTGATACTTTATTAACTACTAGGTCATAAATGGGACATTGGAGTGTGTTATGTTCTGGGTATTCACTTCCTAAGTTCCTTTACAACACTTGGCACTGAGGACATAAGGTCATTTGAATGAGAATGCTACATTCTATGAATAAAAGGGTCTGTGAAAAAAATTCATTTACCAGCTGAACTAGCACTTGCTGGCAAGCAAAAGATACAGTAAACAATAAGCTGCTGAACTAAAATAGCAGAATATTGTGGTTCCCTTTTAACGGCCTTCTTTACTGCTGTAATACAGAAGACCTTTCCAATATGGGGACAACAGTTAAACTTAGTGAGTCAGTGACCTTGTTTCTTTATTAAACAGATTCCGCAAGGAACAATGAGAGACCAATGCATTGATGAAGCAACAATTGTCTAGGCACCAACTTTGAAGGGGGGGGGAGGGGGGGGGGGGGGGTTTACCATGATATGGCTGAAAGTAAGAAGGACAAACTGGTAATAGGTTATTAAAGCGTGAGAAGAGAAATTACTTACAAAATTGTGTATAACATTTGTGAGAGTCCACACCACAGGTACACTGAAGAAGGGTATGCTCAAAAGCACAATGTGAAGCATTCCAACACCGAGGGCATAGGTCAGCCAGATCCCTCGACTGTTCATGACCCGAGTGTTGGGGTTCACCTCACTGTGCGCTACGCCAACATTCATTTTGTTTCTGTGAACAAGAGGATTATGAGGATTGTGTTGCTAATGAATACACCTTATTCCTTCGAAAACATCACCAAAATGTGTCACTCATAAATTATACCAACAGGGAACCATTTGCTCCAGGACAATAAAATAATTACTGCTGCAATATACAAAGTTCATAGCCTGCAGGTACAAGATAGATTACGCAAATAAAATGAATGTGATCTGCTTAGGCTATGTAGTACACTTTCACCTTTCTTGCACAACAATAGCTCTTGCTGTTGTTTTCAGACAAATAATTAAATTAAGCTTTCCACAACATGACATATGTAACCTATTTGAACTTTACTTGTCTGAGAGTTGCTTTTAAGACCATTGATTGGCTTGAGATTGAAAGTCTGAGGTTGCGTCATGAATTCTCAGATTTCTCAAACTCTTGATAATGGTGATGTCGAAATATTTGACCGTGGGCAAGTAGCTATACTTGTTTATATACCAGTATGCTTGGAATAGGGTTAGCTGGTATCTCAGCCATTTAGAGAAAGCGTGTAGCATTTTCACTTTCAAGCATCAAAGGGGAAACCAACCTATTCACTTGCAAATGTCCCAAGAGGGTAATGCATTCAAAAGCAGCTGCACAGAAGCTTTTCATTTGAAAAGTGCAGCAACCAATGCTATGGCAGACAGGTGCTTGCTCTGATGACCTTCTCACTGATTCTTATTACCCTGTTAAATGGATTCTGACTTGTGTTCCCTAGAGCACCAAACAATATTCCCTAAAATGTTCCCTAAAACCCACAATATTAAAGGCTAAGATGGACTCTATTAAGCATTTACAGTGCATTCGGAAATTATTCAGACCCCTTGACTTTTTCCACATTTTGTTACGTTACAGCCTTATTCTAAAATCGATTAAATTGTTTTTTTCCCCCTCATCAATCTACACACAATACCCCATAATGACAAAGCAGACACAGGTTTTTAGAAATTTTTGCAAATGAAACACCCCCCCCCCCCCCCCCCCCCCCCCGCAAATATCACATTTACATAAGTATTCAGACCCTTTACTCAGTACTTTGTTGAAGCACCTTTGGCAGCGATTACAGCATCGAGTCTTCTTGGGTATGACACTACAAGCTTGGCACACCTGTATTTGGGGAGTTCTTCTCTGCAGATCTTCTCAAGCTCTGTCAAGTTGGATGGGGAGCGTCGCTGCACAGCTATTTTCAGGTCTCTCCAGAGATGTTCGATCGGGTTCAAGTCCGGGCTCTGGCTGGGCCACTCAATGACATTCAGAGACTTGTCCCGAAGCCACTCCTGCGTTGTCTTGGCTGTGTGCTTAGGGTCGTTGTCCTGTTGGAACCTTCGCCCCCAATCTGAGGTCCTGAGCGCTATGGAGCAGGTTTTCATCAAGTATCTCTCTGTACTTTGCTCCGTTCATCTTTCCCTCGATCCTAACTAGTCTCCCAGTCCCTGCCGCTGAAAAACATCCCCACAGCATGATGTTGCCACCACCATGCTTCACTGTAGGGATGGTGCCAGGTTTCCTCCAGACGTGACGCTTGGCATTCAGAGTTCAATCTTGGTTTCATCAGACCAGAGAAATCTTGTTTCTCATGGTCTGAGAGTCTTTAGGTGCCTTTTGGCAAACTCCAAGCGGGCTGTCATGTGCCTTTTACTGAGGAGTTGCTTCCGTCTGGCCACTCTACCATAAAGACCTGATTGGTGGAGTGCTGCAGAGATGGTTGTCCTTCTGGAAGGTTCTCCCATCTCCACAGAGGAACTCTGGAGCTCTGTCAGAGTGACCATCGGGTTCTTGGTCACCTCCCTGACCAAGGACCTTCTCCCCTGATTGCTCAGTTTGGCCGGGCGGCCAGCTCTAGGAAGAGTCTTGGTGGTCCTAAACTTCTTCCATTTAAGAATGATGGAGGCCACTGTGTTCTTGGGGATCTTCAATGCTTTAGAAATGTTTTGGTACCCTTCCCCAGATCTGTGCCTCAACACAATCCTGTCTCTGAGCTCTACTGAAAATTCCTTCGACATCATGGCTTGGTTGTTGCTCTGACATGCACTGTCAACTGTGGGACCTTATATAGACATTTGTGTGCCTTTCCAAATCATGTCCAATCAATTTAAATGTACCACAGGTGGACTCCAATCAAGTTGTAGAAACATCTCAAGGATGATCATGGAAACAGGATGCACCTGAGCTCAATTTTGAGTCTCATAGCAAAGGGTCGGAATACTTATGTAAATAAGGTATCTGTTTTTAATACATTTGCAAAAATTTCTAAAATCCTGTTTTCGCTTTGTCAATATGGGATATTGTGTGTAGATTTGAGAGAAACAAAAGTATGTAATCCATTTTAGAATAAGGCTGTAATGTAACAAAATGTGGAAAAAGTCAAGGGGTCTGAATACTTTCCGAATGCACTGAATAAAATGCTTGGAAGATTGATGGGGAAAGAACAGGCGTTGTTGACATTGAGGGAATGTGTTCAATGTTTCTTTTGAAGGAGAGCTAGCTTGTTGCCAATGATGGTTCCTAGGTATTTGTAGTCCTCCACTCGCTCAATGGTCTGTCTGTTAATCTCCAGTGGTGGGATGGTAGGTTGGTCTCTTCTGAAGTCAATGACCAGGTCTTTGGTTTTGGTTGCATTGAGGTCCAGGTAGTTCTGGCTACACCACAGTGAAAACCTGTCAATTTCAGCCTGGAGGTGCCCCTCTGAGTTTCCTGCTGTGTCCATAATTACTGTGTCATCTGAGTACTTGATGAACATCATCTCTGGGTCTGAGCTCCTAAAACAGAAAACAGGTGAGATGACAGAGCCTTGTGGTGATCCTGTAGAGATGGTTCTGGACGAGCTGCAATGACCATTGAATCTGACCAGCTGTTCTCTATTTGTCAGAAAGGAGAGGACCCAGAGAATCAGATGTGGATTGACATTCATGTTCTGGAGCTTTTGACCCATTAAGTGAAGACTAGATTAAAAGGCACTAGGGAAATCCACAAATACCATCCTGACGTATGTCTTGGGTTTCTCCAGGTGGGTGTAGGCACAGTGCAGTAGGGACAGAAGTGCATCATCAACACCCCTGTGCCACTTGTAAGCAAACTGGAGTGGGATACCTCCTTTTGTAGCTGGGGGAGAATCAGCCTTTCAAAGCTCTTCATCACCAAAGATGTTAAAGCTACAGGGCGGTAGTCATTGTTGCAGTAGGGGTTGCTCTTTAGGTACTGGGTATATGGTGGATGATTTCCATATTGAGTGTTCTGCCAGAGTGCGGTTAAAAAGCTCACAGGAAACACCTGACAGTTGCTTATGGCAAATCTTTAGTAGGCGACCACTAATGTTGTCTGGCCCAGGTGCTTTGTCCTTTTAAATACAGCTTCTACATCTTTTGGTTGAAGCTCAACATTTTTTTACAGTGTGCAACATGTTAGATAAGTCAGAGATCAGCTCATTCCTTTCCATTGAAAAGTCATATTGGTCAAATCTACACTAAAACTAGATGGCAGCAGTGTGTGTGCAAAGTTTCAGATTGATCCAGTGAAACATTGCAATATTGGACTATTTTGTATCAAGTCTGCCCAAATGTGACGAATTGGTCAATTCATACATTTTCAAGTACATAACTATAGAGAACATACAAAAATGATATGGTAATACAAAATGTAAATGTACACACTCCCAGGAATGTCATACATGATGGATCATTAGCTTATATACTAACTCACACATCTAGATGGCCGGGCGGGGTGGGTGTGGAGCCAGAAACAGCAAGGGTTCAAACTGTAAAACCCAGTTCCAACATTTGAATATAAAAATTGATTTTATCAAACAAAACTATGCTAAATTTTATCTCTGGGACCCTCAGGATGACAAATCAGAGCGAGATTACTGAATTTAAGTACATTATTTACCTTCAGAGGTGAATGTATCAAACCAGTTGCCATGATAACTTTTTTGTTGTTGTGCACTCTCCTCAAACAATAGCATGGTATGTTTTCACTGTAATAGCTACTGTAAATTGGACAGTGCAGTTAGATTAACACGAATGTAAGCTTTCTGCCCATATAAGACATGTCTATGTCCTGGAAAGTTTGCTGTTACTTACAACAGTCATGCTAATCACATTAGCTCAACCGTCCCGTATATGGGACACCGATCCCGTAAAGGTTAACACAACGCCCCCGTACAGAAGACGCCTTCATCCAATGACTTATGTGTAATGTAATGGAACTGGGAGTCACGATCAATGGCTAATTTCTAGTTAGCTTAGCTAGCTAAGCCGTACTAGCTAACATTAGCTAGGTAACTACCATTATTTTCCCATTTTATAAGTGCCAGCTACCAATGATTCAGCTGGAAACTAGCTAGTTTACGTTAGCCAAACTTCAACAAGTCAAGTGAAGTATTGTATGCTTGAAACAACACCAGTTGAATTGCTAACTTGCTAGCTAGCTATTTTTCGTGACAAACTAGGAATATCTAGGTCACAATATTTGCATATCAATAGTGTTATCAAATATTTTAACAAACAGTCAACACATAGATATGTCCATATACTTACCGGAGTACCTTGTTATGAATCGGTTTTTAAACGTGGCAGTAAGAACGACAGAAGGCCAAGCTCCCCTTCACTAGCAGCACAAACGATGACGTCACTTTTGTATTGTAATGAGGAATCCTTTAAAAATAAAAGCCAGCCTTTCAAAACATTGCAATGTGGATAACTCATTCAAAAGATATTACATTTTAATCAATGTCAATTTTTTATTTTGCGTAAAAGCAAATGCAAGAAGGACTTTATGGAAACAATTACAAATATGCTCAAATATATATATATTTTTTAAGACTACTATCGAAAAATACAATGTTCAGATTGGTATTATTATTATGTTAAAATCATTGGGCTGTAGAGAAAATACTATTCTATGTGCTGAGGTAAACGTGGGGTTGGGAATACTCAGTAGGGTCTGTAGTATCTATATATGGTGTTATTTCATGGGGACTGTGGTCTAAATAACCAGCAGCGCTTTCTACTACGCGGCAGGTAGCTTAGTGGTTAAGAGCATAGTGCCAGTAACCGAAAGGTCGTTGGTTCTAATCCCCGAGCCGACTAGGTGAAAAATCTGTCGATGTGCCCTTGAGCAAGGCACTTAACCCTAATTGCTCCTGTAAGTCGCTCTGGATAAGAGCGTCTGCTAAATGACACAAAAACAAAACAATACTCTGTAGCCTTATAAATTACATATTGGCTTATAGAGAAAAAACAACTATTCTATGTGCCGAAATGAAGGTGGAGTTGGAATTACCCAGTAGGGTCTGTATAATCTATATATGGTGTTATTACTTGGGGGACTGAGGTCTAAATACCTAGCAGCACTTTCTACTCCACCCACTCCATTGGTCCCAATATAATACACTATGGGGCCGATTCCGACCCTTGTTAAGCAGTGCATAAATGGAACATAATTCACTTTTTATGCACTTTTCTCTATGGCCCGATTCCGACCCGAGTTAAGCACACGTAAATGGAACGTTATTCCCTTTTATGCACTTTTCTCTCTGCATATTCTGACCTTAAGTATGAGAATGGCATGCTGTTCACCCGCTATTAATTCGTGGTGGAGATCTAAGAAATGAAGGTGTGGTGGAGGTGTCTACAGATAAGCCATATTCTGACCTTTACTTAATGCCCTCATAATTCCACCACCTTTACGCACGAGGAAACCATGAATAAGGTCGAGCGAACCTGCCAGTTCCAAGTGGGAAAAGGCATCTACTTTATTTGAAGGCATCTACTTTATTTTTCCAATAGAAATAACAGCATTCTCCATGCACCGTAATTTATACATGGATTAAGAGCTATTGTATATGAGTAAGGTAAAGGGGATTGTAAATACACATAGCAATTGTTTTAGATAATTCTTCCTTATGATTTCTGGAGACGAATGTGAAACCAGCCACATGGAAGCAAATAGAAAATCATATCAACATGACATGTATTGCGTCCCCTTTTCCGCAGTGATATAGGCTATAAATAGCTGTGCTGTTATTCAGAATTTTAATTGTGTGCCCTCAAAATTTGCGTGGATGAAATTTGGACACCCAAGCTATAGGCTTCTGTAGGGCTGAACCTGCTGAGATGATATATGCACTTTATAATGTTTTAATTATAGCCTATGCCCGGGCTTTTTAACGTTTTATTCTACAATTTGTATGATGTTAAATGTTAGCCACTATCGGAAGCTACCATCAGTAATACCCACATACATTTATAACTGTCACTTTAGTGCTAGTTTTCTTCAATTTGTAGCTTACCTTTTGCATCATTCCATTCTATTCCATTTACCTTTCTTTGTTTTTCCTGAGGGTCGCTAGCGTTAGTGGATCATATTAGGCTAACGTTGTGCAATAATTTGGGACATGCAGCCAATTTGAATCATTATGGAATCATTATGAAACCTGGTGCCTGGCGCATGATTCACAACTAGACCGTTGTCATACAGTTCCATGATTAGTGACAATTAGGTTCGATTTATAGGACTATTGTTCAACCCCTATTGTACACTTTATCCACCTTCCAATGTTCCATGGATTGAACTTGAATATGACAACGTTCAGTATGAATCAAACCACTGTATTTTATATTCCTCAATATATTTTGTGTGTAAAGGCTCTCCAAACCAGTTTTTGTATGATTCATACATACTTTCCTAACCCTAAAAGTTGCCTAAATAATCTAGAAAATCAGAGTATTTTAAAATCTATCAGTTGGTACTGAGGCGTAGACAAATATGCATATATTTAGATGGATTTATTTCATTGATCCCTATATTCTGACACTGTTCTCTCTGTGTATTCTAGTGAGTCTGTTGACAAAATTCTAATTAAAGGTACACCATATTTAAAGGGATGGCTTAAGATAAATGTACTGAAAACCCTATTGAATGAAAACCCCACAAGAAAATCAGTTCGCCAGCAAGTGGGGGGGTTTCAGTGATTAATTAAATGTCTTCAGTGCGCAAGGGAACCACGCCTGCAAAGCCCGTTAAGCACCTGCATAAGGTAAGTTTGAGTACCAACTACTGTGAAGTGCGTAGGAAAGGCGTGCATAGAAAAGGCTTACATAAGTCGGAATCGGCCCCTATAGGCCTATAAATTACATATGGCTTAAAAAAGAGAAGTGGGGGTTGGGAATACTGTAGCTCAGTTGATAGAGCATGGCGCTTGCAACCCCAGGGTTGTGGGTTCGTTTCCCACGGGGGGCCAGTATGAAAATGTATGCACTCACTAACTGTAAGTCGCTCTGGATAAGAGTGTCTGCTAAATGACTAAAATGTAAATGTAGGATCTATATATGGTGTTAGTTCTTGGGGGACTGAGGTCTAAATACCCAGCAGGACTTTTTACACCCACTCCTTTGGTCCATAGAGAAAAAACTATTCTATATGCTGAAGTAAAAGTGGGGTTGGAATTACTCAGTAGGGTTTGTAGAATCTATATATGGTGTTATTTCTTAGGGGACTGAGCACTTTTTACCCCACCCACTCCATTGGTCCCAATGCAATACACTGTAGGCCAATAAATTACATATTAGAAGTGCTCCTGAATAGAATGGACCCCCTTTTACTGCGACACCACGTACAGGCAATTATGTATGGTGCAATATGTATGTTCAATATGAAAAAAACGTACTACATTTAAACTGATTGGCCACTCTATAAAGGCCGCAAAATGAGCAGCAACGCTCCTAGGGGTGTAAACTCTGTGGATTTGGAAACTACAAGTGCTACTGAGTAGAATGGAACCCCGTTTTACTGTGACACAATGTAGGTACAATAAATTATAAAGTACACACACATTTTTTTTTGTGACCATTTAGCCTCGAAAAAATACACAAATAAATCACTTAATATCTTATAGAAATGCTTTAAATTATTCTTTGTATGATAGCTAGTATAAAATATATCAATAATTGTGCACATTTGCCATCATTTTCGCCCTAATTATTCAGTTACAAAGAATACAGGTCATAACTCTTACTTTGAAGGATTCCAAAAAATCCATGCCCCGGAAGTACTTAGTTATCCTTGCCTACTTCACAGTGGGGCCGCAATGGATTTTCCACACAGCCAATCACAAGTCAGAGGGGTGAAGGCGCTAATTTGACCTCTGTTCCACCATCAAGAAAATGCTCATTAACAGGGATGTAACCAAATTTGTCCACAAAATTTGAGAGAAATACCCTTTTTGTGCGTATGGAACATTTCTGGGATTTTTTATTTCAGCTCATGAAACATGGGACCAACACTTTACATATTTTTGTTCAATGTAGTATAAAATATATTGATAATTGTGCACGTTTTCCATAATTTTCGTCCTAATTATTAATTTACTAAGTATACAGGACGGGACTCTTATTCTGAATGATTCCAAAAATCCGTGACCTGGAAGTACTTAGTTATTCTTGCCCGCTTTACACACTGAACGACTTCATAGCGGTGTAATTTTTTAGCACTTGTATTTGCGTTATTGTTACTGAACCAGACGGGGTCGAGGAGGTAGGAGACCGCTGTATTTCAAGTAAATAACGTTTAATAACTACACAGTCCACTAGTGAGTCACTAGTGTGTTACAATTAATAATTTATTGTAAATATATTAATCGTTTCGAGAGTTCATGGCTGGCAGGTAAGGTTAGTTAACTAGCTAACGTTAATTCAACGCTAACGTTATTCACTCAGCCAACCATGGGTATATTAATTAGCTGCAACTAAAACGAGAGTTTCTATTGGATAAATTCAGTGAAGTCCCTCTCTATTCCGTTTAAGAAACGTTTAGCAACAGAATCGGCGGAATGAATACACCCTTGCTAGCTAATTTAACGCTACTCAGCCAACAAGTTAGCTAGCAATTGTGTTGTGAGTGACAGCTCATTGCACTACAATGTCACATCATTTTTCCCCCTCCATATTGCAGGTGTCCATAAACAGTAACAAATCATGAAACAGCTGCCTGCAGACACGGTGCGGCTTCTTTCCAGCTGTCAGGTCGTCACCTCTGTCGTAAACGTGGTGAAGGAGCTGCTGGAGAATTCCTTGGATGCTGGTGCCTTGAGCATCGACATTAAACTGGTAAAATATTATTTTACCCATTACTGTGGCCAGGGAAGCACATGAAAATCACTAATGGCATGTTGAAATTGTCACATTCTAAAGCACATATTTGACTTGCTTTCCCTGGCAAGAATTTGGCCTACTTAAAGGGCAATTACACCACTTTTCAACCAAATTTTCATTATCTCCAGCACAATATGTTTATTCATATGTTAAAACGACGTATTTCTACATGGGGTGTCAGGTAGCCTAGTAGTGGTCCGTTGTGTGCACAGTTCAAAAGCAATTGTTTACGCAATCCAAAAACAGTCCATTATAAATCGCAATCTATCATGATTTGAATGCTTGTTCTATTGCCAACATGACTAACTAAGTTATAAAATACAATCTTAGAGTGTTAGGCTTTCACAAGGCAATTCAGAGAAACAGATCATCATTTTGGTGCGCATAGAAAGGAGTCATGAGTGCATTCAGGTGTGTTTGCTGCGCACATTTTCTTAAATAAACAAACAGGCTCATTCTGTTCAGAACAACCCAGGGTATGACGCCATGTCATCTTGTAACTACATCAAACATAGTTTTCATAAAAGTAGACATTGTATGTAACAAGAGATTTATGATTTGGAAATGTGAAGTGCACATTTGGACTCATATGGCTTGCTTGTATGACATCAAAGAGGTATTTATTATAATCCTCATCTGTCAAAATACATAGTAATCTTAATTTACAGCATTTCACTCACGCAAACAACAAAAAATGTGCAAAAGTTGCCCAATTACCGGAAGGGATGGGGGTAACTTCTTGTCGCGCGGTGCTCAAATTCAGAACAGCTGTCAGTCAAAACCATACAGCACTGTGAAGCGCAGAGCCAGAGCTCTAGCGTCATGTATAGCATGTTACTGTACAGGCACTACGTTCCAATTTAGGCGCTTATAAGTGCCCAAATCTGCCATTTTCAACCCGTATACGAGTACGAGCGTAAAGGGTTACTTCTACCCTGCATTTTTTTAGGACCTTGTCTTTTGAACCACAGATCATAGAAACGTGCTGTTTTCACATATGTAGACACAATGGTTTGGTGCTGGAAATAATGAATATAAGGTTGAAAAGTGGCAGAATTGTCCTTTAAGGGATGCTGTTTAACCTGTCATGAAAAAATGAATGTAGCTAGCCACACACACACTGTCTCCAACTCCCAATACTGTCTGAAATGGTTGTAGTGTACTCATGGTCATGTCATCTGAATTCCTAAGATATTTTCCCATTTCGAGTGGGCTCGGCTCACCTGCTCTCAGTGTGAGCTTGTTTTTCTTGGCATGGCGGAATACTTGAGTTCACTCTCATCAGTGCAGTCTTTGCCCACTTCAAAGCCATTTCTTAATGAGCTGTCAGCAGTAATCCTTTCAGGCAGCACAGCCAGCCTCTGAGGACATAGTGAAGCTTTTTTATTGGACTAATATCTCCAACTCTTCTCCTATATTGCCAAGAGGAAAGCAAATCCACTTATGAAGAGGAAAACATTTTTCCGGAACTGTGAACACCACATCATCAATATCAAAAGCCCTCCAAGCATCTAGCACATAAACCTGCCTGTATGGAAGGAAGGAAGCGAATGTTTTATTGAAGCACAATTTATTATTTTCTTGTACTTTCTCCTCTTGAATTGGAAACTAAGCTGCAGTGGACACTAAAATATTGTCAGATCAACCCACAAAAGGTACTTTAAGAACTTAGGTGTTAATAGGACACAAAACTCAATCTGCTTTTGAGACTCTTTGATGGGACAATACTGAACTGACTTCAATTTCTTAATGAACTGCATTCTCTGTTTTTTGTGTATGTCATGTGTCTTAGGAGAATTATGGTCTGGATCGAATAGAAATCAGAGACAATGGCTCTGGCATCAAAGCTGCTGATACTGCTGTGATGGCTGTGAAACACTACACCTCTAAGATCAGCAGCCACGATGACCTGGAGCACCTGGCGACATATGGCTTCAGAGGAGAGGCCCTGGGTTCCATCTGCGCTGTGGCAGAGGTCAGACATAGCTGTCTTTTACACAATTCTGCTCCAAAAAGTCCAAAGCGGTACTAAGCAGCAGTGATAGATTTGTCCCGTTGTCTCCCGCCAGGTAGCTGTCACGACAAAGACGTCCGAGGATGACGTCGGGACCCAGTACACGCTTGACCTCACGGGAAGTGTTGTTTCCCAGAAGCCCTCTCACCTAGGGCAAGGTTTGTCTTTTTCCTTTTTACTGAAACAGAGGATTGATTCCCTCAGTTTCCAACAATATTTATTATGTATACTTAACAGAGAAAAATGTTATGGGTAGACATGAGCTTTGATGTCTTTTCAGGTACCACAGTCTGTGCGCTGAAGCTTTTTAAGAATCTCCCAGTGAGGAGGCAGTACTACGCCAACACGAAGAAGTGCAAGGAGGAGTTGAAGAAGGTGCAGGACCTGCTCATGGCCTATGCCATTATAAAACCAGAGCTGAGACTCACCCTCACTCACAATAAGGTACAACTTCATTCTCATTATTTATGAATCTTTTGCACACACTTATACTTCTTACCACAAGGTGTCCTCATCTGTATATTCCATGAAACCAATCCCTGCATACCAACTCCAGTAATCACTGTTTAAACGTCATTAATGCTGTCTATGATTTGATACGTTAGTGGTGTCTTGATGGGGCTTAAAATGGTAGATAATCTTATTCTAGGGATGTGCATCTCTCCTTACAAGCACAATTCGATACGCATCTAGATACATGGGCTCCGATACTATACAGGAACGATACTTTTAGTTTGAAACGATTAGATCTGAGCTGGATCTGTCTCAGCTGACCTCTCTCTGTGTGTGTGTGTGTGTGTGTGTGTGTGTGTTTGTATGATGTAGTGTGTGAGCTGAGCCATAGGGCAGACTGAGCATCTACCACGATCAGATTGAGGGGGGCAATTTATGTTTTTGTCCCCCCCACTTTTTATCTGAAATTCTCATCACCCAGTGATTAACTTGTCATATAGAAGATAAAAATGTTTTGAGCTAATAATATGTCAATATTTATCTTTAGAAATTAGCTAAGACATACATATCCAATTAATATAACACAGCTTTGGATTTCACCCATGTCACAAAAGCGAATGTTTTTGACCATTTGGAACTTTACGGAGGAGAGCTGCTCTCTTCTCCTGTTCCGACCAGTGCAGCTCACAAAAATTATTGATGTCCTTGTTATGAAATTACACTTTTACCCTGTTCATGTAAAAATGACCGAAAAGCCTCAATCAGCAGTTACATGTGCAATCCGCAAGATGTGAGTTGTGTCAACTCCGGTAGCCCACACAGCTCCGCCGGTAAAACACCATTTTCTACAGCGCATTTGGTAAGAATGACCCAGCAAGTTGCATTGGTTGTCCTGCAATAAAGCCTATGATTTCATGTTGCGAAAGCCATTTTACAAACATCTGAATGCTGAAGGTGCCGCACAGGTGTAGCCTACATAAATTAGAACAGGGATAGGGTATGCCTAGCTACCTTGCAGCTGCTCACGCCAATGATTCTCCCGCACTGTGCGCACAGTTATCTGACTTGTAGATCAGTGTCATACGCAGGTACGGTGCCTTCAGAAATTATTCATACCCCTTGACTTATTCCATATTTTGTTGTGTTACAGCCTGAATTCAAAATTGATTACATCTACATACAATACCCCATAATGACAAAGTGAAAACAAGTTTTTAGACATTTGTGCAAATTTATTGAAAATGAAATACAGATGTAATTTACACTGAACAGAAATATAAACGCAACAATTTCAAAGATTTGACTAAGTTATAGTTCATATAAGGAAATCAGTAAATTGAAATAAATAAATAAATGAGGCCCTAATCTATCGATTTCACATGACTGGGAATACAGATATGCATCTGTTGGTCACAGATACCGGTACAGTTGAAACCGGGATTCATCTGTGAAGAGCACACCTCTCCAGCGTGCCAGTGGCCAATGAAGGCTAGCATTTGCCCACTGAAGTCGGTTACAATGCCTAACTGCAATCAAGTCAAGACCCTGGTGAGGACGACGAGTTCGCAGATGAGCTTCCCTATGACGGTTTGTGCAGAAATTCTTTGGTTGTGCAAACCCAAAGTTTCATCAGCTGTCCGGGTGGCTGGTCTCAGACGATCCCGCAGGTGAAGAATCTAGATGTGGAGGTCCTGGGCTGGCGTGGTTACACGTGGTCTGCAGTTGTGAGGCTGGTTGGACGTACTGCCACATTCTGTAAAACGACGTTGGAGGTGGTTTATAGTAGAGAAATTAACATGACATTTTTTGGCAACAGCGCTGGTGGACATTCCTGCAGTCAGCATGCCATTTCCACGCTCCCTCAACTTGAGACATCATTGGCATGTTGCATTTATATTTTTGTTCAGTGTATATATTTATATTCCAGACTCTGACATTGCTCGTTCTGATATTTCTTAATTCCTTTATTTTAATTTTTTTGATGTGTGTATTTTGTTTTGTTAGATATTACTGCACTGTTGGAGCTAGAAACATAAGCATTTCTCTGCACCTGCGATAACATCTGCAAATAGTGTACGCAGCCAATACGATTTGATTTGAGATTCAGTTTCAATCAGTGGCCACTTGGAATATAACATTAGGGGAGGGGGTCAGAGGAGTTCCACGACCACCGTATACTTTTCATTGAAACCACTCGGAGATCATCATGGGAGGAGTGTGCCCCCATTTCATGGCATCAGCAGTTGGGAGACATATCCCGTATCCCGAACTTTGCACTTCAGCCTGTGTTAGGTTTCATGGCTTCTCCAAGTGCTTTTTACGGGAGTGATCTGTTTACAGTCACTAAATTGCATATTTCATAGCATAGACGTGTGCTGCTGCGGGCAGCATGCTATCAGAAATCAACACCCTGGAGATGTACTCGCTTGTGGACACACCAATGACAGGCCCACCCGTGGGTGTGAAAATGTGTTCGCTCTTTCTCCTGGACTACTTTCCTCTCACATACATCTGATACGAAGGAAAATCGGAGGAATCCATGCCTCGGTGGAGGGTGCACAGTGATGAGGAAGATTGTGTAACCTTGTGGCCACTGTGGTCAGCTTCCATTATGTATTGGACATTGATCCATTGGGTTGAATAATATGCTCAGATACATGCTGATTTGAGAGTGGTGTGAACTAGTGTCCGTTTTACAAGCTCCAAGGTCCGAGCAGACTTGCTGATTCAGTAGAACTGCTCTCACAGTATGTGACCTGACATATGCACCAGTGCGCACTAGCTTGTTCTCTAGCTTTCCCCAAACCCCCTGGTCTGGTTCAGGTCTTTCTAGAACAGTTGACACAGTAAACCTCTCTCCTAGCCCCTCTTGTGCCACCACACAGGTAAGGGAAGTGCTACAGGAGAGGCTTTGATTGGTGGTCAGCGTCTACTGTCTTGATTTCGAGATCCGGCAGGTGGTCTTTTTTTAGCCAGACTGAAAATAAGCTGCTGCGTGTTGTTGCAGGTGGTGGTGTGGCAGAAGGCCAAGGTGTCCGATCACAGGATGGCTCTCATGGCTACACTGGGGCCCAACGCTGTGGCCCACCTGCTCCCCGTCCACCATCAACAACCAGAGGTCAGTCAAACACTCACACCAGCATCACTCCGTCATGACACTGGTCCATCCAAACCAGTTATCATAGATAAAACATTGCTGTTCTACTGCAATAATGCAATTTAACTATGCTAAATAAGTGAAAAACTGAAATTAGATATGAATTCTAAAACACAGCACAGGACCAACGTTGTTGGCCCTTACCCCAGAAACTCCCAATCTGTTTTGATTGAACCCTCTTTCGAGTGGCTATTATAATGTAGTCTCATGCGCCACATGCAATTTGATCAAGCAAGGCTACACATTAGCCACAGTCAAGGGCTTTAATGTAATACCTCAGTCCTGAAATCTGCTAGCAGGTGGCTGTTCTTGGAGGTGTCCACACAGAGCTTGACTTAAACATTGCTGGTTTTGCAGTACTGTCCCCTCCTGCAGTGCTCAATGACACCAATTACTATTTTATTGATTTCATTCTCTCCCAAAAGTATATGTCAGTCATATTTTTCTGGGTTTTACAATAAGTGCCCTGAGATTCCCCTAACCAAGAGTACAATGAGAGATACAAAAACTGGGCACCATTAAGGATGGGGTGTGACCTTTTTGCATAATTTACATCTGAGTTCTTTTTGTTCTGAATTGGGACCTGATGTTTAAACTATCCTAACTATACCCATATAGACAGATCCTACACAATAAGTAATCCCATTATGATACCATGGCACGGTCACAGGTGCTTCTGTTGTTCATCATTACATACATTATAATACTGAATCCTGCCTCCAAAATAGAAAAAGAGGACATGTAAAGAGTCAGAGCACCGTGTGACTCGAATGGCGTGTGATGCAAATGGAAGGGGCAATCATGAAACGATATACCAGAACTGTCTTTACAAGTCAAAGCCATTCGTACCCTTGTAACAAATGTGGCACTGAATTAAATTAGAAGAGATTGTGTGACCTGTGGTGCATGTGGATGGCCCAGCGTCATAGAGAGACATAGCACGGCTGCACTGGCACCCAGCCACTCGTCCTCCCACTGCCCTCCAGTCTTGGCCAACACCAGGGTTCCCAGAGACCCTCTCTCCATATCCTGGGTGTGTTCCACAGTCTGCATGAACCTTGCTCTGGATGGTGGTGGTTCAGCTACAGAATGGACAGGTCCACCGTGTGTGTGTGTGTGTGTGAGAAACCCAAGAGAAATACTAGACAGCAAGCTTATTAAATGACTACACCAAGAACTCGTGATTTCAAGCGAGTATATGATGTTGGTTGGCTGTTCGGCAGCTATGTCTATGCCCTTTTCTCCTTGTGTGAGAGATTTGCTTTGCTGCTGGTAATTGAGTTGGCTGTGGAGCGTTAAGTTTCTGCTTGGTCATGGTAGGTGTTGTGTGGCTGCTACCTGCCGTGCATCTCCCGGCTAATGTGGCCTGACAGATATGGAGCACAAGTCCCTTTCCCCCGTTTGCTTTGTTGTTATTTTTCAGCAGGACTCTGGGTCCCAGTTATGAGAAGGTTCATTGGCCTTTGTCCTCCCAGTAGCAATGAAAGAACGCTTATTGGCTCCCCCTTCTTTCGCCGAAGCTTAGCGATCACGGAATCCAGTTCAAAGATTCCACACGCAATTCTGGCAAGTTGATGTAGGTGCCATGCCTCTTGTGGAACAAAATGTGACACTCATTTTGGCAACGTGACAACACACAACCATGCCCTTTGTGGCAAAGGTGCCATTGGTGCTCCCATAACTTGACCTAATGAGCAGAACGAGAAGAAACAACATCCTCAAATAGCGTTGCATCAATTAACTGGCTTTTCATTTACTATGTGTTAAGAAGTTATGAGAAGTTTTGCATTGCTCATTTAAAATGAGCAGTGTGCCAATCTAAAACCAGAACAATGTGTCCCTGGAACTACATCTTCCATGTGTGAGGATAGTGTGTTCTTTTGTTTTGCGGTAACGCATTACATATAGCCCAGCTACATTGATTGCTTTGCAATTTGTCCCTCTCTTGCCTGTTACATAACATTAGCCTTAAGTCTGGCTCATGAAACTCATTATCCAGATAAGGAAATGTTTTTGTCTACCAATTTGGGTTTTTCCTCTCAACATTCTTAGAATGTCCTATAGACCCACCCTTTTAATTTATGCGGTGAGAGGTCTGCTTGAGTAATCAGTCATTAGCCAGGGAGAGATGATCACTCATCGGGTAGGACACCAAGCCAAGATGTGTTCCAGTTCCGAGCGCATGGGTGTGACACGTGAAGATGTGTGCAGACAGACTGGGGAACACAGCCTGGCCCGCTGCTCAGGTCACCTGAGAAAAGTTTGAGTCAATCTTAGGACCCTGGCCTGCGTCAATCCTAGGACTTCTGTTTTGCAGATTTAGGTAGGTCGTCTTGCAGATTTCAAACCTCAAAGGTCTTACTTAGTTTGTTTTGTTATTTTCCTTTTAACTTTGGTGCCTATTATATTTAGTATTTCATCACCTTAGGCAAGACAAATTGTTTGACACATTTTGTATTAAAACAATTTTTTTGTAAAGAACTCCATACTCGTGGTCACGCCTTGACAAATCGAGAGTTTTCAAGAGGCTTATCTGTAAGTGTGTCAACGAGTATCTGCGGTGAACCTGGGTCAGTTTTGCTGTACAGCTTTTGTAATTTCTAGAGCGGGGTCCTGTGGCAGTGAACACTGCTGCCAATGAGGCCCAGATACCTCTACACGACTCATAATAATAGAGCTCATTCATGGCCAGGCAGACAGTGGGCAGGATCACCTGTGTCACAGTAATTGACAAATGTTTTAATGGCAAAGTATACGTAATGTACATGGCTATTGTCAAGGTTTCAATGCCAGTAATTAGAGATTTCGTTAAAACTCCAATTATATGGCCGTAATGCTCGCCAACTGCAGAGCTTGTTAATTTAGAATTGTTTGCCTGAGTTATGCAGTACACGGTGGCTAATTGAGTAATTTGGAGCTGGTTCTCTTTTCGCCAACACTTTCGTCTATCACATGCCGCCAACATTTAATTCCTAGAATTAAGAAGCTTGGAAACAGCAGTTCGATGTCATTGGTTGTCCAAACAGTTTCCAAGTGTGAACAGCTTGTGATGTTTCTGTTGAAAAAAAAAAAGTTAATCCTTAAAGGGATATTTCACCCAAATTACAAAATGACTGGTTTCCCTACCCTGTAAGCAGTCTATGGACAATGTATGACAGCAATCCATGCTTTTGTTTAGTTTCCCTTAGCACTGTTTCCACATGCTAATGTTTTAGCATTTGTGGCACAAATCCCATTCAAGTCATGGGACCGATATGGGTGTTTTTCACACGTTATGTCCAAATCATCTGACAGGATCTAAAATTGATTGTGAAGCTTAACAAAGTCACTTATAGATAATTTGAACATGATGTGAGAAAAATGCTAATATCAGTCCCCGTGACTTGAATGGGATTTGTGCCACAAATGCAACAAAAAAAAGCATGGATTGCTGTCATGCCTTGTTCATAGACATAGGAAACCAATATGTAATTTTGTAATTTGGGTGAACTATACCTTTTTAAAGATGTGAAACCCTTGAGGATACGGCATGAATCGATTTGATAGTGTACTTTTTAAAATTTCAAAGTCACTGGGATTATATTGCTCAAAGACTTGGTTTGAAGTTATTTTAAGATTTTGGCGTGAAATTTTAAAACATTCTAATATTGGGTAACTGGTTTCTGGTTAGGCCCTAGCACTAAACAGCTGATTCAAATAATCAACTCATCAAGCTTTGATTATTTGAATCAGCTGTGTAGTGCATGGCCAAAAACCAAAACGTGCACCCCTTGGGGTCCCCAGGACCGAGTTTGGGAAGCGCTGGCCTAGGTAAACAACGAAAGCATAGATTACTGTCTCTCCTTGTCCATAGAAGGAAACAAATACGTTTTTTTTCTAATTTGGGTGAACTATCCCTTTAGTACCTTTTATTTGACTACTTTTACATGGTATTTAAATGACAGATGCATTGTAAGTACAGTATCGGTACATATTGTTATAAATTATGCAAAAAGCATGTTTAACTGCAGTAGCTATGTAACAATGTGTACATCGAATTTGTTTTAACACGATGTTCCAAATACCTGTATCGCAAGAATCAAGTATTTTTTTCAACTTCTGTTTTTGAGTGTTTTGTCTTTTTGGTCTCGTCTCCTTCATTCCTTCTGTACTGTGTGCACTGTGCACCTTCCCACTCGCACACAGACAACACGCCCCTCCCCCTGCCACTCACCACAACAAAGAAACTAAAGATCACTTCTTCCTCTCTGACAACAAGCGGTTTCAACTTGGTATTTGCATTTGAGGTTTGGTCCGATGTAATCGGTCATATGGACACCGAAACACATTGAGACATTATTTTACCCTAATAGAGAACTTAACCTTTGTAACGATACCCTTTTTATGTCTCAACTCCCAAAATGTTGAACAGAGCACAACCTACTAAGACGGGAGGATCAACAATGAACATGATTGGAAAATGTATGCTCACTTTCTATTGTGCGGCATTGCGGTACCATGTACCACTAGTCTGTGTTTTATAAATGTGCAATGAGCATTAAAAAGATGCATTTGTATAAGGAATTCTGAGGAATAAGCATCTTCTTATTCAGGTAGTTAGGCAACTTGATTTCAACATCTAAACAAAGTGAACAGGCTATTCAAACAGTTGTAGATGGACAGGAGGGTGTGTTCATAACAGTTCAACTGTTCTACCATATTAGCAAGCAAATAGATCCAAGTTGGCTAGACTATAAATATAAAGGTTAGCTGGCTTGTGCTTGAGAGATTGTTAATGGGACCTGTGTTAACGTTTTATAACGCCTGCTACCGTAAGTTGGTCATTATCAGTGGATGTGCGTTGTGCATGAGTCTGGTTACATTTGTAACAGCAAAAGGGCATTTTCATAGACTTGACAGCCAGATCAGTGATTATTGCAAAAAAGCAGGTTAAACTATTCTGATCAAATAATAAATAGTGTGAAGGCTTATATTTAGCCTAGGTATAACTTTACAAGCCCTGAATTCATTAGATTATTCTCGACTGTTTGAAATGCAGTGTATTGACCTTTACAGTGCCTTCAGAAAGTATTCACACTCCTTGACTTTTGCCTACACAAAATAACCCATAATGTCAGTGGAATTATGTTTTTTGACATTTTTACAAATGAATAAAAAATTATAAGCTGAAATGTCTTGAGTCAATAAGTATTCAACCCCTTTGTTATGGCAGGCCTAAATAAGTTCAGGAGTAAAAATGTGCTTAACAAGTCACATAAGTTATATGGACCCACTCAGTGTGCAATAATAGTGTTTAACATGATTTTTTCAATGACTACCTCATCTCTGAACCCCACACATACAATTATCTGTAAGGTCCCTCAGGCGAGCAGTGAATTTCAAACACAGATTCAACCACAAAGACCAGGGAGGTTTTTCCAATGCCTTGCAAAGAAGGGCACCTATTGGTAGATGGGTAAAAAATAAATAAAGCAGACATTGAATATCCCTTTTGAGCATGTTGAAGTTATTAATTACACTTTGGATGGTGTGTCAGTACACCCAGTCACTACTCAGTTGCCAGAGATGAAGGAAACGGCTTAGGGATTTCACCATGAGGCCAATGGTGACTTTAAAACAGTCACAGAGTATAATGGCTGTGATAGGATAAAACTGAGGATAGGTCAACAGCATTGTAGTTACTCCACAATACTAACCTAAGATTACAGAGTGAAAAGAAGGAAGCCTGTACAGAATACATATATTCCAAAACATGCATCCTGTTTGCAACAAGGCACTCAAGTAATACTGCAAAAAATGTGGCAAAGCCATACACTTTTTGTCCTGAATACAAAGTGTTATGTTTGGGGCAAATCCAATACAGCACATTTCTGAATAACACTCTCCATATTTTCAAGCATATTGGTGGCTGCATCATGTAATGGGTATGCTTGTAATCGTTGAGGACTGGGGAGTTTTTCAGTAAAAAAAGAAGCGGAATGGAGCACAGGCAAAATCCTAGAGGAAAACCTGGTTGTCTGCTTTCCACCAGACACTGGGAGATGAATTCACCTTTCAGCAGGACAATAACTTAAAATCACAAGGCCAAATCTACACTGGAGTTGATTACCAAGAAGACCATGAATGTTCCTGAGTGGCCGAGTTACAGTTTTGACTTAAATCTTCTTGAACATCTATGGCAAGACCTGAAAATAGTGGTCTAGCATTGATCAACAACCAATTTGACAAGAGCTTGAAGAATTTTGAAAAAGAATAATGGGCAAATGTTGCACAATCCAGGTGTGGAAAGCTCTTACTCAGAAAGACACCGCTGTAATCGCTGCCAAGGGTGCTTCTACAAAGTATTGACTCAGGGGTGTGAATACTTTATAGTATGTAAATGAGATATTTCTGTATTTTATTTTCAATACATTTGCAAACATTTGTAAAACAAGTTTTCACTTTGTCATTATGGGGTATTGTGAGAAACAAAATCAATGTAATAAATTTTGAATTCAGGCTGTAGCACAACAAAATGTGGAATAAGTCAAGGGGTATGAATTCTTTCTGAAGGCACTGCAATTGTGCAATAAAGCTTATTTAGAGGTTTTAAAAATCGAGATGTGAATCGCCCATAAGTTGGAAAAAATGTGTATATTATTTTTAGGCCATATCGCCCAGCCCTAACTCCCTGTAATCCATTTTTAGCGCACTAGAGTTGTTCTGATTATGAGGGGGGTCCCTGATGAATTTGCTATCACAAAAGGGAACCCATGTATTACATTGTACCTGCCTGTGTAATATGCATGTTAAAAGGCAGGGCCACTTGGTATGAAGTGAGATCAAAATATAAATGTAGAAAATATTATATTGTTTTGCACTGATAAATTGTTCCTCAGTTATTATGTTGGTTTTATTTATTTTAACAGATTGTAATAGATGGATTCTTTCCCAGACCTGGTATGGATTGCTCTTTAGCAAGCTCCAGTAACCCCGACAAAACATTTATCTTTGTGAATGATCGACCAGTCCACCAGAAGGATATCCTGAAGGTAAAAACGTTTTTTGTGTTAGTGAAATGTACATATGTTGTTTGTTGTGGTTTAGGTAAAGAAAATCAGCAGCCAATGTAATTGAGTTGTTCTATAAACAAGAGCTTTTGAAGTTGCTTGGACAAAATATTTGTTCTCTTCCTGTAGTTGTACACTAGAGCTGGGACGATAAACCAAACATTATCGACACGGACCATACCGATCACTTTTTGCTGATTTTGTTCATTATAATAAGTAGCCTATACTAAAGAAATATAACCTTTGAAATGAAATAAGTTTTCTAATATGGGTGATTGTTAATGGGACAATTGATGGCTACAACCATCAAACTATTACTAGTAGTTTCAAGGATAGTAAAACAAAAAGTTGTATAAACGTATCGTTCTATTTATCTTTATCACATCATTTCAGGCACTTTATTGCGATATGGATTTTTGTCCATATCGTCCAGCTCTAATATTCACGTTACATTCACCCTACATTCACACAAGTCGTCCAAGGAAGTCATAGACAACATTCACTATTAGAAATGTGGTTATTAGAAGCGCACCCAGTAGTATTTTATTTTATTTAACCGAAGATTAAAAATACATATAAAGTCGCTCCAGCTGAAGACCGCAATGCATTCACAATATAACCCAAAGGCTTATTTCCATTGTGGTCCTCTAAAGTATCACTTTGTCATCATATAGGCCTGTCTATTATCCCCAATGTAGCGCTCTGTCATTGATACTGTCACTTTATGTAAATGCTACAACACTGTCAATGTGAAGCATTGCTCATAGTATCACTGCAGTTCTGATACCTTCTCTCTGCTTGACCATCAGGTGGTCCGGCAGCACTACCTGGCTCAGTACCCGGCAGACTCTGCCCTCAATCGCTATCCCACTATGATGCTCAACATCACTGTTCCCGCATCCACTGTAGATGTCAACCTGACGCCCGACAAGACCCAGATTCTGCTCCAGAACAAGGTGCCGTTTTCCATTATTTTCTCTATTTCCTCGTAGACAGGTTGAAAGATTAGAGAACTAAGGGGAAACAGAATATAATGGGGGGGGGGGGGGCAGCTGCAGAACCAGTTACTTTTGGCTTTCAGACTGATTCAACTGCAAATATGCAATGCGAGATCCATTTAGCAAATTCACGATTTCCTTACGTGTAGAATCCATGTACTTGCTTTGGCTAGTAACCGTTACAGTCTCGTTACTTTTTAACTTCTCTTAAATGTAACTCCTCAAAACCACTTGATTGATTTTCTTTTATAAAAATAGAAAGTGCTGACAGTAAACCGTAAGTTGCCAATCACTTCTGTAGCCACCACCATTTGAAATAGGAGGAGCTGACAAGTGCAGTAATTAACCACAGACACTAAATTAACAGTTATGCACAGCCACTTCCTGTTAAACAGAAAGGGAAAAGTGAACAGCATGGGCATTAGTGTGTGGTGTTATTTCTCACTGAGACTTTGACTCTCAGGTGGCTGTGCTGGCTGCAGTGGAGATGCTGTTGGTTTCCCTCTATGGCCCTGGGTTGGGGTCTGCCACTGAGGCTCCACCAGTCACTGGAGAATATGATGGAGGCAGCGGCCTGCATGCTGGCCCATCACTGGGCGACTGTAGGGGAAACGCTGATGCAGAGGACAGTCTTGAGGAGCACAGTGTCAGAGTGGCCAAAGCTCCATCTGACTGCAGTGATGGCCCTCCATCCAGGGTAGTGGCTGGTGACCAGACAGCAAACACTAGCTCCTCCTCTTCCTCTGAAGACTGGATAGTCAACCTAAATCCAGGGGACTTTGACCTGACATTTCCACTATTGGAAGATTACATGGCTTCAACCTGCACCGGGACAACAAATCCAGGCCCGGCCAAAGGCCTGGAGAGGCTCAACAACCACGACAAAGGTCCTGACAAAGGCAAAGACGTCGAGCAGTTATCAGCAGTAAGTTGGAGCCGAGGCACGGCTCTGACGGACCCCTCCACAGGAGAGCCGTTGCAGCCCGTCAAGGTCCATCTGCCCACCGGATGCAGCAGTGACCTTGGCCAGGTCAAGGCCAAGGGTCAGAGCAGCCCTGGCAAAAAGGTGTCCAACGCTATAACGGAGAAACAGGCGGCGCTGACGGCCTACGACTTGATCAATAACCGTGCCATGAAGACCCCCCTGTCGCCTGCCTCCCTGTTTGAGAGGGAGACCCGGGCAGAGGTTCTCCAGGAGAAGCCCACAGCCAGCCTCCAGGACATCACCACTGCTGTGCAGGAGAGATGGAAAAACCTGGGGGAGGAGGACCGAAAGAAGTGGGTTTCCAGACTTCACCTTCGAAGCAGTTGTTTCCATTTATTATTATTAGCAAGGCAAAAAAATAGGTTGACCTGTCACTTGCATGTGTAAAATATGGCCCAGGAAATTTTGCTTGGCATATTCATGTTGCTACCCAGACAGAGAATTGTTGAGATGAGCTATGTTTATTTTCCAGACAACTGAATCTGATTACTAGGTTACATGGTCAATATTTTCGACTGTAAAACAGGTATTCTGTATGCTGAAATAACTCCCCTTTTTCCAAAGTATGCCATGCATCTTAGGCACTCAAAAGTATTTTGCTAGTGCTAGTCAGACGCTTAATACATTTAACTTAATATTCTGTATGTGGACACGCACTAACCCTCTCCTCTGTCTCGCCCGTCTGGTGCGGCTTGTTCCTAATCAAGACGTTGTCAGGAAGATCTTAATCAGCAAGTGCATAAGATGGGCCACGTTTCAGATGGATCAAAAATGTCTTGATATATAAATTATTAAGGTGTTCTAGTATTTCGTTTTGTTGCGGTTTCGACAAATAATAAGATGTAGGTGAAAGAAACTTATGATATACACTGAGTATACAAAACATTAAGAACACCTGCTCTTTCCATGACATAGACTGACCAGGTGAAAGCGTTGATCCCTTATTGATGTCACTTGTTAAATCCATTTCAATCAGTGTAGATGAAGGGGAGGCGACAGGTTAAAGAAGGACTTTTAAGTCTTTAGAGAATTGAGACATGGATTGTGTATGTGTGCCACTCCGAGGGTGAATGGGCAAGAACATATTTAAGTGCCTTTGAACAGGGTATGGTAGTAGGTGCTAGGCACACCAGTTTGTCAAGAACTGCAACACTGCTGGGTTTTTCACACTCAACAGTTTCCCGTGTGTATCAAGAATGGTCCACCACCCAAAGGACATCCAGCCAACTTGACACAACTGTGGGAAGCATTGGAGTCCACATGGGCCAGCGTCCCTGTGGAACGCTTTCGACACCTTGTAGAGTCCATGCCCCGATGAATCGAGGCTGTTCTGAGGGCAAAAGGGTGGGGTTCAACTCAATATTAGGAAGGTGTTCCTAATGTTTGGTGTATGAATATAATTTTTGAAAATGTAATAGAACATTTTGGTAGCACTATATAATAACTCCACGTAATAAAGCATTTATAATGGATTAGTAAATAGTTTATTAATTTACTAATCATTACTCCATTCATACAATGGTTAATATGGGTCCTTATAAACCATTTACTAATCATTAGTTAATTATTTTTGCGTGGCCTCTACAGTGTTGGCTATTTATGCTTTATAAATACTTTATAAAGCTGATGCTCCTTAAGTTCTCAAAATAGCCTAGAACATAACCAATGGTAAAAGAATAAGCACACAACACAGGATGTTGAAGGAAATATATCAACCATTTTATTCACAAAAATTGTTGTGAAACAACTGTTGCGCGGACTTGAGGAAGAGTTGTAATGTACATGCTTTGCTAATGTCAACCGTGCGAATGCTAATTAATCATAAAACGGGGAGATGTAGTTTACAACTAGTGGACTTTTATTCCTTCATTACTGATATGCGATCGACGTAGACATGTTACATGTAAACTACATGACCAAAAGTATGTGGACACATGTTTGTCGAACATCGCATTCCAAAATCATGGGCATTTAATATGGAGTTGGTCCCCCCTTTGCTGCTATAGTATATTTGTTTACATAGCCAGCTAGCAAGTAGCTTGTTCTGTCCTGTTTCTACCGATGTAATTCATTTAGAAACTGGCCCAGCTTCATAACTAATCAGCTAACATTGGCGAACTCTGTAGTTAGTCTGTCAGGCAAGAAAGCAAGAGTTGATTGGAGGAGACTGAGTTTGTATGTGTGGGAATGGGAGGCGTGTATCACACCTTTTTATAAGGAGAAAAAGAAAGAGGAAGGAAGAGAGAGACAGTGTGAGAGAGAGGGATTATGTTCCTGACCACAATTGCATCCTATTTGTTGCTCCTCTCCTCTCCCTCTGTTCCTTTAGGGCAGTGAAAGAGAAGGAAGTGATGTGGAGAGTCAGGGCTCAGCAGCAAAAGGCAGGGAGGAAGAGTTAGAGATGATTGGCGGGAGAGAAATGTGGACGGAGAGGAACATGGAGGGAGAGGAGGAAGCAGAGGGAGGGGAAGGAGAGCACACCTGAGAGGGGAGCCTATGTTTTCATGGGATGTGTCTGCCCCAAGTCCCACCATTCACCCTTGTACCACACAGCCTGGGCCTGAAGTGACAGTAGTAGGAGTTTTGGAGGGATTTTTAAGTGGTAGGATCTGTTCCAGAGCTTGTAATGGATTATAACAAGAAAATGGGCGGGGTTGACCATCTTGACCAACTGAGGAGCTAATGTTGGACGCACAGGCAGAAAATGGTGGAAGTATGTGTTTTGGGGGACGCTCAACATTGCCATCATAAATGTGTACATTGTGTGGGGGACCCTGCAATGGCCCCTTCCCAGAAACTGCAGGTGCTGGTCCCTGAAGGTATTCAAAATGCAGCTTGTGCATTCACTTTGTGATACGGCTACAGTGGCAGGAAGAGGGGAGAGTGTGGCACCAGGGCGTGTGGACCGAGTTGTAACCTATTTGAAAGCTGTTGAAGTTTGAAGGGCGCAAGAGAGGGTGTGTGTTGTGCATCCTGAGTGGACGCAGGGCAAAGAGTGGGAGAGGTATAGAAACCTCCTTTGGGAGCTCTACGTGTTCTGTGTCACTTTGCAGGATGGGCCATGCTTCCAGAAGTTCCATGACATGTTGTAGGTTATATGCAAATGCTAAAGTGACAGTGTGAAATATGAATTGTTCTACAAATCTTTAATATGGAGTTGGTCCCCGCTTTGCTGCTACAACAGCCTCCACTCTTCTGGGAAGGCTTTCCACTAGCTGTTGGAACATTGCTGCGAGGACTTGCTTCCATTCAGTCACGAGCATTAGTGAAGTCGGGCGCTGATGTTGGGCGATTAGGCCTGGCTTGCAGTCGGCGTTCCAATTCATCCCAAAAGTGTTCGATTGGGTTGAGGTCAGGGTTCTGTGCAGGCTAGTCAAGTTCTTCTACACTAATCTCGACAAATGTATGTATGGTCCTCGCTTTGTGCACAGGGGCATTGTCATGCTGAAATAGGAAAGAGCCTTCCCCAAACTGTTGCTACAAAGTTGGAAGCACAGAATCATCTAGAATATCGTTGTATGCTGTAGCATTAAGATTTCCCTTCATTGGAACTAAGGGGCCTAGCCCGAACCATGAAAAACCCCAGACCATTATTCCTCCTCTACCAAACTTTACAGTTGCACTATGCATTGGGGCAGGTAGCGTTCTCCTGGCATCCGCCAAATCCAGATTTGTCCGTTGGACTGCCAAATGGGGAACACGTTTCCACTGCTCCAGAGTCCAATGGCGGCGAGCTTTACACCACTCCAGCCGACACTTGGTATTGCGCATGGAGATCTTGTTTACATACACCTTAGCCAAATACATTTAAACTCAGTTTTTCACAATTCCTGACATTCAATCCTAGTAAAAATGTCCTGTCTTAGGTCAGTTTAGATCACCACTTTATTTTAAGAATGTGAAATGTCAGAATAATAGTAGAGAGAGTTATTTATTTCAGCTTTTATTTATTTCATCACATTCCCAGTGGGTCAGAAGTTTACATACATTCAATTAGTATTTGGTAGCATTTCCATTAAATTGTTTAACTTGGGTCAAACATTTCGGGTAGCCTTCCACAAGCTTCCCACAATAAGTTGGGTGAATTTTTGGCCATTCCTCCTGACAGAGCTGGTGTAACTGAGTCAGGTTTGTAGGCCTCCTTGCTTGCATACGCTTTCTCAGTTCTGCCCACAAATTTTCTATAGGATTGATGTCAGGGCTTTGTGATGGCCACTCCAATACCTTGACTTTGTTGTCCTTAAGCCATTTTGCCACAACTTTGGAAGTGTGCTTGGGGTCATTGTCCATTTGGAAGACCCATTTGCGACCAAGCTTTAACTTCCTGACTGATGTCTTGAGATGTCGCTTCAATATATCCACGTAATTTTCCTTCCTCATGATGACATCTACATGATGCTGCCACCCCCGTCCTTCACGGTTGGGATGGTGTTCTTCGGCTTGCAAGCAACCCCCTTTTTCCTCCAAACATAACGATGGTCATTATGGCCAAACAGTTATATTTTTGTTTCATCAGACCAGAGGACATTTCTCCAAAAAGTACGATCTTTGTCCCCATGTGCAGTTGCAAACCGTAGTCTGGCTTTTTTATGGTGGTTTTGGAGCAGTGGCTTCTTCCTTGCTGAGCGGCCTTTCAGGTTATGTCAATATAGGACTCGTTTTACTGTGGATATACAGTGAGGGAAAAAAGTATTTGATCCCCTGCTGATTTTGTATGTTTGCCCGCTGACAAAGACATGATCAGTCTATAATTTTAATGGTAGGTTTATTTGAACAGTGAGAGACAGAATAACAACAAAAAAATCCAGAAAAACACATGTCAAAAATGTTATAAATTGATTAGCATTTTAATGAGGGAAATAAGTATTTCACCCCTCTGCAAAACATTACTTAGTACTTGGTGGCAAAACCCTTGTTGGCAATCACATAGGTCAGACGTTTCTTGTAGTTGGCCACCAGGTTTGCACACATCTCAGGTGGGATTTTGTTCCACTCCTCTTTGCAGATCTTCTCCAAGTCATTAAGGTTTCGAGGCTGACGTTTGGCCACTCCAGGACCTTAATGTGCTTCTTCTTGAGCCACTCCTTTGTTGCCTTGGCCGTGTGTTTTGGGTCATTGTCATGCTGGAATACCCATCCACGACCCATTTTCAATGCCCTGGCTGAGGGAAGGAGGTTCTCACCCAAGATTTGATGGTACATGGTCCCGTCCATCGTCCCGTTGAGGCAGTGAAGTTGTCCTGTCCCCTTAGCAGAAAAACACCCCCAAAGCATAATGTTTCCACCTCCATGTTTGACGGTGGGGATGGTGTTCTTGGGGTCATAGGCAGCATTCCTCCTCCTCCAAACAAGGCGAGTTGAGTTGATGCCAAAGAGCTAAATTTTGGTCTCATCTGACCACAACATTTTCACCCAGTTCTCCTCTGAATCATTCAGATGTTCATTGGCAAACTTCAGACGGCCCTGTATATGTGCTTTCTTGAGCAGTGGGACCTTGCGGGCGCTGCAGGATTTCAGTCCTTCACGGCGTAGTCTGTTACCAATTGTTTTCTTGGCGACTATGGTCCCAGCTGCCTTGAGATCATTGACAAGATCCTCCTGTGTAGTTCTGGGCTGATTACTCACCGTTCTCATGATCATTGCAACTCCACGAGGTGAGATCTTGCATGGAGCCCCAGGCAGAGGGAGATTGACAGTTATTTTGTGTTTCTTCCATTTGCGAATAATCGCACCAACTGTTGTCACCTTCTCACCAAGCTGCTTGGCGATGGTCTTGTAGCCCATTCCAGCCTTGTGTAGGTCTACAATCTTGTACCTGACATCCTTGGAGAGCTCTTTGGTATTGGCCATGGTGGAGAGTTTGGAATCTGATTGATTGATTGCTTCTGTGGACAGGTGTCTTTTATACAGGTAACAAGATGAGATTAAGAGCACTCTCTTTAAGAGTGTGCTCCTAATCTCAGCTCGTTACCTGTATAAAAGACACCTGGGACCCTCTCAATCTGATTGAGAGGGGGTCAAATACTTATTTCCCTCATTAAAATGCAAATCAATTTATAACATTTTTGACATGCGTTTTTCTGGATTTTGTTGTTGTTATTCTGTCTCTCACTGTTCAAATAAACCTACCATTAAAATTATAGACTGATAATTTTTTGGTCAGTGGGCAAACGTACAAAATCAGCAGGGGATCAAATACTTTTTTCCCTCACTGTAGATACTTTTGTACCTGTTTCCTCCAGCATCTTCACAAGGTCCTTTGCTGTTGTTCTGGGATTGATTTGCACTTTCCGCACCAAAGTACGTTCATCTCTAGGAGACAGAAAACGTCTCCTTCCTGAGTGGTATGACGGCAGCGTGGTCCCATGGTGTTTATACTTGCGTACTATTGTTTGTACAGATGAACGTGGTACCTTCAGGCGTTTGGAAATTGCTCCCAAGGATGAACCGGATCTGTTTGAGAAACAGGCGCTTCACAGTTTCTGGGCTCCCGAGTAGCGCAGCGTTCTAAGGCACTCAGTACTTGAGGCGTCACTACAGACCCCCTGGTTCGATTCCAGGCTGTGCCACAACCGGCCGTGATTGGGAGTCCCATAGGGCGGTGCACAATTGGCCCAGTGTTGTCCGGGTTTGGCCGGTGTAGGCCGTCATTGTAAATAAGAATTTGTTCTTAACTGACTTGCCTAGTTAAATAAAGGTAAAATAAAACAGGTCCTCAACTGGCAGCTTCATTAAATAGTACCCGCAAAACACCAGTCTCAACGTCAACAGTGAAAAGGCGACTCCGGGATGCTGACCTTCTAGGCAGAGTTGCAAAGAAAAAGCCATATCTCAGACTGGCCAATAAAAAGAAAAGATGGGCAGTCTGAGATATGGCTTTTTCTTTGCAACTCTGCCTAGAAGGTCAGCATCCCGGAGTCGCCTCTTCACCGTTGACGTTGAGACTGGTGTTTTGTGGGTACTATTTAATAAAGCTGCCAGTTGAGGACCTGTGAGGCATCTGTTTCTCAAACTAGACACTAATGTATTCGTCCTCTTGTTCAGTTGTGCACTGGGGCCTCCCATTCCTCTTTCTATTCTGGTTAGAGCCAGTTTGCGCTGTTCTGTGAAGGGTGTAGTACACAGTGTTGTATGAGATCTTAAGTTTCTTGGCAATTTCTCGCATGGAATAGCCTTAATTTCCCAGAACAAGAATAGACTGACGAGTTTCAGAAGAAAGTTATTTGTTTCTGGCCATTTTGAGCCTGTAATCGAACCAACAATTGCTGATGCTCCAGGTACTCAACTAGTCTCAAGAAGGCCAGTTTTATTGCTTCTTTAATCAGCACAACAGTTTTCAGCTTTGCTAACATAATTGCAAAAGGGTTTTCTAATGATCAATTAGCCTTTTTAAAATGATAAACTTGGATTAGCAAACACAATGTGCCATTGGAACACGACTGATGGTTGCTGATAATGGGCCTCTTTACACCTATGTAGATATTCCATAAAAAATCAGCCGTTTCCAGCTACAATAGCCATTTACAACATTAACAATGTCCACTGTATTTCTGATCAGTAGTCTTTCGAAAACAAGGACATTTCTAAGTGACCCCAAACTTTTGAACGGTAGTGTGTATTTATTTATTTATTTATATATATATATATATAGATATATATATATATATATATATATATATATATATATATATATATATATATATATATATATATATATATATATATATATATATATATATATATATATATATATATATATATATATATATATATACAGGTCTGTGAGAGCCGGAATTCTTACTGGTTGGTAGGTGATCAAATACTTATGTCATGCAATAAAATGCAAATTAATGACTTAAAAATCATACAATGTGATTTTCTGGATTTTTGTTTTAGATTCCGTCTCTCACAATTGAAGTGTACCTATGATAAAAATTATACAGATCTCTACATGCTTTGTAAGTAGGAAAACCTGCAAAATCGGCAGTGTATCAAATACTTGTTCTCCCCACTATATATATATATATATATATATATATATATATAGTGTATGATTTGTAGGTAGAAATGTTACATGTATAACCTTTTATTCCTTCAAGTGCTTCAGTCTTTTAACTGCAGACTTTGGCTGAGAGCTTCCTTTTGCGAGGGCAAACCGGAACTCCCCATTTCTAACACATATGGACCCAGAACTTAATCACGCATTTGACCAAATTACGCAAGATTTTAGTTCTTGGTTAACTGAGATTAGACCGCTCTAAGGAGTGACTGCAATCCACACTTTAGTTTTGGTAGAAAAGTCACTGCCAAGAAACGCTTATGTTAGTATTTATAAAGTATAAATAGCCCACACTTTAGATGAGGCCACACAAGAAAAACTTTACTAATGATTAGTAAATGGTTTATAAGGAACAATATTAAACATCTTATGAATGATCTTATGAATCATTATTAAATACTTTAAAAGTTGTTTATACATTTGTGAATAACTAGTTTAATAATGTTTACAAATGAGTAATGATTAATCATTTATGAATAAACTATTTACGAATTAATTATAAATGCTTTATTACGTGGAGTTATTATAAAGTCCTACCAATATTTTGAGAACATTTGAAACTTTGAGAAATTACACAAATGTTGCAAATCTTACATTTTGTGACCTTGGTTGAATTGCCTTTCCACAGCTGAGAGGACATGATTTTTGGCAGTATCTGTATATCACAGCACACTGTAATAGGGTCTGCGTGACTCATGATTCAGCACGAGGTAACTTACCTTTGTGCTTTCCTAACAGTGTAGAATTGTTTTAATCGGACGTACCAAAGATGAGCAATGCATGTCGTACTGCCATTCTTTGGACTTCTAACAACATCCAGATACGCGTTCACAGGCCAGTAAAGCCAATCAAATATGGCATTATCTTCTGATCTCAATCCACTGAGACTGAACAACTCAACCAGCATCACGGAATAACATCATTACCCTCTACTGAAAGCACTCCACCCAATTATCGTAGATTACTGCATACCAATTTAAAGTAATTGAAAGGACAGAAAATGTGTATCAGCATTAGCCTACGTGTGGAACCTATGTAAGGGATGGACGAGTGTATGGAAAAAGACATCTGTTTAGAATCATGTTAGTGCTGTCTTAAACATGAAATAAGATGAGGCAAATATTTGTCTCCTTTCGACGCCGCTGTTAAGTGGCAAGCCACTTCTAGGAATCGTTATCCCTCTCACATGTACTCTAGTAACACAGGTCAGTTGCATGTGTGGATGCAGTGCCATAAACCCATAGGATTATTTACATGGAACCGTATGGGAGTGCAAGTTAGAAGACCCCCCCCCTGGCTGTCTTCCAGCTGACATGTATAGAACTGGTCCGCCTCCAGAATCCCTGTGCAAGTGACCTCTTATTGCACGCACTATATACTTTTGATCCTCTCTTATGAAGGCTCTAAATGCAAACATTGCATTACCTAATAATGCAGTAGCTTGAAACATTGAGGAGAGCATGGTCCACTGTAGCTTGTCTCAGTGGACACTGCAGCTTCTGAGTTTTTTTGGGGGGATCTCTCTCTTATTTCCCATGTGTGGACTGCACATCCAACACCCTGCTGGAATCTGAAAACACACACTTTATCCAGGGAGACTTAAATTGCCTTACCGCCTTACACAGGCTTTACATTGCTCTTGCGTAGGTGGACCTTTGTCTTAAGGCTGTACTGTTTGGACTTCCAGGTGGTACGGCGTTGGGAGAAGGCGATTTACAGTATAGATAGACACTTTTATATAGCGAAGCTGACAATATTACTCCAGGATTTCGGGAGTACCCCACATTTTTCTTTGTCCCCTGAGCTCCCCACAAATGCTGTTTTGGAGCCATTCACATCAGAATACTGGCATCGCTCCTGCACTTCACAACTTAGCGTAAGTGAGTTTACAAACATTAAAGGGATAGTTCACTTTTATATGACCGTTTCAGCTTATTTTTAATATACTTTCCCAGAAACGTAGACGTGTACCTCTGACAACATTGATTTGCGCATTCTGAATTAGGTCCAATTCCTTTTTAATTTTGCCACAGTTGTGCGTCACCCTGGACTGCTGTTTCCTGTTTCACTTGCGACTGTTTCCTTTGCATTTAGGAAATTTAAACTGGGGGCATTTCAGGGCATAAACGACGGGATGGGTTTCTTTATTTGCCGAAATCCATACATTAACACAACTTGTGAAAGGAAGTGCCAAACAGATGCCATACATAATCCAGAGAAAGATGTGTGTTTTTGTGAATGAATGGGGTTTATGGAGCTAAACTCTGTTATTTTAGTGGATTAAACCAATGTTTGATCATACTGGGATACAAGCAGTAGCTATTGCTTTCAAGCATGTTATAGTACTTTTGCCCTAACCCCTAGCCTTGAGGTGACTCAAAAAGCTTCTGTATTTACAGCAGCTAGAAAACCTCAACACACTGCCACTGATGTTAATTGGCAGGAATGTGGAACAATTCTAAGTGGAAGGTCAAGACTGGATATTTTAACAGTCCTCCACTTCCGTTTTGAGTGATTCACCTCCCACCCCCATCTGGCTACTAGTGGCAGATGTTTTTTATCTTGACGGTTTTAGCACATGTTCTACGCTATGATTTACTGTATGTCACTTAGATTCACTAGAGTAAATTGAATCAAGATTCCATATGTGAATTTAGGATATTTAATTGGTCACAACTGGTGACCCCTTCAATAAACCTATTTCCATCATGCCCGTAGAGTAATTGGTTCTGAATTGATAAATTAGAAGGGCTTATTCTAAAAGATTAGGGCTTTACGACAAATAATAAGCTGAGTTTGCAAACTGATATACACTGTGTAATTACGTGATAATGCCCGAGAAGCTGGTGTTTGGAGGATATATTGGCATAGGTGTTGTTCGGGCCGAGACGAAGTCGAGGGCCAGCAAACCGTGCCAATATGTGACCGACCGGCTCGATTCGGTCTTATGTAGCAACATTTTTTATTGTGTTTTTTACATTGGATGAAAGTAGAGACTCGGAGCTAGAAAATTGTATATCATACACTACAGTTGCGGAACAATGGGAAAGTAATTCTGCTTTGAAAGTTGATAAACTTGTAACCTCACTTTTGAGAAAATGAACCTTGAAGGTTTTGATAAACCTACTGGAGAGCTCTTCTTTGTCTAAACCCATTCAGCATCGTTCACACCCTCTTAAGCCTTAGCCCCACCCATCTCTTTAAGGATTCACATCTGGGTACTAAACAACCTACCATTTCAAGACTAAAGGCTGGTTTATACTACGGGCGTGTTTGTAAATTCAATCTGGAGTGCCAGAGTGCACTCCGAGCATTGTCAGTTCGTAAATTCAGAGCGTTTTGCTCTCGGAGCGTTCAGAGCGCACGCTGGATGCTCTGGCTGAGGAGTAGGGTTGATCCGAGCGTTCTGACCTAACAACAGCAGTCAAGCACCCAAACTAACTGGCTAACGTTGGCTAGCTTGCTAGCTACTTCCAGACTCAAATGAGAGAACAGCTCACTGACCATTTTACTCGCCCTATCAGAGCTGGTTAGGCTGTTTTTGTTATCCAGAGCGTTGGTAACTGTGCTGCGGGCAACAATTTAATGACGCATTTTTGCCAACATTTACTGACACCGGCCATATTCAACGGGTGTTGAGCGTTCGTAAATTCGTCAGTTATTCCGCGAATTTACAAGCCACGTCTATCGACAGCTGTCACAATGACATCATGAACATTCTATTGAAATGGTTACTTGCATAGTGGAGTCTTTTGTTTAGACATGTAACTAGCTAGCTAAACAATGAACCATAATCCCAACTCATAACGTTACTACCCTGCATGAATCTGCAAGTAGCTAACCAACCAGGTTCAATGTTGGCTAGGTAGCTAACATTAGGCTATAACTAGCAATGCAAATGGCTCTGAGATATGAATAATATTACTATACAGATCATACACGTAACTTTAGCTAGCGAGCCAGCCAGCTAACGTTAGCTAGATAGCTAACAGTACGCTTTAACTTGAAATGAAAACTATTTTCTGACAAAATTAGAAACGTGTAATATCTGAAAATTTAGCTAGCTAGACTATCTTACCCAATGGACGCTTCTACCTCTCTGCCATGGTTGCCCTTAGTTTGAAGATGTAATCCGGAGACGGGTGTTTTATACAATAGCCTTCTGTGTGTTCTCTTTTCGACTCTCTCTGCATATTTGCAATCAAACGCCAGAATTTTCTCCATCTCCTTAGCTATCATACTTTAATTCCACTGGGCATTCCACTGATTTCAAAACTTGGTCCTCCAGAAAGTGGAGAGCAACACTTTTGCAGTTCTACTATGTGATATCTTTCAAAAAAGTCGCATTAGAAAGAATTACCTACACATACTGACCAGCTCATGTTATAGACCAGGGGTGTCAAACTCATTTTAGCTCAGGGGCAACATGGAGGAAAATCTATTCCCAAGTGGGCCGGACCGGAAAAATCATGGTATATATAACTTAAAAACAACAACTTCAGATTGTTTTCTTTGTTTTAATACGATCAACATACAACATAAAGCTGGAGCCTGAGGACAGTGTGTCCAAAATAGTACAAGCACAACATCACTATTAATCATAAAACATGTCAAGTTTATTTGAAAATTCTAAAGAAAAAGAACACACAAACACACAATGCCTCAGTGATTAACAGAACTGTTTCACAGATCACAGAACTATATCAGGGTGTCATTTCTCAGGCAGAAATGTAGATAAAAATAATGAAATCCTGTTCCCCAAACAAGTGCAAGAACCACAGAGTCAAGAATAGGTTAAATATACAAATAAAATAAAATCAATTAAAAACAATAGCACAACATCACTATTAATCATAAAACACCTCAAGTTATTTGAAAGTTCTGAGGACAAAGAACACACAAACACACAATGCCTCAGTGATTCACAGAAGTATATCACAGATCACAGAACTATATCAGGGTGTCATTTCTCAGGCAGAAATGTAGATAAAAATAATGAAATCCTGTTCCCCAAACAAGTGCAAGAACCACAGAGTCAAGAATAGGTTAAATATACAAATAAAATAAAATCAATTAAAAACAATAGCACATCAACATAAAAACATATAAACATAAATCTGAAAGCGTTGCTCAAACTCCCGTAACAGTCCCGTTATTTTATCTTTGAACCGCTTCATGTCTGCCACATGTTGGGTCGCGCACACATTTTTCAGACAGGGGAAGTGAGCTGCATCACCACCGGCAAGTTGCGTCTCCCACAATGACAGCTTCAACTTGAAAGAACGTATGCTGTCATAATACTGCGTGACAACTTTGTTGCGCCCTTGCAGCTGTTTGTTCAAGTTCTATATCGTGGAGCTCCGCCCCATAGGGGAGCTCTGCTCCTAATGGTTTACCCTCTGCCCTAAGGCAGCAGCAGCCTGAGACAAAATTATGCACACACCTACAGCCAATAGGAGTACAGGTGTCCCTATAAGAGGGGGTGCCTCCCCTCAATCAGCCTCCCTTTTTCTTCAGCGACTGGATGACTAGACTGAAGAGCCAAGAAGAGACGAAGCACGAAGACTCAGGACGAAAACGCCGTTGATATTCCAGTCATCAACGTTGTCTAAATGAGCACACCGGGAAAATTTCCACCCCCAAAAGCTCTTTTCAGAGCTCAGTGCAGATGCACTTCCATGGCGGCCGGTGACCACCACGACTTATGTTTCGTGTGTTTGGGATCCCAGCATGCCAAGGAAGGCGTCTGCAGTCCCCCGAATTGCGCCTCTTGCGCCCTCCTTTCTTTAAAGGAGAGGAAGCAGCGTTGGGCGTTTTTCAGGGAGGACATCCCCCTTGAGGATGTGTTGTCGATACTAGCCTCTGCTTCAGAGGCGTCGTCCGACGGCGCAGACTCGGGGGAAGATGGGGATTTTGAGGAAGGGTCTGGCATTCCAATGGAACAGTCGGACCCCGTCCCTCATACTTTCAAGCCCCCCTTTCCTTTGGAGAGCGAGAGGGCTTGTAGTCCCTATAGCGACGGGGATACGAGCTCTGAGAGATCAGAAGCTCTCTCTTTCGCTGCAGCCTCTCTGAGAGCGGATTTTCCGGGTCTCATTGAGAGAGCTGCTCAACGGCTGGCAATAGAGCTGCCCCCTCTTCCCTCCGCACCGGAGGTTGATATGATGGAGGGCGGTCCTTATTCCAGGCCAAGGAAGGCGGCAGAGCCAGTGGCTCCTGCCATGCCTTCTTTGGCTAGGTACATTGGAGGCTCGTGGGAGGCACCTTTAGCGGCGCGTTCGCCTGTAAAAGCGTATCTCCCATTCACGAGAGTGGAAGGAAGGCTTCAGGGTCAGGGAATCCCCAGGTTAGAGAGCGCCATGGCGGCGTATCTCGTACCGGGTTCGAGCCCTTGGCCCTCTTCCAAGAAGGCCACGTTGCCATCCCAGAAGGACCGACTCACAGCGTCGCTGTTAGAGAAGTCTTTTGGGTTGGGAGCCCAAGCTGTAGCAGCAGCTAACAACATTGCCCTCTTGGCAGCCTCTCTGTCCCGTTTAACCACGGGTAAGACAGAGATGGCACCGGAGGAGGTGGAGGAGGCGTCCAGAATTTCTGGCGCCATACTCCACCTTACACAGGCGTCCGCAGTCTGCGCGGGGAGATCCATGGCCACTTCGGTGGTCGGGGAACGACACCTCTGGTTGTCTTTGACTTCCATGAAAGAGGCAGACAGGACGTCTCTCTTGAACGCCCCCCTCTCTGACGACGGCCTCTTTGGGGTCGCAGTCAAAGAGGCGACGGAGCGTTTTTCGAAGTTGGAGGAGGAGAAGAAGCAGTTGGCCAAGCACCTGCCGTTGGCAGGACGACTCGGCCCCCCTCCTCCCCAAAGGCCATCTACCTCCGCCCCTCTAAGTAGACCGGGATCTACGACGAGGCGGCGTCATCCGGCGGCCACGAGCAGCAAGGGAGCGGGCTCGGCCCTCCCAGCAGCTACGGTAGCCCCACTACAGCCGGCGAGGGAGGTGACGAGGACGCCGACCTGGCCCTCCAAGGGAGGCAAGAGGAGGCGTACGTGACGGGACGCGGGGGAGAGGATGGAGGACGCATCGATGGTGTCGAACGCGCCCACTGTTCCCCCCCACCCTTCGGTTGAAGGGACGGGTGCTGATGTAAATGCTTTTGTTGATGTGTTTAATAAAGAGTTGGCTCCACCTGACTTTGTCAAAAAAGAGCCTATTTTCCATAATACGTCCGAGAGCGTTCAAATCTCACCCTCTCTTCCTTACCACTCTAAGAGCCGTTCAGCCCACCGAGGGTGCGTTGCTGAACAGGCACTAAGAGTAGGTATCCAGAAGACCTCAATCAGGTCGTCACATCACACTTCACGTATAAGAAGTGCTTTACATAGAAGGCAGTAGTCCCGGTCAGATTCTGACATGAGGACGCAGCCGCTATTTGGGGATGGCGCACTAGTACAGACTAAGGTCTCCACTAGTACGAGCCAGACCCATGCTGCGTTCACGGAGGGCCCGATTACCGCGGTCACCAAGGTGCCCAGAGTATCGGCGCCCCCAGGCATTGTAACACAGCAGCTATCTGGGGACGGCGCATTATCGCAGACCAAGGTCTCGGTTAATGCGATTCAGACCCATGCTACGTTCACGGAGGGCAGGATTACTAGCGTTATGGGTATAACCAAAGTATCAGCTCCCCTGACAGAACGAGCCAGTACTCACCACACTGAGCGTGAATCAACCCACCAGGGGTGCAGAGTTGAACACACACAGAAGGTGAAAGTTAAGAAGGTATCAAGGCACCGCCTTGTTTTACCTCATAGAGACCTCATACTACAGACTTCTAGGAGTACTGTAGTGAAGGGCTCTGATAGCGAATTGCAGTCACCTAAGATGACGCAATCGCTTGCTGGGGATGGTGCCCTGCCGCAGGCTGTGGCCTCGGTCAGTGCAATTCAGACCCGCGATGCGTTCAAGGAGGGCAGGAATACGACGGTTACGGGTTTAACCGACGTCCCTACTCCTCTTTCTTTCTCAGAACGCATTTCCTCTCCCTTTCACGGGAGGCCCACCTTGGGCTGTTCCACCACTTCAATGTTGGGGAACAGTGGCGGTAAGGGCCATAGAGGAATACAGGTCCTTCCTACTGGATGCACCACAGCTTCGCGCCCAGCCACTTTCTCAGCATTGCTGGCAGTGGCGAAGAAGCTGCACCCTCTCACGCTGGCTAGAACAGACGTTGCAGAAGGGTTATGCTCTCCAATTCCACCGGACCCCACCCCCGTTCAGGGGAGTGGTGGAGACGGTGATGAAAACGCCAGACAAAGTGGCCGCTCTGATGACGGAGATTACGGAACTTTTGGCGAAGGAGGCGGTGACAGTAGTTCCCCGGGAGCAAAGGAACAAAGGGCTATATTCGCCTTATTTCCTAGTGCCCAAAAAGACGGGGGGAGTGAGGCCGATTTTGGATTTACGCATTCTCAACGAGAGCATAACCAAACGGCCCTTCCGAATGCTAACGACAAAACGTCTGCTGGAATGTGTCCAGAGAGGGGACTTTTGTACGAGCATAGACCTAAAGGACGCGTACTTTCATGTGCCGGTTCAGCCGCGTCACAGGAAGTTTCTGCGGTTCGCCTTTCAAGGGGTTGCGTACGAATACACGGGGATGCCATTTGGGTACGCCCTGGCACCTCGCACATTTTCCAAGTGTGTGGAGGCGGCATTGGAACCGTTGCGTCGTCAGGGAATACGGCTACTAGCCTACCTGGACAACCTACTGGTTCTCGCCCCGTCAGCAGAGCTGGCGATCACTCACACAACACAGACAGTGATGCATCTCACAAGTCTGGGGTTCGCTGTGAATTGGAAAAAGAGCGCGCCCTGGCCCACTCATCAGATTGTCTACCTGGGGATACAGCTAGACACTGTGAGGATGAGGGCTCGAATCTCGGACCCCCGAAGGGTAGCCTTGTTGCTAGCCCTAAGGAAGTGTCGTCTGAATCACACGGTGACGGCGCTGTCGATCATGTCACTTTTGGGTCTCATGTCGTCAGCCCACTCTGTGGTTCGGCTGGGACTCCTGCACATGCGCAGGACGCAGCAATGGTTCGCCCAACTAAGACTAGACCCATTGCGTCAATGTCATCGGTTGGTGGTGGTTCCCCTCTCGCTCAGTGCAGACCTAAACTATTGGAGAAACTCGCGCGTTCTCACGCACGGAGTCCCGATAGGAAAGGTGTCCTCTCACATCCCAGTATTCACGGATGCGTCCCTGACGGGATGGGGAGGGACATGTCAGACACAAGCGATAGGAGGTGTGTGGCCTCAATCAGGTCGTCACATCAACCTCCTGGAGTTGGAAACGGTTCGACTGGTTCTGACCCACTTCGCGTCTACCCTTCGGGGTCGCGATGTGCTGGTCTGGTCAGACAACCGGACCACAGTAGCCCACATAAATCGCCAGGGTGGAGTCAGGTCGCCTGCTCTCCATCGGGCGCCAGAGGAATTGTGGCTGTGGGCTCACGAGCACCTTCGCTCATTGAGAGCAGCACACATTCCGGGCTACTTGAACGTAGGAGCAGACCTCATGTCAAGAGGGGGTCCTCGAGACGACGAGTGGTGTCTGCATCCAGACATTGTTCTCCAGATTTGGGAACAATTCGGGAGAGCCGAGGTGGACCTATTCGCGTCACGCGTGAACGCGCAATGTCCTCTGTGGTTCTCTCTGAGGGAACAGGACGAACCACCACTGGGAAGGGATGCCTTTGCGCACCAACCGTGGCCGAGAGTTCTCCTGTATGCATTCCCTCCGCTGTCCTGCATTCTCCCACTGCTAGCCAGGGTGAGGTCAGGGGGGCTGTCAGTGATACTGATAGCGCCCGATCGCCCGGGGGCTCTGTGGTTTGCGGAGATGAGTCAGATGTTGATTGCGCCACCTTGGCCAATTCCACATCGACGGGACGCGTTGTCTCAGGCGGCTGGCACGATAGGGAAATTGCCCATAATCGGCCAACCACTGAAGGCCTGGCTGCTGAGAGGGACAGGCTAGAGCGCCGTGGGTTATCTGATGCAGTGATCAGGACCATACAGGGTTCACGTGCCAGTTCCACTTCTAAGATGTATGCCAGTAGATGGAACGTGTTTTCACGATGGTGTGTCACACAAGGTGTGGACCCCATGAGCTGTCAGGTGGAGAGTATTCTCTCTTTTCTGCAGCTCATGTTTGATAAGCAAAAATCGCCTGCCACGATTAGAGTGTTTGCAGCAGCGATTTCAGCTTGTCATGAGGGTTTTGGCAGAGACAATGTCATAGCGGCTTCTACTGCCCTTTTCAGAGGAACAGGAGTAGAGGATATCTGTAGAGCAGCATCCTGGTCGACGCCGTCTCCATTTATCCGTTTCTATCTCTTAGATATGTCTTCTAATTCTCTGGCTCGATCTGTACTCAGCGTGGCTGAAGGGAGATCTTGAGCAAGAAAGAGAGGAGAAGCAGGACTGTGGACTCAGGTTTCCATCAGGTCCGCTTTGGTTAGGAAGACGTGTTTTTAACAGATGTGTTTTCTAACTCTTTGGCTCGGTCTGTACTCAGCATAGCTGAAGGGAGATCTGGAGCTAGGAAGAGAGGGAAAAGCAGGACTATGGACTGGTTTTCCATCAGGTCCGCTTTGGATAAGAAAACATATTTTGTGACATGAATCCTGACTGACAGGATCAGTACAGTAGAGGCATGCGTTGATTAACAGAATATGAGGTCATCTATCTGCTTGTTCAGTTAGTATGACTCATGTTTTTGTTCCTGCCCACTAATCTCTGGGATTCCATTGAGTGAGTGAGGCGGTCTACCGCGTTCATAATGTAGAGTGACACTTGATGTCATTCCATTAGTGGTCGGTAGTGTTTTCACAGGATATTGAGGCACATCTATCTGCTAGTACAGATTAGTATGGCTTCTATTCTGGTGATCTGCCCACTAGTCATTGGCATTGCCATTGGACTAGGTGGGGCGGGTTTTTAACCGATGACGCGGTATATTGTGACGCCCGTAGGGGTTTTTAGTTGCAGTACTGCGGGACTCGGTTGCAGCCATTGCTAGGCTTGACTTTCTCGTTTCGATGGGAAGTGTTAGGCTCGGCAGGGAGTACATTTTGGAGCGCTACGCTCCGCCTTAAACCATTAGGAGCAGAGCTCCCCTATGGGGCGGAGCTCCACGATATAGAACGATTAGTTACCTGAGTGTAACTCCAGTTCTATGAGTGGAGCGGAGCCCCATAGGACTTAAGGCCCTGCCGACCCTCTCTAGTCTCGCTGAAGAAAAATATCTCGGGAGGCTGATTGAGGGGAGGCACCCCCTCTTATAGGGACACCTGTACTCCTATTGGCTGTAGGTGTGTGCATAATTTTGTCTCAGGCTGCTGCTGCCTTAGGGCAGAGGGTAAACCATTAGGAGCAGAGCTCCCCTATGGGGCTCCGCTCCACTCATAGAACTGGAGTTACACTCCGGTAACTAATCGTTATTCAGGTGCTCTGTAACATCCACCATAAATGCAAGGTCCTGCATCCATTCTGCGGAATGAAATTCTAACACTGGTTTGCCCTTTTCTTCCATGAACTGTTCAATTTCTTCTCGTAAATCAAAGAAACGCCTCACCACAGCACCTCGGCTTAACCATCTTACCTCAGTGTGGTATGGCAGGCCATAGATGTGGTCTTTCTCTCTGAGAAGGCTGTCAAACTGACAGTGATTCAGGCTTCTGGATCGGATGAAATTAACAGTTTGGATGACCACCTTCATGACGTTATCCATCTTTAATGACTTGCAACACAAAGCCTCCTGGTGCAAAATACAGTGAAAAGTCCAAAAATCACGTCCTCCATTTGCAGATTGCACTTTCTCTCTGAACTTTGTCACAACGCCTGCTTTTTTCCCGATCATTGAGGGCGCACCATCTGTAGCCAGGCTGACAGCGCGGGACCAGTCCACTCCGACCCTGTCCAGCGCGCCGACGAGTGCGGTAAAAATATCAGCTGCTGTCGTTGTATCTGTCATCGGCACCAACTCCACGAACTCCTTGGTGACGGTCAATGTGTCATCAACTCCGCGGATGAAAATGGCCAATTGTGCAACATCTGTAATGTCCGTGCTTTCATCAATTGCAACCGAAAACGCAATAAATGACTTTACTTTTTGCTTCAACTGGCTGTCCAAATCCACTGAAAGATCGGAAATCCTGTCTGCAACTGTGTTTCTTGTCAGGCTGATATTTGCAAAAGCCTGCCGCTTTTCAGGGCACACAATCTCCGCTGCTTTCATCATGCATGTTTTTACAAATTCACCCTCACTAAATGGTTTTGAAGCCACTGCGATTTCATTAGCAATGAGGTAGCTAGCTTTCACTGCAGCGTCACTGATGTCTCGGCTGTGAGTAAACACAGACTGCTGTTTCTTCAGACCCGCCAACAGTTCATTCACCTTCTCTCATCTCCGCTGTCCTTGAAAGTTTTCATATTTGTCGGCATGAAGACTCACATAGTGGCGACGAAGGTTATATTCTTTCAGCACTGCAACATGCTCTGAACACACCAAACATACAGCTTTCCCATTCAATTCCGTGAATAAATAGGATGACCATTTTTCTTGGAACACTCTGCACTCTGCGTCCACTTTTCTCTTTTTTGACAGAGACATATTGGGGCAATGAGGGTGCCAAAGCACATAATGTTAAAAGTAGAAGCCGTAATAAATATTGCGGGCAAAACAAAGTAGCTCATTGGCTGCACGTGCTTGACCTACTTGCTCTGCCCCGGTATAAACAGTTTGCTTGCTTAACACAATTGCTATTGCGCCATCCAGTGGACGCAATTGGAACAGCAGTTTATTTCATTGAAAAATTGCAGCGCATTTTTATACTTTACAATTATTATTATTATTATTATTTTATTTTTTTAAATCATCTCGCGGGCCGGATTAAACCTGTTTGCGGGCCTGATCCGGCCCGCGGGCCGGACGTTTGACACCCCTGTTATAGACAGACGCGTGCTACATGGCAGACCAATCCAAACTCATCTAATCTCTCACGGGTTACCAACATATTCAAATAATGATTGACATATTTTCATTAACTTTATTTTGATGAATTTATTCATACCATTTCATCCTTCCACAAGATATAGTCCCGACACAAATGTGCATTTGTTTAAGCTGTTTTCTAGTGACATTTATTTGGATACATGGCATAGAAAATGTGCTCTCTCGTCAGGACACTATTGTTCAGAGTAGATAGCCTACAACACAGCAAACACAATCACTTCAAACTGGAGCTGGAAAGACTACAAACTAGCTGCACCTTTTTTTCAATTGACATTTCTTTGAATATATCCATAAAAATGATGCCAGCTGATTCATGATTTCGACTGGCTGAGAAACGCTGCCTGCCTGTTTCTCAGACAGCAAGGTTTATAAAAATCTCAGCTGTTAAATGTTTGTCTAAAATAAATGTGAGATAATGTCTAGATGCTTTTTATAGTGGAGATCAAGTTTAGAAATTGTCTGGCTGGGCTGATGAGACAGTGGATTGCGCATTCAGATGGAACAGAGTAAATAGGCATTTTAACGTCATAGATTTAGCCGGTGGTAACTTGTGGAATAGACACCGGCTGGAATGCGGTTTTAACCAATCAGCATTCAGGATTAGACCCACCCGTTGTATAATGCACAGTAGCTTACAATAACTACCTTTCTGAGCTTGCCCAAATTTGTGGATTTTTCTGAATTCTCAGATTGATAATTTAAAAGGTATATTAGTGTTAAAAAACATTTTCGCACTGATTTGAACAACTACAAAAATCCTAGGAATAAGCATTTTTGAGTGCAGTACTCCTTTTAACATGTTAAAGATGATTTATAACCCAGTGCAGCTTTGTGCTGCATCTAGTGAGGTGAAGTAGGAGGAATCCTGAATGTGATTGCTGACCAGATCTGGGATAACTATAGTTTTAACTCTGCTTTGTGGAAAGTAACTATTTTTTCCAGGCGAACAAATGGTTACTTTGGAGGTGACTACAACTATTTGAATACAGTTCCCAAAAAATTACTTGAATACAGATCTGAGAAAGCAACTCAGGAAGTGACTACTTTTCTGAAACTATTGGATTGGCTGCCTTCAACTAATGGCAGGGCTGTATCTGGAACTGCATGTTGAAGATATAAATAGAATGAATAGAGAACACACAATCTCCTATACTATTCCAATCTGTCTGACAGTCATATTTGATCAACACAATACATTTCTATCTGAACATTGTGTAAATGACCATTCTCCTGAATGTCCGTTGCCCCAGATGTACATAATCAATTCAAACCAATTAACCAATTATATTTTGTACGGATAAGTATAAATAAGTTGTTACGCTCAGCTACTGTATGACTCTTTCAACATGCCACTGAAAAGGTAAAAAGCTGCAATTAATTTTATGATACCTGAAAATACTGCAGAGTAATTAAAAGCCATTTGCAAACAGCAAGTTGGATGCTTAGGAAAAACAACTTAGAACCTTTGTCCATCTGAGGGTAAGTGTTCTTGTTTCAAACACACACTGTCGTCTTTAAAGGGATAGTCTACTCAGAATACAAACTAACATGATTTTCCACATACAGTGGGGAGAACAAGTATTTGATACACTGCCGATTTTGCAGGTTTTCCTACTTACAAAGCATGTAGAGGTCTGTAATTTTTATCATAGGTACACTTCAACTGTGAGAGACGGAATCTAAAACAAAAATCCAGAAAATCACATTGTATGATTTTTAAGTAATTCATTTGCATTTTATTGCATGACATAAGTATTTGATCACCTACCAACCAGTAAGAATTCCGGCTCTCACAGACCTGTTAGTTTTTCTTTAAGAAGCCCTCCTGTTCTCCACTCATTACCTGTATTAACTGCACCTGTTTGAACTCGTTACCTGTATAAAAGACACCTGTCCACACACTCAATCAAACAGACTCCAACCTCTCCACAATAGCCAAGATCAGAGAGCTGTGTAAGGACATCAGGGATAAAATTGTAGACCTGCACAAGGCTGGGATGGGCTACAGGACAATAGGCAAGCAGCTTGGTGAGATGGCAACAACTGTTGGCGCAATTATTAGAAAATGGAAGAAGTTCAAGATGACGGTCAATCACCCTCGGTCTGGGGCTCCATGCAAGATCTCACCTCGTGGGGCATCAATGATCATGAGGAAGGTGAGGGATCAGCCCAGAACTACACAGCAGGACCTGGTCAATGACCTGAAGAGAGCTGGGACCACAGTCTCAAAGAAAACCATTAGTAACACACTACGCCGTCATGGATTAAAATCCTGCAGCGCACGCAAGGTCCCCCTGCTCAAGCCAGCGCATGTCCAGGCCCGTCTGAAGTTTGCCAATGACCATCTGGATGATCCAGAGGAGGAATGGGAGAAGGTCATGTGGTCTGATGAGACAAAAATAGAGCTTTTTGGTCTAAACTCCACTCGCCGTGTTTGGAGGAAGAAGAAGGATGAGTACAACCCCAAGAACACCATCCCAACCATGAAGCATGGAGGTGGAAACATCATTCTTTGGGGATGCTTTTCTGCAAAGGGGACAGGACGACTGCACCGTATTGAGGGGAGGATGGATGGGGCCATGTATTGCGAGATCTTGGCCAACAACCTCCTTCCCTCAGTAAGAGCATTGAAGATGGGTCGTGGCTGGGTCTTCCAGCATGACAACGACCCGAAACACACAGCCAGGGCAACTAAGGAGTGGCTCCGTAAGAAGCATCTCAAGGTCCTGGAGTGGCCTAGCCAGTCTCCAGACCTGAACCCAATAGAAAATCTTTGGAGGGAGCTGAAAGTCCGTATTGCCCAGCGACAACCCCCGAAACCTGAAGGATCTGGAGAAGGTCTGTATGGAGGAGTGGGCCAAAATCCCTGCTGCAGTGTGTGCAAACCTGGTCAAGACCTACAGGAAACGTATGATCTCTGTAATTGCAAACAAAGGTTTCTGTACCAAATATTAAGTTCTGCTTTTTTATGTATCAAATACTTATGTCATGCAATAAAATGCAAATTAATTACTTAAAAATCATACAATGCGATTTTCTGGATTTTTGTTTTAGATTCCGTCTCTCACAGTTGAAGTGTACCTATGATAAAAATTACAGACCTCTACATGCTTTGTAAGTAGGAAAACCTGCAAAATCGGCAGTGTATCAAATACTTGTTCTCCCCACTGTACTTTGACTGTAGTTGATTCAAGAAGGCAGTTTTGAGATATTTAGTTTCCGTTCGACACTTAATAGACATATTTTGTTACTGTTAGCATTCTCAGTAACACTTAACATTCAACTGTTCTTGTAATAAAATAATGACTTTTGGAGCAATATTGTAGTAGCATGTTGTTACAATACTTTCATAATTGCATAGCAATGAGCTGAGAGTTAACTACTGTACACAAGAGGAATAGGTTCTGTTCCTTATTCCACTTATGTAATAACTCCATTATTATGCAATTATAAAGCAATTTCCAAAGTACTATGTAACACAAATGTTGCTTTTGTAATAATCACAGTTACTACACATGCATAAGAACTTGATGCCAAGTGTTTGTGTATTACCTTATCTCTCACTCATTATGAAAATGTATTTGTTAGTCATTTTGAAGCTGCAAAAGTGGTCTACTCTTAATTCCATTTCCCATGTATTTAAGTCTAGGCTATAGACGGTTGATTGTTTAGCAACAAAACCAACACGTGTGCAACTATGGGGCAAAACAGACTGGGTTGGCTTAGACTGTTGACAACATGTAAACTATATTTTGTCTCCAAATGTTTATTGAAAGCATAAATACTTTTGCACAATGAGCACTCTTTGTCTCTCAAATACATGCTTACCCTTCCCCCAAAAAAGGGCAGTTTTGAAACTGCAGTGAAAGTGCAGTAACTGCAGTCGACTGTGGTATTTTGGATGCAGTAATTGCAGAGTTCACTGCAAAATTACTGCAGTAAAAAATACTGTTCTTTTGGATGCAGTATTTGCAGCATACTGCAGTTATACTGCACTCTAACTGCAATATTTTTTCGTAAGGGTACAGTTGTTGGTTAGATAGCTAGCTAACTTTAGCCATATTAGCAAGACATGACATCAGTCAAACCACCTCAAAACAAGACGGTATCAATAACAAGATACGAGCTGAAAAATTAGCCGCCTACAATTCGTGGTCCTCTGTAGCTCAGCTGGTAGAGCACGGCGCTTGTAACGCCAAGGGAGTGGGTTCGATCCCCGGGACCACCCATACACAAAAAATTAAAATAATGTATGCACGCATGACTGTAAGTCGCTTTGGATAAAAGCGTCTGCTAAATGGCATATATTATATTATTATATTATAATTCCCCACATGGCAGCTTCTTGTCATTGTTGCTAGCCATCTGACAGTTAAGAATCGTAACCCACGTCTTCTGGCCACATCGATACGCGCGCATCATTTTCGTGACGTTGTCAGCCAAGCCGTCGATATGGGTATACTAAGATTCATATCTAAGAGCCCTCCAAACCATGTGCTTATGATCATATGCAGTATTTAGACTAATTCAACCAACTGTTGTAGTTTCTGGTTCTTCATCAAATATTTGGCAACCATCAAATACGTAATTTTTTTATCAAGTAAGTTGCATATATTCAAATACCTTCAAATATTATTTGGTTTTCTGAGAGTTATTCAAAATACTTTAAAATATAATTTTGTTTTTCTGAGATTTGTATTTGAATGTCAAAGAAAAATAGTTTTAGTTGAAACTCTATATAAACTATATTCGACTAAGTTGGCATTTTCAAATAAACTACAAAATGCAACTATTTTCTGCCCAGGTCTGTTGCTACGTTCTTACAGAGACCTAGAGTAAGATACCTTTGTGATCATGTTGGAGATGATAATACACCATTTCTTAATTGGCTTAATTGATTTCTGGTCCTTGCAGGTATGAGGATAAGGCAAAGAAACACCTGGAACGCTACGACCTCCAGACCAAGCTGGCCTCTGATCGAGGTGTGAGAGAGCCCGAGAGGCGGCTCTGTCTGGGCTCCCCGCTGAGTCGGCCCCAGGGCCAGAAACGCAAGGTCCTGCCTTCTAACCAGCCGGTCCTGGACCAGCTCTTCTTTTCCCAGCCCCAGAAGAAGAGGAGCCCTGTGCCAAAGCCCTCACAACCCCTACCGTTCAGTGTGGTTACCCTCAGGCAGCGGCTTCATCGCCTCTCGTTCCAGAGCAGCCCAAGACCTCAGGGCCTCCGGCTTGTAAACCGCTTGGCCTCTCAAAGCGCCTGGGTCGTTTTATGTGGTAGAAAGATCATGTTGTTAAATCCATTTCGGGTGGAGGAGGCCTTGCTGTTTAAGAGACTTCTGGAGAATAATATACTTCCAGCAGCGAGCCTGCAGAACCCTATACAGTTAACAGATGGGTAACATATCACTCAGATTTCTCACCTAACAGTGAAATGTGAACATTGACACAATCTTGTTCTCAGCTCATAAGTTCAGAGTGATTTCATAATGCATTCTATAATCTAGTCATTATGTAACACCTTATGTTACACTTAATTTTACAGCTTGCTATTTACCTGGTACCTGATATACAGTACTTATAAATGACTGGGTAGAATGGTAATTTTATAATTACACTGAACAAAAATATAAACGCAACATGCAACAATTTCTGCGATTTTACTGAGTTACAGTTCATATAAGGAAATCAGTCAATTGAAATAAATAAATTAGGTCCTAATCTATGGATTTCACTTGACTGGGCAGGGGCGCAGCCATGGGTTGGCCTTGGCGGGCATAGGCCCACCCACTTGGGAGCCAGTCCCACCCACTGGGGAGCCAGGCCCAGCCAATCAGAATGAGTTTTTCCCCACAAAAAGGCTTCGTTACAGACAAATACTCCTCAGCATCCCGCAGGTGAAGAGCCCGGATGTGGGCTGGCATAGTTACACGTGATCTGCGGTTGTGAGGTCGGTTGGATGTACTGCCAAATTCTCTAAAACGACGTTGGTAGAGAAATTAACCTTAAATTATCTGGCAACAGCTCTGGTGGACATTCCTGCAGTCAGCATGCCAGTTGCACACTCCCTCAACTTGAGACATCTGTGGCATTGTTGTGTGACAAAACTTGTGGCATTTTATTGTCCCCAGCACCTGTGTAATGATCATGCTGTTTAATCAGCTTCTTGATATGCCACACCTTTCAGGTGGATGGATTATCTTGGCAAAGGAGAAATCCTCACTAACAGGGACATTTGAGAGAAATAAGCTTTTTGTGCGTATGGAACATTTCTGGAATATTTTATTTCAGCTCATGAAACACGGGACCAACACTTTACATGTTGTGTTTATATTTTTGTTCAGTGTACATGATAATTACTTTTTGGATCACTGTGAGATTCATTGAAACAAGTACCACAATGTCCCATGTGGTACCAGGTACAGATTTGGTATCCTTTGTTAATACAATATGTGCTTGTCTTTTTTTAGTATCCTAGGGGGTGCTGAGTATACTCAGGCTCTCTGTACAATGGAGAAGGGAAGTCCTGAGCTGAGAGGAATGGCCATCTTCTCTGATCCCAGGCTTGTGGCCAACGGGTTTCAAATCACACTCACTCCAGGTAGGGTAGAATATTAATTGAAACGATTTTTCATTATCATTTGTAGGTAAGTTGACAAATAGCCATATTTAAGTAGAAAATGTCATCTTGAGTTGAAAAAGTCAAATGTAAAACATTCACAACAGTACAGGTGATCCAGCACTGAGCCCTGAGGAACACCTGTTGCTTCCAATAGCTGTGTGGCTAAAATCATTGGGGAAGCCAAGCCAGGAAAAAAATGACAACCTTATGTGTTGTGATAATTGCATTGTGTGTGCGTTAACCTGTTAGTTCATGTGCCTTGCGACCGTGATATATAGGCCTAAAGGCAGAGACAATAAGAAGACAGTGGCAGAAAAAATTCAACCACACCTTTGTTTCATCACAAAACCTGAGAGCGATCTCTGTCAGGTGAAGTCCACAAAGCATATTGCATGTAACAAACAGTTACATGACATACAGCATGGTCAAGCAAGTTAATGATTCTGACATTTTCAGACAATTAAACATCTAATGATTTAGAACCACAGAGTTACATTAATTCGCAACGAAAACAGGAGCTGCCTCCACTATTCCACCACCATTTCAACTTCAAGATTATCAAATCACCTATGCTTAGTCTAATACAGTGACAACTAAATATGTAAGCTAAATATGATGTGGCTGGCCATGGTTCTTATTTCTCTCTCTGTGTGTGTGTGTGTGCAAGTAGAAAAACATGTTGACTCACCCTACTAGTAGAGAAACGTTAATGCCATCCTCTCTTTCATGTTGACGAAAAGGTCTATGACTGTCATACAGTACACACTTTTATTTTTTGATGTCCAAGGCTACCTGGCTAAAATGCTTGCTCGCTAGCCTAACTTTCTTTCATGGGCAACGTTAGCTATCCTTCTTCAACATTAGCCTTTTACATCTATCTACATATTGAACTTCCATCCTCTCAGACCAGGGGCACAATGTATGAATTTACAGTGCATTCGGAAAGTATTCAGACCCCTTATAATATAATAATAATATGCCATTTAGCAGACGCTTTTATCCAAAGCGACTTAGTCATTGACTTTTTCCACATTTTGTTATGTTACGGTCTTATTCTAAAATGGATTAAATAAAACAACTTCTCATCAATCTACGCACAACACCCAATGACAAAGCTAAATCTGTTTTTTATAAATTTTTGCAAGTATTCAGACCCTTTGCTATGAGACTCAATTGAACTCCGGTGTATCCTGTTTCCATTGGTCATCCTTGATGTTTCTACAACTTGATTGGAGTCCACCTGTGGTAAATTCAATTGATTGGACATGATTTGGAAAGGCACACACACCTGTCTATATAAGGTCCCACAGTTGACAGTGCATGTCAGAGCAAAAACCAAGCCATGAGGTCAAAGGAATTGTCCGTAGAGCTCCAAGACAGGATTGTGTCGAGTCATAGATCTGCGGAAGGGTACCAAAAAACTTCTGCAGCATTGACGGTCCCCAAGAACACAGTGGCCTCCATTCTTAAATGGAAGAAGTTTGGATCCACCAAGACTCTTCCTATAGCTGGCCGCCCGGCCAAACTGCGCAATCGGGGGAGAAGGGCCTTGGTCAGGGAGGTGACCAAGAACCCGATGGTCACTCTGACAGAGCTCCACAGTTCCTCTCTGGAGATGGGAGAACCTTCCAGAAGGACAACCATCTCTGCAGCACTCCACCAATCAGGACTTTATGGTAGAGTGGCTAGACGGAAGCCACTCCTCAGTAAAAGGCACATGACAGCCCGCTTGGAGTTTGCCAAAAGGCACCTAAAGGACTCTCAGACCATGAATAACAAGATTCTCTGGTCTGATAAAACCAAGATTGAACTCTTTGGCCTAAATGCCAAGCTTCACGTCTGGAGGAAACCTGGCACCATCCCTACGGTGAAGCATGGCGGTGGCAGCATCATGCTGTGGGGATGTTTTTCAGCGGCAGGGACTGGGAGACTAGTCAGGATGAATGGAGCAGAGAGATCCTTGATGAAAACATGCTCCAGAGCGCTCAGGACCTCAGACTAGGGTGAAGGTTCACCTTCCAACAGGACAATCACCCTAAGCACACAGCCAAGACAACGCAGGAGTGGCTTCGGGACAAGTCTCTGAATGTCCTTGAGTGGCCCAAATGTGGAAAAAGTTCAGGTCTGAATACTTTCCGAATGCTCTGTATGTTTGAATCAGAATCGCTGTTATAATCATTGGCCTGTATGGAGAATTAAGTAAAACCAACTGTTCAAATCCCTATCTCCATCCATGGCTAATTTAGGAAAGGGACAATTTTAGCTAGCTATCTAGCCACAAGAGGACAACAGCACGACGAGATGCAACAATTCAAGTTGTTTCTGTCTGACGTATTGCTGTCGATGCGATGTGATTGGAGGGAAGCCAAATCCAAACTGGCTTCTATTGACTTTTGTATTTTAATTTTGAATTTTTGGTGTGCTAGGACCATTCACAGTTGAGCTCAATGCTGATTGGCTATTATTTTATTTAAAAAATGTATTAAGGGAGGCAAAATACTTGCTTGCTTCCGTTGCATTCATTGCTACGGGCGACAACAATGTCATACTCTTTTTGACCAGGCAGCATCAGATCGATGGCCTACACATACAGAGACAGAGGGGCGCTGTTTCACTCGCTCGGATGCTTTCTCCGGTGAGATACATTCAGCCTCATGCGAATTGAAGGAAAATTATGAAACACAGAGACAAAAGATAAATGATTTTGTATGTTTTTGTGTTTTTTTTATTGATAAATGTTTTGGGGAAGCCTGGCTTCCTTTGGCATACATGAATACACGCCACTGGTTGCTTTGCTGTTTGGTGAGTAGATGGACCCACTCCATGTAACCTGGCTTAAGCTATCGACTAGATGGGATGCAAACCATTCGTTTTGCGAAACAAACTTGATTCTGAACCTTTCAGGGTTTCCAGACAATATAGCTAAAATTATTATCTTGAAGCAACATTACTTTTCTTTGCACAAGCTGACATTGTTAGCAGAGCCTCTTACAGTATTAACACTTATGATGACATCATTACGAGGATAAATTGCTTGAGAGGAAAGAACAATGTCAGCATTTCCCTGGTCCTGGTGGCGCACAGTGAAAGTTCATTCACTTGTTAAAAAGGATTTAAGCGTTGTTGTTTTTTTTTCCCATTCCATTATTTCACTGTTTTCTTGTTCTACTGGTCTGGTCCTTTCATCTTACTTACCGTCTCTCGCTGGTACATAAGACAGTACAGTTTACAGCCCACCCTTTCCTTCTGAGAGAAAATAGGCCTTGATAATTTCTTGATTCAAGCTGTTTAAAAGCTTATTGACCCAATTCAATTTAACAAAGGTTGTGCTCATTGGACGTCATTAATGTCATAGTTCACAAATAATTTAGAAATGTCAAACATAAGAGCTGGAGTAACAGGATTATGGTCAATTATTTCTGACAGAGTTGCTGTGTCAGTATTGGATTAGCAGTGGATGCTTCCATCATATGCAACATGTTAGTTATTCAAGGTTCCGCATGACTTCGTATCAAGTGGGATTTGAGTGTTCAACAATTTGAAGTACCTTGTCTAGGTGCTGATTTGTGACCGAATTCCCTCTGGGGTGAAAGCGCTAAATATATCCATCCCATTATTATTAGTCATAGTTGTAATCCCTTGCCATCAATGCTTTAATTATGGAGGGGAGAAATTCCAGTCAAGATTACTATTTCTATTAGCTTTTCGATGTTTCTCTTTTCAGTCAATATTTGTGTACCGGTATTTCTTTATGTTTTTCATATGACATCCACACAGTTTATCTGCACTATAATGTGTATATGTTCACTATGAATTGTGTTTGGTTTTACATGGTACTGAACAGTCTCTCAAATACCTTCAATGGCTGTGAAAGCTAAAGCAAACTACTCCTATCCCCCTTGTCTTCAGTTGGTATGACCTTATTTCTTCTTGCGGTTGAAAAATGCAAAAGGCCTTCTCCAAATCCTGGTTGTTTTGGTGCCGGTATGGGTCACCTTAGTTGACTTTGGCATTTTGCCAGGCACTGTGCCCTCACAGTGGATTTGTACCACAGTGTGCAGGTGAAGAGAATGGCTGCCCTTTAGAGAGGGAAGAATGTCCAAGTATTCTTGTTGCCAATCCCAGCAGGTGGGTGTGAATGTGAGACTAGGTAGCCAGGGTGGAGCGATTGCCAACGGTAGTAGCTACACTACCGTTCAAAAGTTTGTGGTCACTTGGAAATGTCCTTGTTTTTGAAAGAAAAGCAATGTTTTTGTCCATTAAAAGAACATAAAATTGATCAGAAATACAGTGTAGACATTGTTAATGTTGTAAATGGCTATTGTAGCTGGAAACGGCTGATTTTTTAAAATGGAATATCTACATAGGTGTACAGCAACCATCAGTCCTGTGTTCCAATGGCACGTTGTGTTTGCTAATCCAAGTTTATCATTTTAAAAGGCTAATTGATCATTAGAAAACCCTTTTGCAATTATGTTAGCACAGCTGAAAATTGTTGTGCTGATTAAAGAAGCAATAAAACTGGCCTTCTTGAGACTAGTTGAGTATCTGGAGCATCAGCAATTGTGGGTTTGATTACAGGTTCAAAATGGCCAGAAACAAAGAACTTCTGAAACTTGTCAGTCTATTCTTGTTCTGAGAAATGAAGGTTATTCCATGCGAAAAATTGCCAAGAAACTGAAGATCTCGTACAACGCTGTGTACTACTCCCTTCACAGAACAGCGCAAACTGGCTCTAACCAGAATAGAAAGAGGAGTGGGAGGTCCCGGTGCACAACTGAGCAAGAGGACAAATACATTCGTGTTTAGTTTGAGAAACAGGCGCCTCACAGGTCCTCAACTGGCAGCTTAATTAAATAGTACCCGCAAAACACCAGTCTCAATGTCAACAGTGAAGAGGCGACTCCGGGATGCTGACCTTCTAGGCAGAGTTGCAAAGAAAAAGCCATATCTTTTCTTTTTATTGGCCAGTCTGAGATATGGCTTTTTCTTTGCTACCATCATATGCAACATGTTAGTTATTCAAGGTTCCGCATGACTTCGTATCAAGTGGGATTTGAGTGTTCAACAATTTGAAGTACCTTGTCTAGGTGCTGATTTGGGACCGAATTCCCAATAGAGAAACATTCGTTTGGGTGTCAAATGTGGTTCCGATGGGTTCAACACAAATATTTGTTCACAGGCAAGGGTTTTGGTATATTTGCCTCATAATAGTAGCACACAGGGTTGGGGAGTAACTGATTACATGGGTTAAAAGTTACATGGAATCTGATGGAAAGATAGCGCAGACAGAGAAGTGCGACATCTAAAGAGTTCCAACTTATTTATCGACTTTTTTCGTGTTCGTCTTAACTTTATTTGGACAGAAAGTTCATACTAGGATCAGATATGACCGCCAAGCACTTCTTTACATCAGATCGACAGTTACTAACCTCGATTTCGACTTCAAATCCGACTTCAACTCTGACTCAGCTGTTCCCTTGTTCATACCGGACCCCATTCCTTTGTTTCATGGGCCACCAAAACACAGCAGGCGTGGACGCGGTAGACGAGCCGGCATCCTGGTGAGATTGAGACGAAGAGAAAACCGACCGGCACTCCCCTCCGTTCTATTGGCAAATGTCCAGTCACTCGAGAATTAGATGGATGAGCATGGAAATTGTAGGCCAAGGGTTATTAACCATTACTTTAACAATTTTAAATGTCTACTTCAATGGGGTAGGGACGTCCAAAGGATCCTGGATAGCGCTGACCATTTTGCTAGTACAGACTGGCATATATTCCAGGATTCATCTGATACCATTGAGGAGTTTTACCACATCAGTCACAGGCTTTATCAATAAGTGCATAGACGACATTGTCCCCACAGTGACTATATGAACGTATCCAAACCAAAAACTATGGATTACAGGCAATATTTGCACTGGCCTAAAGGCTAGAGCTACTGCTTACAAGGAACGGGACACGGACATGGACGCCCACAAGAAAGCCCACTACGACCTCTGACGAGACATCAAACATGCAAAAGGACAATATAGGAGGAAGGTGAAATCCTATTTAACTGGCTCAGACACTTGTCGTATGTGGCAGGGTTTGCAGTCAATAACGGATTACAAAGGGAAACCCAGCCGTGAAATGCAGAACTCCCAAACGAGGTAAATGCCTTTTTATGCTCGCTTCGAGGAATACAACATTGAGTCTTGCGTGAAAGCCCCTGTTGTTCCAGATGATTGTGTGAGCTCGTTCTCCGTGGCCGATGTGAGAAACGTTTAAACATGTTAACACTCACAAGAAATACCAGGGCGCATTCTCAAAACATGCGCAGAACAGCTTGCAAGTGTCTTCATGGACATTTTCAGTCTCTCCTTGTTCCAGTCTGTAATCCCAACATGTTTCAAAGATGACCATTGTCTCTGTTCCCAAGAACTCCAAGGTAACCTGCCTAAATTACTATCGCTCTGTAACACTCATATCTGTAATTATGAGGTGTTTTGAAAGGCTGGTCATGACACACATCAACACCATCACCCCAGACACCCTTGGACCCACTCCAATTTGCATACTGCCCCAACAGATCCACAGATTACGCAATCTCAATTGTACTTCGAACTCCCCTCCAACCTGGATAAGAGGGGAAATAACTATGTGAGAATGCATGTTCTTAGTAACCTGATGGAGAGAATTGTGTTTGACCAAATACAATGCTATTTTTCAGAGAACAAGTTAACTACTGACTTTCAGCATGCATTTAGAGAAGGCACTCAATTTGTACAGCATTTCAGTGCAGCCTTTGATGTTATTGATCATAAATTGTTATTGTAAGAAAAACACTTGCTAGGGCTTTACATCACCTGTCATTACATGGTTGGAGAGTTATTTAGAACCCAGAGAGTGTTCTTTAATGGAAGCTTCTCTAACATCAGATATATACAGTGCGGTGTCCCTCACGGCAGCTGCCTTGAGCAGTTACTTTTCTCTATTTGTACTAATTATTTGCCACTGGTCTTACACAAAGTTAGAATGACTATGAATGCAGACGATTCCACACTCTACATGTCAGCACCCAAAGCCAGTGAGCTCACTGAAATTCTAAATAAGGAGTTACAGTATCAGAATGGGTGATTTCAATAATAAACTGGTCTTAAATATGGCTAAAACTAAAAACATTGTATTTGGTTCAAAACATTCTCTAAGACCTAAACCTCAACTGGAGTTGTTAAAGGGTGTAAGGGGCATGTCTGTATACATTTCTGTGTGTTTTTTTGACACATCAACTGTACTAGTTGTTCAGGTTCTTGTATTATCTTGATTACTGTCCGGTAATACAGTGATCCCTCGCCACTTCGCGGTTCACTTATCGCGGATTCGCTATTTCGCGGATTTTCATAATGCATTTTTTTTTTTTTGGTGCATTGTGCTCTGCATTCTGATTCGCTAAAAACTCACTCCCGCTTCTTGTATCAAAACATGCTACGAATTGTGCTATCATTTTGTCGTCTCGTGCAGTTATGTGTACGTACATAAAACAGCTTGGCAAATTTACATTAAGTTGGCCAAATTATCTTGTAATTTCGAACATCTCCTAAACCCATAATGTCGACGAAACGGCCTGGACCGACAAAAGCACCTGCGGATGGGCCCAAACGGCGGAAGATGCTACCTATCTCAGATAAAGTTAAACTTCTGGACATGCTAAGGGAAGGTAAATGACAAAGCCACAAAGCGACGATGAAAGAGAAGAGGGAGAAGAGGACACGAGAGATGAGGAGGAAGGACTAACGCTTGGTCGCTTAGCAACCATGGTGCGAATGGCCACTGAACTTAAGCGAGTAGCTGAGGAATGGGACCCTTTGATGAGCCGTTCATTACAGTTCTCCAACGTAATCGATGGTGGCATGTCGGTGTACAAGGATCTTTTTGCAAAGAAGAAAAAAGAGCGACAACAGCTGCCTATCACTATGTTCTTCTCCCGAACAAACACACCTGCACCGCGGGCTTCAGAAGAAGAGAACACTGCAGAGCGCAGTCAGGATGCAGCGGCCCAGTCTGAAGAGCAGTGAAACGGCCTACACGTGAGTCACTGTATTTGTATACATGTAATAGTTGCTAATTGTAAAAAAAAAAAGTTTTCTATTTCGCGGATTTCACTTATCGCGGGTCATTTTCGGAACGTAACCCCCGCGATAAACGAGGGATTACTGTATGGTCAAGTGCAGCAAAGAAAGACCTAGCAAAGCTGCAGCTAGCTCAAAACAGAGCAGCACGCCTTGCCCTTAACTGCACATACAGAACTAACATCAACAACATGCATGCCAGTCTTTCTTGGTTGAGGGTTGATGAGAGACTAACTGCTTCTCCTAGTTTAAGATAAATAATACTGTGATGAAAATTCCAGATTGTTTGCGTAATCAAATAACATTCAGCTCAGACACCCATAAATACCCCACAAGACATGCCATCAGGGGACTTCACGGTCCTCAAATCCAAAACGAATTCACAGCAGCGCACGGTATTATACTGAGCCATGATTGCATGGAACTCCCTTCCATCTCCAATTACTCAAGCAAATGGCAAAATGACCTTACATTCTTTTATTAAACAACATCTCCTGGAACGGCGGGGATTGTGAGGTACACAAACACACGCACACACTAACATACACCATTTTTTTGTTGTATTGTTTGTATAATTTTTTTCACCAGGAAGAGTAGGTGCTGCTTCTCTGCAAAAGCTAACAGGGATCCAAATAAACAAAGGCTGTTCATAGACTACAGCTCAGTGTTCAACACCATAGTCCCATCCAAGCTCATCACCAAGCTGGGGACCCTGGGACTGAACACCTCCCTCTGCAACTGGAACCTGGACTTCCTGACGAGCGGGCCCGAGGTGGTGAGGGTAGGCAACAACACCTCCAACACGCTGACCCTCAACACTGGGGCCCCTCGGGTGTGGGCCCAGTCCCCTCCTGTACTCCCAGTTCACTCACAACTGCGTGGCCTTGAATGACTCCAACACCATCATCAAGTTTGCTGATGACATGACGGTGGTAGGCCTGATCAATGACGGCGATGAGACGGCCTACAGTGAGGTGGTGAGAGAATTGGCAGTGTGGTGCCAGGACAACAACCTCTTCCTCAACGTCAGTAAGACCAGGGAGCTGATCGTGGACAAGAGGGGAGAGCACGCCCCCTTCCACATCGACGGGGCTGTAGTTGAGCGGATCGAGAGCTTCAAGTTCCTTGGCGTCCACATCACTAAGGACATGGTCCACACACACCCACATAGTCGTGAAGAGGCCACGACAGCGCCTCTTCCCCCTCAGGAGGCTGAAAATATTTAGCATGGGCCCTTGAATCCTCAAAACGTTCTACAGCTGCACCATCGAGAGCATCTTGACTGGCTGCACCACTGCTTGGTATGGCAAATGCACCGCCCTCGACCACAAAGCATTACAGAGGGTGGTGCGGACAGCCCAGTAATCACTGGGACCGAGCTCTCTGCCCTCCAGGACTTTCATATCAGGTGGTGTCAGAGGAAGGCCCGAGAAATTGCCAAAGACTCCATTCTGCTACTATCCAGCAAACGGTACCTGAGCATTGGCTCTCGGACCAACAGGCTCCTAGACAGCTTCTACCCCAAGCCATTAGATTGCTAAATTGTTAATTAAATGGTTGCCCAGACTATATGCACTGTGACCCAATCTTGCACTGACTCTACGCACACGCACAAGACTATATAAACATACTGTATACACACACTATCACACAAAACCCATACACATGCACAGACACTCTCCTGACATTTTGTTAGGTACACCAACGTACACGAAAAAGGATCGCTCCTACAGGCAGTGAGTCACTTGGCCGTGGCTTGTTACAGTGCATTCGGAAAGTATTCAGACCCCTTGACTTTTTCCACATTTTGTTATGTAACAGCCTTATTCTAAAATATATAAAACAAAAACAAAATCTCATCAATCTACACACAATACCCCATAATGACAAAGCAAAAACAGATTTTTTTGAAATGTCAGCAAATTTATTAATAATAAAAAACGGAACTATCACATTTACAGTGCCTTGCAAAAGTATTCATCCTCCTTGGTGTTTTTTCCTATTTTGTTGCATTACAACCTGTAATTTTAAATGGATTTTTATTTGGATTTCATGTAATGGATATACACAAAATAGTCAAAATTGGTGAAGTGAAATGAAAAAAATAATTGGTTTCAAAAGTCACATAATTGGTTAAATAAAGTCCACCTGTGTGCAATCTAAGTGTCACATGATCTGTCACATGATCTCAGTATATATACACCTGTTCTGAAAGGCCCCAGTGTCTGCAACACCACTAAGCAAGGGGCACCACCAAGCAAGCAGCACTATGAAGACCAAGGAGCTCTCCAAACAGGTCAGGGACAAAGTTGTGGAGAAGTACAGATCAGGGTTGGGTTATAAAAAAATATCCAACACTTTGAACATCCCACGGAGCACCATTAAATCCATTATAAAAAAATTGAAAGAGTATGGCACCACAACAAACCTGCCAAGAGAGGGCCGCCCACCAAAACTCACAGACCAGGCAAGGAGGGCATTGATCAGAGAGGCAACAAAGAGACCAAAGATAACCCTGAAGGAGCTGCAAAGCTCCACTGTGGAGATTGGAGTATCTGTCCATAGGACCACTTTAAGCCGTACACTCCACAGAGCTGGGCTTTACAGAAGAGTGGCCAGAAAAAAGCCATTGCTTAAAGAAAAAAATAAGCAAACAAGTAGTCAAAGCCCAGACCTCAATCCAATTGAGAATCTGTGGTATGACTTAAAGATTGCTGTACACCAGCAGAACCCATCCAACTTGAAGGAGCTGGAGCAGTTTTGCCTTGAAGAATGGGCAAAAATCCCAGTGGCTAGATGTGCCAAGCTTATAGAGACATACCCCAAGAGACTTGCAGCTGTAATTGCTGCAAAAGGTGGCTCTACAAAGTATTGAATAGATATGCATGCTCAGGTTTTCTGGTTTTTTTTGTCTTATTTCTTGTTTGTTTCACAATAAAAAATATTTAGCATCTTCAAAGTGGTAGGCATGTTGTCTAAATCAAATGATACAAACCCCCCCCCAAAATCAATTTTAATTCCAGGTTGTAAGGCAACAAAATAGGAAAAATGCCAAGGGGTGTGAATACTTTCGCAAGCCACTGTACATAAGTATTCAGACCCTTTACTCAGTACTTTGTTGAAGGAACCTTTGGCAGCGATTACAGCCTCAAGTCTTCTTGGATTTGACGCTACAAGCTTGGCACACTTGTATTTGGGGAGTTTCTCCCATTCTTCTCTGAAGATCCTCTCAAGCTTTGTCAGGTTGGATGGGGAGCGTCGCTGCACAGCTATTTTCAGGTCTCTCCAGAGATGTTCCAGTCCAGGCTCTGGCTGGACCACTCATGGACATTCAGAGACTTGTCCCAAAGCCACTCCTGCATTGTCTTGGCTGTGTGCTTAGGGTCGTTGTCCTGTTGGAAGGTGAATCTTCACCCCAGTCTAAGGTCCTGAGCGCTCTGGAACAGGTTTTCATCAAGGATCTCTCTGTACTTTGCTCCGTTCATCTTTCCCTCGATCCTGACTAGTCTCCCAGTCCCTGCCGCTGAAAAACATCCCCACAGCATGATGCTGCCACCACCATGCTTCACCGTAGGGATGGTGCCAGGTTTCCTCCAGACGTGAAGCTTGGCATTCAGGCCAAAGAGTTCAATCTTCGTTTCATCAGACCAGAGAATCTTGTTTCTCATGGTCTTGAGAGTCCTTCAGGTGTCTTTTAGCAAACTCCAAGTGGGCTGTCATGTGCCTTTTAACTGAGGAGTGGTTTCCGTCTGGCCACTCTACCATAAAGTCCTGATTTGATGTGTGCTGCAGAGATGGTTGTCCGTATGGAAGGTTCTCCCATCTCTGGAGCTCTGTCAGTGTGACCATCGGGTTCTTGGTCACCTCCCTGACCAAGGCCCTTCTCCCCCGATTGCACAGTTTGGCCAGGCGGCCAGCTCTAGAGTCTTGGTGGTTACAAACTTCTTCCGTTTAAGAATGTTAGAGGCCAGTGTGTTCTTGGGGACCTTCAATGCTGCAGACATTTTTGTGCCTCGACACAATCCTGTCTTGGAGCTCTACGGACAATTCCTTCGACCGATGATCAATGGAAACAGTATTCACCTGAGCTCAATTTCAAGTATCATAGCAAAGGGTTTGAATACTTATGTAAATAAGGTATTTCCGTTTTTAATTTTAATACATTTGCAAACGTTTCATTTGCAAAACCCTGTTTTTGCTTTGTCGTTATGGGGTATTGTGTGTAGATTGAGGAAATAAATACATTTAATCAATTTTAGAATAAGGCTAACGTAACAATGTGGAAAAAGGGAAGGAGTCTGAATACTTTCTGAAAGCACTGTGCATGGCTATTAAGGCCACATCGTTCTTCAAGATGTTCAAGTATTCATAGATGACCAGCAGGGTCAAATAATAATCACAGTGGTTGAAGGTGCAACAGGTCAGTAACTTAGCAGTAAATGTCAGTTGGCTCTTCATAGTCGAGCATTCAGAGGTCGAGACAGCAGGTCCGGGACAAGGTAGCACGTCCGGTGAACAGGTCAGGGTTCCATAGCCGCAGGCAGAACAGCAGAAACTGGATCAGCAGCACGACCTGGTGGACTGGGGACGAGGACAGAAATGAGTTGTCAGGCCAGGTAGTCCTGCGGCATGTTCCTAGGGCTCAGGTCCTACGGGAGAGGAAGAGATGGCGAAATGGGATAATTAGAGGGAGCATACCTAAGACCAGCACACACGACAACAGATAGGACAGACTCACCCTAATTTTCCTGGCACATAGACTATTGCAGCATAGATATTGGATACTGGGTCGGGGAAACTGTGGCCCCGTCCACGAGCCCGAGGGGGCGCAATACCGGACAGGAAGATCAGGTCAGTGACTCAACCCACTCAAGTCAAGTATAGTGAAAAAAGCCTGGTACAACGTGATGCACCTCTCCTTGGGAGGGCATGGGAGAGTGCGAGCAAGCCAGTGACTCAGCCCCCTAAATAGGGTCAGAGGCAGAGAATCGCAGTGGAGAGAGGGGAGCCGGCCAGGCAGAGACAGTCAGGGTGGTTCGTCACTCCAGTGCCTTGACGTTTACCTTTCGCACCCCTGAGCCAGACTACACTCAATCATAGGATCTACTGAAGAGAGGAGTCTTCAGTAAAGACTTAAAGGTTGAGACCCAGTCTGCGTCTCACATGGATCGACAGACCATTCCATAAAAATGGAGCTCTATAGGAGAAAGCCCTGCCTGCAGCTGCCTCCAAATTCTAGGAACAATAAGGAGGCCTGCGTCTTGTGAGCGTATGTGTAGGTATGTACGGCAGGACCAAATCGGAGAGCTACAGTGGGGAGAACAAGTATTTAATACACTGCCGATTTGCAGGTTTTCCTACTTACAAAGCATGTAGAGGTCTGTAATTTTTATCATAGGTACACTTCAACTGTGAGAGAGGGAATCTAAAACAAAAATCCAGAAAATCACATTGTATTATTTTTAAGTAATTCATTTGCATTTTATTGCATGACATAAGTATTTGATCACCTACCAACCAGTAAGAATTCCGGCTCTCACAGACCTGTTAATTTTTCTTTAAGTAGCCCTCCTGTTCTCCACTCATTACCTGTATTAACTGCACCTGTTTGAACTCGTTACCTGTATAAAAGACACCTGTCCACACACTCAATCAAACAGACTCCAACCTCTCCACAATGGCCAAGACCAGAGAGCTGTGTAAGGACATCAGGGATAAAATTGTAGACCTGCACAAGGCTGGGATGGGCTACAGGACAATAGGCAAGCAGCTTGGTGAGAAGGCAACAACTGTTGGCGCAATTATTAGAAAATGGAAGAAGTTCAAGATGACGGTCAATCACCCTCGGTCTGGGGCTCCATGCAAGATCTCACCTCGTGGGGCATCAATGATCATGAGGAAGGTGAGGGATCAGCTCAGAACTACACGGCAGGACCTGGTCAATGACCTGAAGAGAGCTGGGACCACAGTCTCAAAGAAAACCATTAGTAACACACTACGCCGTCATGGATTAAAATTCTGCAGCACACGCAAGGTCCCCCTGCTCAAGCCAGCGCATGTCCAGGCCCGTCTGAAGTTTGCCAATGACCATCTGGAGGAATGGGAGAAGGTCATGTGGTGTGATGAGACAAAAATAGAGCTTTTTGGTCTAAACTCCACTCGCCGTGTTTGGAGGAAGAAGAAGGATGAGTACAATCCCAAGAACACCATCCCAACCATGAAGCATGGAGGTGGAAACATCATTCTTTGGGGATGCTTTTCTGCAAAGGGGACAGGACGACTGCACCGTATTGAGGGGAGGATGGATGGGGCCATGTATCGCAAGATCTTGGCCAACAACCTCCTTCCCTCAGTAAGAGCATTGAAGATGGGTCGTGGCTGGGTCTTCCAGCATGACAATGACCCGAAACACACAGCCAGGGCAACTAAGGAGTGGCTCCGTAAGAAGCATCTCAAGGTCCTGGAGTGGCCTAGCCAGTCTCCAGACCTGAACCCAATAGAAAATCTTTGGAGGGAGCTGAAAGTCCGTATTGCCCAGCGACATCCCCGAAACCTGAAGGATCTGGAGAAGGTCTGTATGGAGGAGTGGGCCAAAATCCCTGCTGCAATGTGTGCAAACCTGGTCAAGACCTACAGGAAACATATGATCTCTGTAATTGCAAACAAAGGTTTCTGTACCAAATATTAAGTTCTGCTTTTCTGATGTATCAAATATTTATGTCATGCAATAAAATGCTAATTAATTACTTAAAAATCATACAATGTGATTTTCTGGATTTTTGTTTTGGATTCCGTCTCTCACAATTGAAGTGTACCTATGATAAAAATTACAGACCTCTACATGCTTTGTAAGTAGGAAAACCTGCAAAATCGGCAGTGTATCAAATACTTGTTCTCCCCACTGTAGATAGGAGCAAGTCCATGTAATGCTTTGTAGGTTAGCAGTAAAACCTTGAAATCAGCCCTAGCCTTAACAGGAAGCCAGAGGCTAGCAGTGGAGTAATATGATACAATTTTGGGGTTCTAGTCAAGATTCTAGCATCCGTATTTAGCACTAGCTGAAGTTTATTTAGTGCCTTATCCGGGTAGCGGAGAGTAGACCATTGCAGTGTTATAATATTTAAGTGACAAAAGCATGGATTAGCTTTTCTGCATCATTTGGACAAAAAGTTTCAGATTTGTGCGATGTTACGAAGCTGGAAAAAAGTTGGTCTCTAAATAATTTTGATATGTTCATCATTGAGAGATCAGGGTCCAGAGTAACGCCGAGGTCCTTCATTTTTATTTGAGATGACTGTACAACCATCGAGATTCATTGTCAGATCCGACAGCAGATCGCTTTGTTTCTTGGGACCTAGAAGTAGCATCTCAGTTTTGTCCGAGTTTAAACGTTTTAAAAAATTGCCGCCATCCACTTCCTTATGTCTGAAACACAGACTTCCGGGGTATGGAATATTTGGGCTTCACCGTGTTTCATCGAAATGTACAGCTGTGTGTCATCTGCATAACAGTAAAAGTTGACAGTGTTTCTGAATGACATCACCAAGAGGTAGCATAATGCATTCAGTTGTACAACTAACTAAGTATCCCCCTTTCCCTTCCCTTTCCCTATATAGTGAAAACAATAGTGGTCTTATAACGGAACCTTGAGGAACACTGAAACGTACCATTGATTTGTCAAAGGACAAACCATCCACAGAGATGAACTGATATGTTTCCGACAGATAAGATCTAAACCAGACAAGAACTTGTCCGCGTAGACCAATTAGAGTTTCCAATCTCTCCAAAATACAGTGGGGAAAAAAAGTATTTAGTCAGCCACCAATTGTGCAAGTTCTCCCACTTAAAAAGATGAGAGAAGCCTGTAATTTTCATCATAGGTACACGTCAACTATGACAGACAAAATGAGAATTCTTTTCCAGAAAATCACATTGTAGGATTTTTTATGAATTTATTTGCAAATTATGGTGGAAAATAAGTATTTGGTCAATAACAAAAGTTTCTCAATACTTTGTTATATACCCTTTGTTGGCAATGACACAGGTCAAACGTTTTCTGTAAGTCTTCACAAGGTTTTCACACACTGTTGCTGGTATTTTGGCCCATTCCTCCATGCAGATCTCCTCTAGAGCAGTGATGTTTTGGGGCTGTCGCTGGGCAACAGACTTTCAACTCCCTCCAAAGATTTTCTATGGGGTTGAGATCTGGAGACTGGCTAGGCCACTCCAGGACCTTGAAATGCTTCTTACGAAGCCACTCCTTCGTTGCCCGGGCGGTGTGTTTGGGATCATTGTCATGCTAAAAGACCCAGCCACGTTTCATCTTCAATGCCCTTGCTGATGGAAGGAGGTTTTCACTCAAAATCTCACGGTACATGGCCCCATTCATTCTTTCCTTTACACGGATCAGTCGTCCTGGTCCCTTTGCAGAAAAACAGCCCCAAAGCATGATGTTTCCACCCCCATGCTTCACAGTAGGTATGGTGTTCTTTGGATGCAACTCAGCATTCTTTGTCCTCCAAACACGACGAGTTGAGTTTTTACCAAAAAGTTCTATTTTGGTTTCATCTGACCATATGACATTCTCCCAATCCTCTTCTGGATCATCCAAATGCACTCTAGCAAACTTCAGACGGGCCTGGACATGTACTGGCTTAAGCAGGGGGACATGTCTGGCACTGCAGGATTTGAGTCCCTGGCGGCGTAGTGTGTTACTGATGGTAGGCTTTGTTACTTTGGTCCCAGCTCTCTGCAGGTCATTCACTACTAGGTCCCCCCGTGTGGTTCTGGGATTTTTGCTCACCGTTCTTGTGATCATTTTGACCCCACGGGGTGAGATCTTGCGCGGAGCCCCAGATCGAGGGAGATTATCAGTGGTCTTGTATGTCTTCCATTTCCTAATAATTGCTTCCACAGTTGATTTCTTCAAACCAAGCTGCTTACCTATTGCAGATTCAGTCTTCCCAGCCTGGTGCAGGTCTACAATTTTGTTTCTGGTGTCCTTTGACAGCTCTTTGGTCTTGGCCATAGTGGAGTTTGGAGTGTGACTGTTTGAGGTTGTGGACAGGTGTCTTTTATACTGATAACAAGTTCAAACAGGTGCCATTAATACAGGTAACGAGTGGAGGACAGAGGAGCCTCTTAAAGAAGAAGTTACAGGTCTGTGAGAGCCAGAAATCTTGCTTGTTTGTAGGTGACCAAATACTTATTTTCCACCATAATTTGCAAATAAATTCATTAAAAATCCTACAATGTGATTTTCTGGTGAAAAAAAATCTCATTTTGTCTGTCATAGTTGACGTGTACCTATGATGAAAATTACAGGCCTCTCTCATCTTTTTGGTGGCTGACTAAATAAATTTTTTCCCCACTGTAATGTGGTGATCGATGGTCACGAAAGGGGCACTTATATAATTTATCACCTTAACAAGCCTGACTTGCAACTCTGCTATCTTAACCATAAGGCGACAGTTCTCCTGCATATTATAAGTACAGCGGCTGCAATGGGAAGGCAGAATGTTACTTAGTTTTTTTCGGCTGGTGGAGGTCCTGCAGATCCATGTCCAGATTAAGCGTCCTGGGTAAAAGAAGTTTCATGAAAAGTTAAACAGGTAACCAAGTTTGGCAGCTAGCCAAGTAGCAACTAATAGCACAGCAACACAGAGACAACATACATACACTCGTCATATGCTGCTACTACTTATTTTACTCTTATTATATATCCTGATGCCTAGTCACTTTACCTTGCCTTTATGTACATATCTACCTCCAATACCTCGTACCCCTTCAAATTGATCTGGCACTGGTACTCCCTGTATATATAGCTCCATTCCTGTGTATTTTATTTTATTCCTTGTGTTAGTATTTTTTATTTTGTTATCATTTTTTAACTGCATCGTTGGGAAGGGCTCATAAGCAACCATTTCACGATAAAGTCTACACCCATTGTATTCGGTGCATGTGACAAATACAATTTGATTACAAAAACACGAACTGTAATCAGTTACAATACCAGCAAATATATTGTAATCGGATTACAGATACTTTTGAAAGACTAGATGATTAGTTCTTGGATTACTTTAGAATTCATAACGGATGTTGGCGTAAAAATACATTATGCCACCTTTCTGTTTTCTCTATGACATCAATTCAGCATTGAAAAAAAGATGCAAGTTTTAAGTTTGTTCCACCTGAGCGAGTCTGACCACAAGTCAGAGACCACTATGATGACACACAAAATGCGTTTGATGGATCCTTTTTGTCTTCTTCTAATGCCTCTTAAAGGGAAAGTAATCCAAAAGTAATCAGATTACGTTACTGAGTTTGGGTAATCTAAAAGTTACGTTGCTGATTACAATTTTGGACAGGTGACTAGTAACTGTAATGGATTACATTTAGAAAGTAACCTACCCAATCCTGGTAGCACATTGTTTGGTGTGTGCAAAACATTTCTCTCCACAGTGGTCATATTTTTCATATATACTGAATAAAAATATAAACGCAACAATTTAATAATTTTACTTAGTTACAGTTCATATAAGGAAATCAGTCAATTGCAAGAAATTCATTAGGCCCTAATCTATGGATTTCACATGACTGGGAATACAGATATGCGTCTGTACCTTTAAAAAAACGTAGGGGCGTGGATATAAAAAACTAGCCAGGATCTGGTGTGACCACCATTTGCCTCATGCAGCGTGACACATCTCCTTCGCATAGAGTTGATCAGGCTGTTGATTGTGGCCTGTGGAATGTTGTCCCACTCCTCTTCAATGGCTGTGCGAAGTTGCTCGATATTGGTGGGAACTGGAACATGCTGTCGTTCTCGTCGATCCAGAGCATCCCATACATGCTCAGTGGGTGACATGTCTAGTGAGTATGCAGGACATGGAAGAACTGGGACATTTTCAGCTTACAGGAAATGTGTACAGATCTTTGCGACATGGGGCTGTGCATTATCATGCAGAAACATGAGGTGATGGCGGCGGATTAATTGCACGACAATGGGCCTCAGTATCTCGTCACGTTATCTCTGTGTATTCAAATTGCCATCGATAAAATGCAATAGTGTTCGTTGTCCGTAGCTTATGCCTGCCCATACCATAACCCCATCACCACCATGGGGCACTCTGTTCACAACGTTGATATCAGCAAACCACTCGCCCACAAGACGCCATACACGTGGTCTGCGGTTGTGAGGTCGGTTGGAGGTATTGCCAAATTCTCTAAAACGACATTGGAGGCAGCTTATGGTAGAGAAATTAACACTACATTTTCAGGCAACTGCTCTGGTGGACATTCCTGCAGTCAGCATGCCAATTGTACGCTCCCTCAAAACTTTAGACATCTGTGGCATTATGTTGTGTGACAAAACTGTTCATTTTAGAATGGCCTTTTATTTTCCCCAGCACAAGGAGTACCTGTGTAATGATCATGTTGTTTAATCAGCTTCTTGATATGCCACACCTGTCACGTGGATGGATTACCTTGGCAAAGGAGAAATGCTTGCTAACAGGGATGTAAACAAATTTGTGCACAACATTTGAGAAGCTTTTTGTGCATATGGAACATTTCTGGTATCTTTTATTTCAGCTCATGAAACATGGGACCAATACTTTACATTTTGTGTTTATATTTTGAATATACTGTATAATGTATATTCAACAACATTGTATGCCATTAGTATCATTTTCCGCCTCCACTCAATATTTTGTTTCCAGTCTGCAAAGACATCGTAATAGTAATTTAGCACTCTATTTGGCCCCTCACTTGTTTGACTTGGACCCCAGTATGGGTGTAAATCACAATATTTATTTATTATTATTTCCTGTAGATAGTTGATAGTATCTGGAGTATATTCATCCTTGTTTTCTGCTTTCTTTGGCCAGGGTCCTCGTCCACTGAGAGACATCTGGAAGTGACAGCGATGGCCGACTGCGTGCCTTTCCTCTGTATGGAGGACCTCAGGGAGATCCTTACCGCTGTTCTGCACAGGAATGCTAAGACCGTGCAGGAGTGCCGGCCGCTGAAAGTCACCAACTACCTTCAGGTAAGAAACACTGATTCATGTACCTGAAAATAAAGCTCACTTACACAATATTAAATATGTGTTTAAATATACAGTGCCTTCAGAAAGTATTCACACCCCTTGACTTTTTCCACATTTTGTTGTTACAGCCTGAATTAAAATTTTTATTCAATTTAGATTTTCTTGTCACTGGCCTACACAAATACCCCATATCAAAGTGGAATTATGTTTTTAGAAATGTTTACAAATTAATTAAATATGAAAAGCTGAAATGTCTCGAGTCAATAAGTATTCAACCCCTTTGTTATGGCAATAATAACTTGCAATAGTAGTGTTTAACATGATTTTTGAATGATTACCTAATGTACCCCACACATACAATGATCTGCAAGGTCCCTCAGTCGAGCAGTGAATTTCAAACACAGATTCAACCAAAGACCAGGGAGGTTTTCCAATGCCTCGCAAAGAAGGGCACCTAATGGTAGATGGGTAACATAAAAAAGCAGACATTGAATATCCCTTTGAGCATGGTGAAGTTATTAATTACACTTTGGATGGTGTATCAATACACCCAGTCCAAAGATACATATGTCCTTCCTAACTCAGTTGCCGGAGAGGAAGGAAACCGCCCAGGGATTTCACAATGAGGCCAATGGTGACTTTAAAAGTTACAGAGTTTAGTGGCTGTGATAGGAGAGAACTGAGGATGTATAAACAACATTGTAGTTACTCCACAATACTAACCTAATTGACAGAGTGAAAAGATGGAAGCCTGTACAGAATATAAATATTCCAAAACATGCATCCTTTTTGCAACAAAGCACTAAAGTTATACTGCAAAACAATGTGGCAAAGCAATTAACTTTTTGTCCTGAATACAATGTGTTATGTTTGGGGCTAATCCAATACAACACATTACTGAGTACCACTCTCAATATTTTCAAGCATAGTGGGGGCTGCATCATGTTATGGGTATGCTTGTAATCGTTAAGGACTGGGGAGTTTTTCATGATAAAAAAATTAACGGAAAGGAGCTAAGCACAGGCAAAATCCTAGAGGAAAACCTGGTTGTCTGGTAGAAACCAGACAACATTTACATTTACGTCATTTAGCAGACGCTCTTATCCAGAGCGACTTACAAATTGGACAACCAGGTTTTCCTCTAGGATTTTGCCAGGACAATAACCTAAAACACAAGGCCAAATCTACACTGTTGCTTACCATGTAGCTCAGTTGGTAGAGCATGGCGCTTGCAACGGCAGGATTGTGGGTTCTGCTAAAATGACTAAAATGTAAAAGAAGACAGTGAATGTTCCAGAGTGGCCTAGTTACAGTTTTGACTTAAATCTACTTGTAAATCTGTGGCAAGACTTGAAAATTGTTGTCTAGCAATGATCAACAACCAATTTGACAGAGCTTGAAGAATTTTGAAAATAATAATTGGCAAATTTTGCACAATCCAGGTTTGGAAAGCGCTTAGAGACTTACCTAGAAAGACTCACAGTTGCAATCGCTGCCAAAGGTGCTTCTACAAAGTAAAGACTTGAGTGTGAATACTTATGTAAATGAGATTTTTCTGTATTTCATTTTCAATAAATTAGCACTTTGTCATAATGGAGTATTATGTGTAGATGGGTGAGAAAAAAAAAATGTGTTTAATGCATTTTGAATTCAGGCTATAACACAACAATGTGGAATAAGTCAAGGGGTATGAATACTTTCTGAAGGCACTGTGTGTATATATAAGGTCCCTATACTGTACTTCCTGTGGGTAAATGTATGGTGGTTAAATTGATGTGAAGGTCTTGAAAGTCCTTTATCATGTGATGAAAGTGGAGATGGAGTCAAGACCGGAACACTCCAGACCCAGACCCATTGAGACCAATACCCTGTATATAGACACCATGATGAGACCAAGACCAATTAATTGTGATAAAACGAGACCCCAGAGAAATACTGAATTCTCTCTCTAAACATTTGCCATCCGGCTTCCACGTTTAAAAAGCAAGGTAAGGAAGAGTAGCCATGTCCAAGCCAGAATGGACCATAGGGCAGGAGCCTAACTCCTGTTCGTATCATAAGGCAGCTTGATGTACAAGTACACCCTCTGGACAGGATGCTAGTCTATCGCAGGGCCTTACCACAAATCCATCTCCCCAACCTTCCAATCTCAGGGCAGACACTCTTACCACAAGGCCACTGAGTTGGCCAGAAAGCAAGGTGGTGTATCTTGACGACATGAGTTTAGAGACTACAAAAACAATGGTATTTTCTGATACTATGAGCCGAGATCAAGACCCAGACCAGGATAGTGGTGCCAACAAGCAGACCCATTCCAAGACCAAATGTCGAGATCAAGACCACTAGATCAAGACTCCATCTCTAGGTGAAAGCCAAATATACTGATTATGTTGCCTTTAATGCATGATGGTGTGTTTCGCTTGAAGGGAGAAGCTGTTCGACTGGCCCGTCAGCTGCCTATGACCCTTGCCAAAGAGGATGTGGAGGACACACTTTCGCGGATGCAACAGCAGCTGGAGACCAGCCAAGCCTGCATCCATGGACAAGCCTTTTTCCACCACCTTTCTGACATTCCTGACACTGAACAAGAGGCGCTGAAGATCATGTCCGATATTTTGTAGCTTTGTTACCTTTTCCATGGAAGTGTAGCGCTAGTTAAAACAAACCCTGGATACAGTGCATTCGGAAAGTATTCAGACCCCTTGACTTTTTCCACATTTTGTTATGTTACAGCCTTATTCTAAAATTGATTAAATTGTTTTTTTCCCCTCATCAATCTACACACAATACACCATAATGACAAACCAAAAACACGTTTTTGAACATTTTTGCAGGAAAATATCACATTTACGTAAGTATTCAGACCCTTACTCAGTACTTTGTTGAAGCACCTTTGGCAGCGATTACAGCCTCGAGTCTTCATGGGTATGACGCTACAAGCTTGGCACACCTGTATTTGGGGAGTTTCTCCCATTCTTCTCTGAAGATCCTCTCAAGCTCTGTCGGGTTGGATGGGGAGCGTCGCTGCACAGCTATTTTCAGATCTCTCCAGAGATGTTCAAGTCCGGGCTCTCGCTGGGCCACTCAAGGACATTCAGAGACTTCTCCAAAAGCGACTGTGTTCTTGGGGACCTTCAATGCTGCAATAATTTGTTTGTACCCTTCCCCAGATCTGTGCCTGGACACAATCCTGTCTCGGAGCTCTACGGACAATTCCTTCGACCTCATGGCTTAGTTTTTGCTCTGACATGCACTGTCAACTGTGGGACCTTATATAGACTGGTGTGTGCCTTTCCAAATCATGTCCAATCAATTACATTTACCACAGGTGGTCTCCAATGAAGTTGTCGAAACATCTCAAGGATGATCAATGGAAACAGGATGCACCTGGGCTCAATTTAGAGTCTCATAGCAAAGGGTCTGAATACTTATGTAAATAAGGTATATCCGTTTATTTTTATTTTTTATACATTTGCAAATATTTCTTAACCTGTTTTCGCTTTGTCATTATTGGGTATTGTGTGTAGATTGATGAGGAAAATGTTTTATTTAATCCATTTTAGAATATGGCTGTAACGTAACAAAATGTGGAAAAAGTCAAGGGGTTTGAATACTTTCCGAATGCACTGGTATACTTTATTTGAAGATATGCTTATGATTAAGAATAATAAAGATGTGGTGTTCATGATTTATTATAAATGTTCAGGTCTTCATAATAATTGGTTTATGCATGTATTTACGAATGTTAATAAAAGTGAATAAATACATATTGTAATACATTATGATATTTTACATACAGTTTAGTTAACTGCATTTAAACCATTATTTAATAGTTTATTAAGCAGGTCTTATAAGGTTACGAGAAATGTCAATTTTCAGCTTATCGACTATCTTACATAATATATGCATTATATTTCATTTTACACTTTATTCATTCTTCAAAGTAATAATAAATATCCTGAATAAGTTTATTTTGTTAATGGATGGAATTTTTGCTGGCAAAATTCGATTGAATGCCTCAGTAAATGTAATGATTATATACTGTGTAAAATATACTTTACATTGCTAACTATCAGCTAAGGGACATGTTGAAAGCCATGGGTTGAATAATGTGCGTCAGCGTGGGTGTAGTACTTATGCTTATCTGCAGAGCTCTTCAGAATGCCCTTAGGCGTTTGATTATGTTGGCCACAAAGTAGAGAACAATATCCATCACACATCCCCCAACTCTACCCATCAGGAACTCGCATTCTTGTGCAGTGTGCTAGCCTACTTCTAAGAAAACTGGGTCAGCCTGAGTCGCTGGGCTGTTACCATTCAGCATGATCATGCTCCTGCTGATAGCTGTGATTTACTTGAATGGGAGCCAACTATATCTTCACGTCCCCGTATTCTCCATGGTACGCACCTTACTTGGCCCTGTGCTGGATTTTTTTGTGTTTGAGTGTGAAACAATTCCTTCATGAGCAAAAAATGCACAGCCTTGTCCTGTGTTACATGTAGGCACCTACAGTGAGGGGGAAAAAAGTATTTGATCCCCTGCTGATTTTGTATGTTTGCCCACTGACAAAGAAATGATCAGTCTATAATTTTAATGGTAGGTTTATTTGAACAGTGAGAGACAGAATAACAACAAAAAAATCCTGAAAAACGCATGTAAAAAATGTTAGAAATTGATTTGCATTTTAATGAGGGAAATAAGTATTTGAACCCCTCTGCAAAACATGACTTAGTACTTGGTGGCAAAACCCTTGTTGGCAATCACAGAGGTCAGACGTTTCTTGTAGTTGGCCACCAGGTTTGCACACATCTCAGGAGGGTAAAACTGGTTGCATTGACGTCATTATGACTTCATTGTCAGGTTGTACACTGGTTGTAATAACCTTTCAACGTCTTTTTAGAAAAATAGGTATTTACCAGTGAGTATACATTGCGGAAACCGTTTACCAAACGGAAGCAAACAGTGCAAACTGAACGAAACGGGGAGGGACCTAACTGAATTAATCCAATAGAAAGTCTTATTTTCATTGCAAAACGATTTCTGTTTGGAATATACAGTTTCTTTTGCAAAACGATGCAACAGTATCAGTGTAATGAGTACACTCTTGGTTGTGACAGAGACGAGTTTTGACAGAGACCAGTCCTCGAGTACACCCAACAGTAAACATTATTTTTATTGTAGCCCCGGACAAACACACCAGATTCAACATAAAAATGTGTACTGTTGGGTGTACTTGAGGACTGGAGTTGGGAAATGCTGCCTTAGACAACCAAGAAGTCTGAACTAGGGATGTACAGATGTGGAAATTCTGGTCCAATACTGATGTATAATATTTTCTTTGCAATATTGTCCAATATTATCAATACCGACATTTATTTTTATGGCCTTCTTAAGCATTTTAGGACAGATACAAACAGCAACCAAGTTTTAATGGGAAAGCTGTAATAATGTTGATTTGCATCACAGAGTAACTGAAATGCTTCAAAGGTATTGGAAAGTTCAGGAATAAGATCTGCATTGCTTTCAAATGCGGTTTTGTCACAGTCCCTTCTAACATTTAATGCGTGGCTTGTGTGTCGTAGAGGGAAACAGAAGACATGTACGTGTTCCGGAGAGTCAGCTTTCATGGGGTCATAATAACTAATAGCTCCAACTGTTCAAAAGATAGAGCCAAAATTGTAGGAAGAAAACAGAAACCGCTCCATTTGTCCCAACTGCTAATAGCGGATATCAAAGGTTACTCCTGTAACCACGGTTCTATGAACTAAGCAGCGCATTCGGTTGACTACAGACCACTCCGTTTGTCTCCGCCGATATATACTTTTTTTATATTACCGATATGGTCACCATTGTATCGTGCATCTCTAGTCCAAACCTCTTGACGAGGTCGCTATGTGTTGTAGTACTTTCGTGACAATACTGAGGCACATATTAGTCATATAGCTCTGTAGAAAACAATTTTTTTTTACAGTGAGTGATGACAATTACTGGTAAATGTGGGATGTGATCCAGTATTTTATTTGTGATGGTATTTTTTGAACTCATTAAACAATGGGCTGAAAAAGAGCTTACTATTAGTGAGATGATCACTATTTAGCGATTGTCACTGAGAAATCTAATTTTAACTATGGGCCTTGTTGACCTCTGATTCGAAATCAAAACAGAAGAATCAATGACCCCACAGAAGGTGCCATTGACCCATGAAATTAAATGTGGTGTGGCTGTAAAAATTATCCCACTCCTGCAAACCAGTGCCTTTAACACCCATCACAGTAGTGTGTGCTTGATGCCCATAAAATGAAAGTAGTTGCTTTTCTGTGGTTGGCCCAAAAGTGCACAGTCACAGTGAGGCACCTCCAATTACCTTGCTGAAAATAAAGCTCAGATGCAGTAAGGATTTAACAGTTGGTGCCCTGTGGACATATCGTTTGTGGCTTTAAAATGTTTTGATCAACTCCACATGAGCAAGGTGGTGGTGGTTATCATTGGGTTTGGCACCGGGGACCTTAGGCACAGGGTTCATTTTTTGGGGTTTTATACTTTTCGTTGTTGGGCATAAGTCTGTAAAATCACCAGGAAATCAGTTAAAAGTTATTTTAATTTAGGAAAACTGTTCCCATGTATTCCCACGTATAAATAGAGGCATACAGTGGGGTCTGAAATTATTGACACCCTCAATTTAAAGATGAGCAAAAATGACTCTAAAATAACTCATTGAAATACTGAGCTACATGTAACTGCCAAAATAAAGGAAACATAAACATGAAGTGTTTTAGGGAGTGTTGAGCTACCACGAGCCACCAGAACAGCTTTAATGCGCCTTGGCATAGATTCTAAAAGTGTCTGGAACTCTATTGGAGGGATGCAACACCATTCTTCCACAATTTGGTGTTTTGTTGATTGTGGTGGAAAACGCTGTCTCAGGTGCCGCTCCAGAATTTCCCATAAGTGTGCAATTGGGTTGAGATCTGGTGACTGACACACACACACCCTTTAAACCCCCTATGCTCCTTCGAGACTCCTCATTTCAAAGTCACTGAGATCTCTTACATTTACATTTTAGTCAGTTAGCAGACGCTCTTATCCAGAGCGACTTACAGTTAGTGCATACATCATTTGTTTATTTATTATTATTTTATTTATACTGGCCCCCCATGGGAATCGAACCCACAACCCTGGCGTTGCAAACGCCATGCTCTACCAACTGAGCTACATCCCTGCCGGTCATTCCCTCCCCTACCCTGGACGACGCTGAGCCAATTGTGCGCCGCCCCATGGGTCTCCCGGTCGCGGCCAGCTACGACAGAGCCTGGATTCGAACCAGGTTCTCTAGTGGCACAGCTAGCACTGCGATGCAGTGCCTTAGACCACTGCGCCACTGCGCCACTCTTCTTCTAGCCATGGTAGCCAAATTAATGGGCAACTGGGCATTTTTATACATGACCCTAAGAATGATGGGATGTTGATTGCTTAATTAACTCAGGAACCACACCTGTGGGGAAGCTTCAATATACTTTGTATCCATCATTTACTCAAGTGTTTCCTTTATTTAATTATATTTTATACTAACACAATTGGTCAGAGAAAGAGGTATTGTTTAACATTTAATACGTTTTTTTC